TCTGGCAGATCATAGCCAAATCGTAGCCTGAACAGTTAGTCCTATCGACACTCCGCTTCCTCGACCAAATTTATGGTATTACTCATCGTTATACCCGCATCTGTGAAGATTCAAATTTCAAGTCATCTGAAGACATCGAGCCGACAAAAATTCGTCTCGCCAGGCCCCTCATACCAAAACTTCTACGGCGGAGCCACTAACTTGCACACGCTGTCAAGCAGGACTGTGCTGGGAATTGGGAAAACACTATGGACCTCGACCCTGCATAACGACCGGAGCCCATGGACGTTGAATATTGGAGTTTGCTGAGTTCTTAATAAACGGTGGCACTTCGTTTGGCAGATCTTGACGAGGAACTGGCTTTCGATTCGATGCGAGCGGGCCGGGTACGGACCGTGGGCTTCGTAGGCGAAGGGGGTCACCAACCTGGCCTGAGCCCATGTAGTTCTCCGAGCAGGGGAATATAGGAGAATATGGTCCCCGTGCTGTGCGAGGAAGACGAACCTACTGACAGCACAGAAATACACACACGAAGTTCTGGTGGACGTATGTAGGGATACTAAGATCCACGACCCTGACAAGGGTGACATTGACAAGACACGTGAGCCCTCGAAGCGTCGTCTGAGACTGAATCTGCATTCCCGACGAGAAGAGCAGAAGTCCGAAGAACAAGTGCTTCGCTGGCAAAAAAAATCAATTGGGGATGCTATTAGGGCGGTTTCGGCGTGTCACACCTGCTCAGAGCGATGGTATGGCGGCCGGTCACACGAATGTTTCAAAGAAGACAAGCTTTGTTTGATGGGGTGACAACTTGAACAACGACTCCAAGTCCCAGCGCTTGCACAGGTGACAGCCGAGGATTTGAATGGAGCATACTCGGACTCCCTCCATGTTGCCACGTAGTTAGTACGTATTGCGCTTAAACATGAGTCAGACGGCGGCCGCTTTGGCGCTCTTGGTGCTTGGAGTTCGCAAATGAGAATTCAATTCAATAGGGTAACGTTGACTTTCATGACGCTAGGCATACATTAAGAAACATTTTACTTACCTTATGCGAAGCGTGCATTCTAGGATGGTGCTTCTGGCGCGCCTCATGTTCGCCCATCATGTGCCATCTTGGAGTCAAGACTGAATAGGAATATGACGCTTTGCAGCTTGGCGCAAAGGGGATGAGTGGGTTTCCTAGCGGGCGTGCCTCCCGAAGTAGCAGGTTAATGAAGGGGCGTGGTCCAGCATCATGGTACTCAAGAACGTTATCAATTTACAGCAATTTGCCTCTCCAGGCTAACCTAGTGCTTGTCGTTGCTAAGCGCGGTTGAGTCAACCTTAACTTGTTGGCGGACATGAATTTTCGAATGGTGCCACAGGTGCAAAGCAAAAAATTCATATTCCTGCGTCTGAAATTCGAGAAAAAGGTTCTAAGTAGGTATACTAACTAACAATGGCGTTATACAAGTACACTCCCTTTCTTCTTCCATGCACATTCGGCAGTCATTCATATTGGTAAGAGGGGTATCTATCATCGAGACGACATACAGAGCGCGGTATGGCTGGTAGGGTATGGTTCATGGGGCGATATGTATATGAGCAATATAGACATAGTCGACAGGGTTGGATGCGAGGCGGGAAATATAGGATACAGGATATATGTCGGAATATAGATACCGTTTTGCCCGCGTCTTTGTCGGTCGCCGTTTTACGACGAGGTGAATAATTAAATAGGCCGTGAAATCGAGCTCAAGATGGCGATGTGCGAATTGGATTGTAAAACGGAATAAATACCAAGATCCAAACGAGCGTGATAATCAGGAAGGCATGAAAACACGTGTCTCGAGCCGTCCCCTCAGGATGACAGTGGCTCTGCTACTGTGGGTACAGGCGATGAAGTCATCATTTGAGGTGACGAAATCTGCATCTGCGTGATCTGCGGCGATTTTTCGGCGGGCGCTTCAGATGTAGGACCCTGCAGGGGAGCTAGTGACTGCGGTGGAATATGTGGCGAGGCAAACTGCACTTGGCGTGGCTGCTCACAGAGCCTAGGCATTGACCCCCGACGCAACATTTCCTGTCCCTGGTACGAGACTGGAGGCTGTGAGAAGTAACCCGGAGCAGTTACTGACTTCCTAGGCGCTTGCTGTTGAAAAGACGCAATGTCTGTCAACGGGGCGTTAGGGAGACGAATTGGAGCCTGAGGGCCGGCATCGATAGGCGGGCTCTGCGAACTGCGAGGAATGGGGAACGTTGCAATGGAAGGCGATGAATAGCTGGAAGGGGGACCGGAGATAGAGCCAGGGGTGGGAGGCTGTGAAGAATACACCGACACTGTAAAATTGTTGGCACGTGCTTAACAACGCGTAAGAAAGAATGAAACTTACCAGCATCATCCCAATCACTGACTGCGCCACCACTCGATGCGGTGCTCGAAACGGAGCTACGCCTCGCCAGACCGAACTCTCGCGGCTCCTTCTTGATCTGGGGTGAACCAGCTAGAGGAGTAGGTTTTTGGACCTTTTTCTCGCCAGGTTTACGCGTCTTTCCACCTGCCCTGAGTTCATCAAAGCGGAGGGGACGTGGACGTAAATGGGTGCGTTCATACAGACCACATTTGTTGCAGACGATCTTGCCAGGATTTAGAGTGGAGCGACGCCATGAAGGCGGCTCTGTGGTATGGCAATTAAAACAACGCCTCCTGAGGTACTGTGTCTCTTTGCTAGCAGCATCATCGGTGTGTTGAATTGGAACTGAAGCACCAGCTCCGGGAGGGAGGAAACCAGGATGGTGATGACCGTGAAGAGAATGTGCTGGGAAACCCAATTGGGAAGGAACAATGAGGGGGGTGTCCTCTAGTTTAATTGACTGAGGATCGTTGGGGTGACGGGATTCAGATGGATCGGGGGACATTGTGAGAGGCTCATTGTACATGGACGGGTATTGGTCATAAAATTGGGGGTGGTGAGGTATATGATGTTGGGGGAGATCATGTCTGACGTAAGGAAAAGTGGCGCGACGAAATGTATGGTGATCGGGCTGGCGCAAGTGTATTTGCTGCTGCTGCTGCTGTTGTTGCTGCTGTTGCTGTTGCTGCCGCTGCCATTCATTGTAGTGCGCGTGATCGTCAATATACGCTTCACTCTGGTAATGTTCAGAGGGTTCCGAGTCGTACAACTCGCAGAGGAGGGAACCTCGTGACTGTGGATAATTGTTGTAGTTGGGTTGGGAAACCCAAGAATCGTTTTGGATCATTGATCCTACGTCGGATGGAAGATATGAGTCTTCTTGAAATATTGTTGGAACAGTATGGATCGGATGTTTGAAGTCGTGAGGATGAATGAGTTCAACGGATTGAGGAGATGGAGTACGAGGAGTTGAAGATGATTCGGAGTATGGTGGTGATGAGTCGGGGTATGGAGATGCGTAGGTTGCAAAATCCATGACAGAGGATTGAAAGAAGAAAAAAAGAGTTTAGAATAGTGAAGACACAAGACAAAGAATCGGTAAAATGCAAGGACCCTACGGGTAAATTATAAGAAGAAGGTCCATGCAGTGTTCAAATTTGGACTAGAGCAACCTCCTCTCTCCCAGATTTTGGTTACTCTTTCTTTCTAGCCCGTTCCACTATCTCGGTGCTTCCGGAACTTCCCGTTAAGATTCAGATTCTTCCGGTAGATCTCTTATCGCACACCAAATATAATCAAATATAATCCAAATACAAACAATCCATCCCATATTACGTCCATTCAATTCCCACGCACAGCATACGAACTCTTCACAATAAATTTGTACATTTTTAACAATTTTTAACTTGTGAGTAGCGCCCCGTCGGAACTGAGCCTTTGTCTCACTTCGCTGGCCTTCTCTCATTGGTCACTGCCCTCCGTGCCGACATCCTGCCGTCCTGTGTTCCTGTCTTTTGTACCACTTTTACTTATTTAAGCCCTTTTGTCTCACGCTTCCCCTCACCCTCCGCCAGTTTCGCAAGTCAAACCCCGTCCCTCGCATCCCTGAACAGTCCGTTCAGAGAGTGAGTCAAATGCTTCTACTTTCAGACCACCGTACACATCCAAATTAGGAAGTCTTCTTGATCGATCCTCCTACCGTACCTGCAGTTGTGACTCATCCTGTGCTTACCTTTATTCTTCTTTTTGACAAAAACTTATCCCACTACATAGTTCACTGCCACAATATACTTCCTCCTGCCACTTCCCCGTGCCTATTTGCGAGTGGCCGCCTGCGCAGCTGAGCTCTATTATTATTATTATTAGTTCCCACTCACAGTGCTTCGTATCTAAATATGGAACTTGCTTTGCTGGTCCTACTTCCAGTACTGTATATCCACCTATCTCCTCCATTCCTGTGGGGCAACTGTCGCGCTTGCAACTTCGAAGCCCTTCCTTTGACATTTTTCTTGTCCACGTCCGACGTTCATCGAGATAATTCACAGCAAATCCCACTTCCATATCCTTTTTCGTCCCGCCTCCGCTAGCAAGCACTGAGTACTGATGCGGAATCAAAATCATAAATGAAATACCCGCGGTCTAAACCTGTGATAGTTTAAGCCTCTCACTGTCTTTTCCTCTTGAGAACACCGCTCCGAGGTGCTGCGGCTCAGGACCTGGTCTCAACCTCCCCTCGACAACGACTCAAACTTTCCAATGTTTTCCCGAATCTTTCTCGTCCGCGGGCCGTGCATGACTTCAGATGAAACTCCGGTATCTTACTCAGCTTCCGAGCTGCCCCTGTTGCGATCGTCCGCATTCACCATGTGTAGATTGTACACCGAAACTCATTCAAGGAAGATCAAGGTTCGAGGTCGAATTGGATTTGGATGAAGCAGTTTCGTCACGCGTCATAGCCCGCTCGCACGTTGCCTCAATTCAGCATCATCCCAACGCCCTCCATCATTCCTGTGCTAGCGCTACACCGGAAAGGACAATCGAACATCCTGCCACATGCACCTATCGATGCTGTGTTTACTCTTTGGGCCTGATGGTTCGACGGAATTACAGCACTGTCACGGCATTACCCCCAAGCTTGGTCCATGTGATCATCTCTGCATTGGCTATGCTTGCGATGCAGTATTGTTGTGCTGACGTGGGGTGTATCTTTGTCGGTTTCTTTCCAGGTGTCCAATTTTCTTCGGATTGGGTATCTGTGGCCCGAAATTTAATATCCCACGTAATAATGCTTGTATTTTAAGTTCCCAATAAAACACTCTATTCATCTTACTGGTATCTCTAACTTTTAGCAACCGAAGATGTACCAGAAGCTCTGTCGTCGATGGAAAGGTTTTTGTTGCCTGGTTAATATTGCACCCATGTGGAGCAATTATGCATTATAGAGACACAGACAGTCGGTGTGCATTCAAGACACAGCGCGCGAATCTCGCACTATGCTTTGCTTACTGGATCACTGATGCACAGGCTGAAGAAGGTTTCCTCGACTTTGAAACATGGGCATAGAGCGGGATAATGACATGTGCTATAATCACATCACTCGCCCCATGAGAAGCAACTCCATGATTTTCATCTTTCCATTACATACATTAAACTGTGCGCCACGCAGACGGAGATGAATCAATTCCCCACTGCGGGTTGTGTGTCAGATGGTGTCCTGCCCATTGATTTGAATGCCAGCCACGCCGCCGACAGTGTAGTCCAGATGACGTATTTTTGTCTGCAGGTTTTGAACTCTGCTTTAGCGCCTTTCTTAAGCTTATCACGTTGCACATTACATTGACTCCGCTGTCAAAAAAGCTATGTGCAGTTGGTCCACACACATGGGGTCACGTACTCAATATAAACGGAGACGGGGAGTGTGGACCCTATTGTCGCGCAATTGAGTTGAGTTAAAGCCGGGTCATTCTCGCGCCACCTCATAGGTAGTTCACTAGCATAGGTACTAGCGGCCACAATTATCTGTCATTCACTTGCCACGATTAAATGAACGGCCAGTCGCTAGTCTCCCCGAACCCCTAGAGGAATGAAGACGAACGTTCCCTCCAGCACAAACCCTTCTTTGAGCCCTCCGTTTCCTAGGCCGCCCACTTCTATCTACGTCTATTCGGTGCCACTCACCCTACTCCACGTTTCCCGAAGCTTGGTATTGGTTTACTGAGTTGATTCGGGTTGTTCCGCAACACGAGGACTAATATGGGCATCGGACACTCAATGTGCCTTTCTCTCTTTCGCTATTGCCCAAAGGGGGCGCTCGTCGCTGCACTTTTATGGGAAGACTATCATGTGAGTCCAGCCGAGTGGTAGCTCCTTCGCTTCGAGCACGCCGATGGCAGCGGATGACTAGCGACTCCACAGCCCAACCTCCTATCGTTAGCTATTGGAAGAGGGGGGGAGCAAGGCGCCAGGGCATCATGAGGTCGCCGCGGCTTGCAATTAACTGGTGACTTAGTACCCCTTTCTATTCATAACCTTGACAGTGACACAAGCTACCTCATGCATCATCTTGACGTAGCGGATGCACTCCGGTATTCAAAGTCTTATCAAGAGCACTCTGCTAGCGTGCTACCCATTGCAAGGACTTCTTCCCAAGATTCGATTGCGCGGTGCCGCTCATATGGATAGTATATTATCGAACCCGAAGCATATCGGTGTCTTCGGCAGGCCGCGACGCACGCTTCCCCTCCTCACATCGGTAAATTCCGTATCTTCACATCTTTCACCCGCGAACCACAGTTTTCTGGGCAGGTTCGCCTCTTTCTATCTCTCAAACGAAGTCCTACGGTGACCTGAAATTATCCGGAGGCACGCCGTGAGCACTTTGTACGTATTGGCAACAGGGCGCAGGGAATATGGGCACTTATGCACGGTGGTACATTTCTGGGTGATCCGTTTATGTCTGCGCTGAGATTTCGGGACAGTGCGGATGAAAAGAAGTGATTCTTCTTCCTGGATGAGAACTGAGCTTGAACAACTGTCCAATACAGTATTTTTTTGCAGTGGACCTTGGGACGGGTCGTTGCTAACGCCGCCGCTCGGCCCGTTTACCCCGGGCCCTGGACAGGCCCATCTAAACGCCACGAAGGCTTCTAAGACGTCTATCCCCAGCTATCCATTGTGCAGAGCGACGTGCTACGTACAAGACATCACCGCCGGGGACGGTCCTGTGGCGGCGGCAGGGCACTTACGTTAGTTGAAAGAGACTCTGGCGGTTTGGACGCGCGCCGCCATGTCGTGATCAGGCCATAAATGGACATTTCTCGAAACAAAGAAGCTCAGACGATATGGCAAGCGTGTAACCCTCTTCTGTACATATTAAGCCACATACGAGTAATTTAACGTGCGTACTTGAACCATCGTCCTCTCTTCCTTCACTTAAATGACTCTACGGTTTTCGTGAGGTCTTCATTAGAGAACATTTGCGCCCTTGTTCTACCCGAGGTCCGTTACCGGAGGTTCGGATTTTTACTTGCGGAAGTACAGACACGGAAAGCCGATGCCAGCGAACTCGATGGCTTCATTTCATTCACACAGTTACCATCCATACACCGGCATCACCGAATTACAATCCGTTGGCTCCATGAAGCGGGAGACAGATAGACATGCAAGAGACTTGACATCACGGCATGATGTGTGTACCTATCTAACCACGACTCTTCGCAACATCGGGACATCGCAACCAGGGTGCTCTTGAAGTAAAAATATAGTTATAAACCCGTTATGGCATATTGTAATTGTAATTATTCCGGCATCGCATTCAGGAGCCCTAATATGAATTGGTCCGTTGTGGGTCAAGAGTGGGACGCGAGTTTCGTACGATCAATAATTATGAGCAACGACAATTAGCTGGCTGTGTATAATTCAGCCGGCTTCCATTTCTTAGAGTTTGCAAGAGCTTCTCCTATGCAGCTTTAAGCTCCGGCTTCTATTGTGTTTGGCTCAAGGATTAATATCACCAGACAAGGAGACTAAATCAAACAAGGTAAGCAGAACAAACAACCCAGCTGAGCCAATGGAAGCCGAGAAGGGTCACTTGCAGATCATCCACCTCCTTCCAACATCCGGCTGCGGGAGGACTCGTCACCGAGAACGGCAAGTCCAAAATATTTTTGCGCCACAATAAGGATGTCGGTGCCTGCAAACGCCACTGTAATCATGACACGTTAACAAGATGAAGCGTGGCTCGTTGAACGGGCAACCCTGACCACTAGTTGACTAGCCAGGTCATGATAGTACCTACACTTAGCATCTCACACCGTCGTAATCGCTGAATCGCAAACGGGAATTGCATGGGTGGGTACAGGCCGTTACGAGTGGCTTGTGCTGCGCATGCAAATCCGTTGTGAGAGGAGCGCTACGCCACGTGATTTTGTCAACGGGCACGTCAACGATAAGCTCTAGGCATCGCACCGAGGAAACCAAGGGAAACCTGAACGTGTAAACAGAATATAAATTGTCCACGCATAACGGGTACGCCGGCGGCACGGTAGTTTGCGATCTGGGAAGCTTCGTCTTGCAATTTTACTTCGTGAGACTGCGTCAGACAGAGCTTAAAACGCGGGAAATTCAGATGGGCTGACAGCGCTTATTGATGCAGGAGGGATGATTCCTACTGAGGAGTCGAGCGCCTGGCACATGCTTCTAACGTGACATGGATAGCTCCGAAATCGGGAATACAGTGTTGCCACAGGTCATCGAGAGAAACTCAGTATGGTGCAAAAGCAGGAGGCCAAGGAACGGCCAAGTGAGAAGACAAGCGAACGCACGGATTGGGGCCACGGCGAGGAGGAAATACTCGATTGTGGACGAATGCTCACACAGTAGACGCCCTGTTTGAGGACCTGTGATTTGATTTTACTTTATTGGACAGCCCGTGTCGTGAGCCCACTCTCGGTCTACTCGATTGTATCTGCGTTCTATCCTGTACTCCACTGCCACCGAACGTTGCCAGAGACGGACATAGTAAGGGAAAGCCAGAAATGGTGAGGTACGTGTGGCCATAGTGTGGATCATAGGAATCTCCGATCTTATCGCCAAAGAAAGGACAACTTTAAATGCTTCACAATTTTGTGAGGACGAGGTAGCAGCTGTAGGTACAGTGCAAGTCTTCCTGTAGTCCACATCAGATTCATTAATACGACAGAAGTGACGAGGCAGAACCACGTTCAAAACGCTGTTGCAGATAGCCCGGTATTGGCTGCCCCGAAGCATATGGCAACTTCTTTGCCCAAGCCAAGGCGATGCGAAGAGGAATGTGAGGGGGGCAAGGTCTATTTCTTCCGGCCCTTACGGCCAGGACCAGACGCAGGAGGACCCATCTTTCTAAGGCAGTCATCACAGAACCAACTCTCAGGGAGTGGTTGCTTGAGGCTGACGCAAGGGAGGTGAAACTACAAATGTGTCAGATTATGATTACCAAAACATGAAGTATAGACTTACCCATTGATACGGGCAATCTGGATTGTCACACGCGATCATTTCTCCATAACTCAACTTCTGACAGAAACAGTACAGTTCCTTATCTTCACCATCTTCACCCTCTTCACCATCACCTTCTTCTGCTTCTTCTGCACCTTGAGTTTCATCTCCATAATCAAAATCGAAGTCCTCAGCCTCAGATGAAGCCCCCCGTCTTCTCCGGCGACCCCGAGTAGATGGAACATAGGCAGATGGTGCAGGTGATGGCAGTTTGATAGAGCCCTGCGTTGCCATCAATCTCCGTTCTTAGATCTGACGTTTAGCACTAAAGTTAATGGCATAAGCGCGAACTTACTTTTGAATGCATTGTCTTCCCCAGTCACCGAAGCGCGCCCTCCGACAGAAGCCATACTTCCCGAGCCACCTGCCAGAGGCGTGGCGGTACCGCCAGCGAACGCATTTCGCAAGCTTTCATTGATTTGAGCGGCTGGATTGCGTCCTCCAAGTACATAGCCAGCAGTGCCACTACCAAGTCCTGATACAGAGACTGGAGTCGAAGCTGCGGCACCAGCGAAAACAGATGCTGGATCTGCTTCTCCTTGTAGAACAAGGACACGACCCAAGTCATATTCTAACCGAGCCCGCTTCCTGGATAGTAGGTCAACGATACGAGAGGCCAGAGCAATTTTCGCGTCTGAAAGCGCTGAAAGTTTCTCCTGAGCATCCCTCAGTTTCTCAATTGGTGGAGCTGGTGCCCCACCCTTCTCTTTGGAGGCAGGGTCTGTACCGTCCGATCGTAGGGAATATCGCATATATTTATGAGCATCTTTGGCTAGATCATTCTGAATGTCTTTAAATATAAATGAACATTTCGTCAGAGTCTGTGATATTATAGCTACATACCTTGAGAATCGGTCTCTTTCGAGCGAAGCTCTTGCAGAAGAAATTGTACTTCGCTAGGTAAGTTATCAAGGGCTAATTATTGAGTCTCTTAAGCTTGGCGAACACCATGAACTGTGAGGTTGGCTCACTCATTATGAACTCCGACGCTATCGTGACAGCTTCCTCCAAATTTTGAACGCTCGCAGTGCTCATGGTCTCCACGTTCTAAGATTATCAGTTGTCAGTCGTTGGTAGTTTGAGCTGAAGGTGTGCTAGCTAGAATGACAAACCACGAATTTCGGGATTATGTAATGAAAGTAAGTAGACTGTCATTTCCGACTCGAGTCATTCAAGCTTGGAACTGTCCAAATAATAATATTTGGGTTGACGTCGAACGTTCGCAGCTGTTCACAGATTCGCAGATTCACAGGTTCTGTCAGCAATAAGGTCATAGAATAATGGAAGCATAGTGCTAACCATACCAAATTTGCCCTAGTGCAGACGTTGATTTTATGTCCAGGATCCTGTACCACCGATAAGATCAAACTTGTACTCATCTCCCCTATCCAGACCTGTATAGACAGTCGTTCCTTCCAATACTAATAATGGGATCAAGCATCACTTTGCCGATAGGTACCTCGCTTGTCCAATGAGAACTTTCGCACGTTGTGCGGGTCTTCTCTGTTGTCTGTGCGTCGAGTCTGTCATGGCAAGTACTCGGTACTGATCAAATACACGAAGAAGATTCTACACTCTCATGCAAGTATCGATTCCTCACAAAAATACAGCAATCGCGAATCTACGATGAACATGTATTAATTTTGGTGAAGTTCTATGTCATCGACTTTCCGCTGACACAATGTCAAAGCCTTTCGTGGGTCCAAATGCTTTCACAGGATGAAACTTTTAGGATGATTGACACAAGATTGATACTCTAAATATGCCATTTTAACGACCGCATGACGGCGTCGGCCATGATAATCACGAGGATAGTATAATGGCTTTACTAGATGTGGTGCCGCGTCGAAGGTAAGCTAATATCATCTTTCAATATTTTAACACAGACGCTCACTGACCTCATCTATCTTGCAGATGTTTAATCACAATGCACCCGCTTCGGCAACAGCGCGGGAAGTGCGGCTGCGCATATCTATGACATACAACGGACGAATACTCCGCTATCGTCGGGTCCCTCTGATGCCACCATGGCGGATACGGTGGAGTGCTGAAGTAACCATCCAGTAAAAATATGCACGCCCATTCCCGAATCAAGTCTGCGAAGCATAGAGAGATACCGATGAGTGTTCTAATCATATCAGCAAATGGGATGGCTGTAATAACGCGCCTTAGGGCACATTTCTACCTTGAGAAATCGTTCATATGCATTCATGGTTATCTCTGGCTATCCATAATGAAGTCAGTGACGAGATGCTGTCCACTGCGATGAAACTGACGACGATGCTGTGTTTAATGTGCAAAAAGTTATTCTATTCCTCCTTATCACCGCATATTGATCGAGCAGGTATCTGCACTTAGTCACAGATCATCCACCATTCTACATCATTGGACTGCGATGTCACCGTGGTCAATTCCTTACTGAGTGCATCATTGCTATCGAACTCTGTATGTCGCCGTTGAATTAGAGTCCGTCGGGGGATGTCTAAGCTGGTTCGAACGCCTCTCATCCACTTTCGTCTTCCAATAATTGTTGGCCCTGTAGGAAGTTTTGTACTGCCCCAAGCTCTCCGTCCCAACATTCCCAGCAGATGGGTGGACGTAGACTGGTATCATGTCGACTTGTGTCATAGACGGAATATTGATGGTCTCGAGTGCAGTCTTCGGTTTCAACACTCAAGTAAGATGCAGTTACCGTACCTTCCGAATTTCATTGACGTCAAGAGAGTTCACTTGCGTTTCACCACGCGCACGCGAAACTCAGTTGGTCACACATCTAGATCCGAGCCTCATGCACATGCTTTGAGAAGGTTCTTGATGACCGGGAGCTAATGCATATGACCTGCTTCCAAATGGCATGTATGACAAATGTCTACAACGATGACTAGGCGGTGGACAACTTGTCTTGATAAAGAAAATATTATAGCGCTAACCTGAGAGCCGTACAACGCTCCTTAGCATATCCGGGCACTCCCCACAGGGCTAAATTATCCTAGGGCATGACCCTATGCGGAGGACGCTTAGCGCTCTTGGGGGAAAGCGGCTGTGCGGCGAGCCGGTAGCCCTGAACAGCGCGCTCTCATCGTAATCGGGAGCGTGCCACCGGAGGTTGCTAGATAGCAAGGAACCCGGTGGAAGCGAAGATGAGGGGGACTGGTTAGCCACTGCGAGAGAATGTCGTAGACACCGTATCCAGCTACAGGTTGAGTATTATGATAGAAATCTAGGTCGGTTGCGTGACTTTCACCGCAAAACGTTCCTGTGGTGCCTCTCAACGTTCTTTCACCTCAATCCGACAGCTTCACGAGGACGTAACTCTTCGGATGAAAATCGCCGTGTGCATGAGACGCCTTGGACACGCGTACCTGCATGGAAACCTCCATGCGAAAAAACGGACACCCTTTTCAGTTGGCGATGACGGCAAACGTTTGTGCGTCTATCTGATATGGGTGCCTGTATACAGGTAACCGCCGCCGCCGAATTTCTGGCCATCCATAAGCCTTTCCATGTCACTGACTGCGACGAACGCGCGCTTCAAGACAGCTGCCGCGTCACCAACCTCACCTTCAGTGTCTGAGTCTCCTGCTGCAGAACAACAATCGAACAGTTGCAAGCACCTAAGAACTTCATTTAAGCGTCATTAAGCTCAAGATACCCAGGGGGCTGAGACTCCTAGTAATTATTATTGCACGACCGTTCGCAGGCGACTTCAGCTGACAGTGTAAAGAAGAATCCTGGGCGAACTTGCAGGGTTGCAAAGAAGCCCAACATAAACACCCTCATAGCATTTCACCAAGCCCGCGATAGTTCATCCATTATCGGCACTCTCAGTTCCGCGGAGTCCTTGGAATCGAGATCCTTGCATCTTGCCGTGTCCTGCTGATCAACCGAATCGACTGGTGCTGCAAAATGTGCACCCGTGCGCCGTTACAATGGTCTTAGTAAGTCACACGCACACAAGAAATGAGATGCGTGAGCCTATTTGACGGTGGCCTTATCAACTCCGAGTCAGTTTGAAATTCTTACCCCTATGGGAAGTAATTGCTGGTGTATCATGACACTGGACAACGAGAATGAAGTCACGACCTTCTGTCGTTACTCGGGGTGCTGCTGTTCGTCCATAAGCCAGTCAATACATTGTATGGCAGATCAAAGACGCTTTCTATAAAGTGTCAGTTCAGGATCATAAGTCAATTGTCACCACCCGGACTCCTAATTCGGTGCTGGAGGTTTGTTCGTTTGGTAGATATGAAAGACGTTCCTGCTAATGAAACTGTGGAGCTTAGAAGCCAGGAAATCTAGCAAGTTCGTCAGCTGCTCCTCCGTCGAAGCGACCAGGGAGAACGACCAGATGGCATGGTGGATCGATAAGTAATATGAGGTTCCAAGTTGAGACAGTGAGAATTCAATGAAACGAGCAGAGGCGTCCGAGTCTATAGGCATTCTTGACACGGCTTTTCATGCTTTTCATGTGCACCTAGTGGCTCGAGCCAATACGCGGGTTATGAGTGTAGCACTGTACACACGATTCGCGAGCAATACGATTATACGGTCTCTTCTTGCCAGGACAATAACTGTGGAAAAACAAAAATTAGTGAGTAAGAATCAAGCCACGCCGGTACTTATTTGACTTCAAGTCTGTCTGGACTTGATCGTTAACTAGATAATGGGTACTGTGCACCAGGCAGTTCATGGCATCATAGCCTGAGGAGAGTTGACAAGAAGTACACAGCCACAGCCTGAGCCTAAATGCGCGTTGCAACCTGCCCACCAGGACCCAGTGACCTCAATCAGCGCCAGCATTTTGCTCTCGAGTCCAAAGCATTATCATGTCGTTCGAGCATGCTCCAGTCACTAAAGGTTTCATGAGGCTGCTTCACTATATCAACTAGCTCACTTACCCTTTCCTACTGTGTTTCAGGTCTCATGATGGGTAGCGCATTGACGTCCATCATCGGTGGCATTTTCGATGTCAAGCACTACTTACACCTTCAGGTTCGAGTCTTGATCCGTTAACAGAGAGATTTTTTCGCTCAGCTAGCTATATTCTTGCAGCTCGTGCCCCACGTGTCACGCAACCATCAGGTATCCGAGTAAAGTCTATACATGCTTCACAAAACTGAAACTGAACTAGAACTACTTCTTCTTTACAGTATTGGCGCCTCTTGCTTCATCATACTGCGTTCTCAAATTCAAGCGATCTCCTCATTGCCGAGATTCTGCTATATGGCGTCGGTGTACATATAGAACGTCAGTTTGGAAGTGTTAAATTTGCGGTGTGTAGCAACATATCCGTTCTGATGTTGATGCACTAACCTATAACAAAGTCATTTACCGTAGCCTCTGTTCTGCTTGCGACGATATTAGAGTTTCTTACTCTCATATTGTTCCACAATATGGGAATCAACCAGATCCCATCCGGTCCATCGGCGCTACTCTTCAGCATCCTTTATCAGTGGTATAGGCTGATTCCTCCAGCGTACCATTTTAAAATATTTGGAATTGCTGGAAGCAATAAAGCGTTCGTGTACATACTTGCTTCTCAGGTAATACCTTGAATTTGGTTCACGTTCTATCGTTAATATAACTGTACAGCTTGCTTTAGGGCACCTTCCGGGTTCATTTGCCCCAGCCATTGTTGGACTACTCACTGGCTTCATATATCGCTCAGAACTTGTCAATATTAAAAGTTGGCGATTGTCACCATCCATAATCCGCTTTAGTACGCGTTTCTTGCTTCCATTAGTAGGTTCTACTCGCGCACCACGACGGTCTACCCGCGCTCGTCCTGAAACAACCCATCAAACGCCAAGCCCTGACATCGGGAATGAAGAGATAATCGCCACCGCGCGTCCTTCGGCAGGCACAGAAGAAACTGGAGGTTCGGTCGTGCGGGAATGGGTTAACGAACTCACAGGGAGGAACGAGCAAGGCACCACAGGGGTTCGTGTCCCGAGCGATGCTGAAATTACTCAGTTAACAACAATGTTCCCAAATATGCAACGAGCCGTTATCGTCGGGGCATTACAGAGGAGGTTAGCTTTCCTATTATTCCATTTAGTCTTGGGCTCTGACATCTGAATTGTAGTCCAAACATTGAGAGTGCAGTTGAATTGCTCTTGGCATCCTGATCATTTCGGTTCGGACATCCTCGCATACATCTCTTTGTCCCATTCGGAACAGTGTCTCACGCATTCTTGGAATACATATATATCTTTTTGCACGCTAAGACCGTAGTTCGATATGAAAGAACATTTTCAAGCCGCCGACTCGGGTTCATCCCCTTCATACCCCTCAGCGTCCTCGTCCTCGGTAGTGAAAGCGGTCATAGGCACGGCGTACAGACGGATCACCGACTGAAACATATGAATGAGAATGGGCCCGAAGAGAGTGAATATGACTTTACCTTATTGGGGTCCTTAATAAGGACGTATTTGCCCTCGGGCATTTTCATACATAAATCAGTGATTGTTCTGACGATACCCCAGCCATTAGCGAGAGAAACATTCAGCTGAGCAGCGAAGTCGGTTGGACGCATGGAAGCTGTGCTCAGAATGACATGTCGCGTGTTGTCTTTAGGGTTTCCACGCGAGATGTAACTGTGAACGCAGGTCAAAAAAAAATCGACACCAGGAATTGTTAAACACAGGGAACCAAGTGTTCAAATAAGAAACAATGCTTACCCTATTTTCATCAGTTCAGCTCCTGCCAGCACACTCTGTACAGTCCACTTGGCAAGCTTGCAACTGTTATTTTTCATTTCTGTAGCAACTACAGCGCCACGCTGTGAATCCAGCTTGGACCGCCAGTCAGGAGCACCGCCTGCTCCTTGAGCACGGGGGTCAAATTCGTTCAATGCACGAATGGTAACTAATCCATGGCCCTCTTGTGGATTTCCTGGTCCGGGAACATAAGCATCCACTTCAGTACGGATACAGATCTTCACATCTTCATCCTCCGTGATACCAAGGTCGAAAACACGGTAGCGGTATCCGCAAGATGCCAAAGGCTCTGTCTCTTCTGGGCCATAGAATGGGTTAGAGTGGGCAAAGTCCGCCGCGATGTTTTCCTGAACAGATTGGAACCCAAAGTTTTGATTGATATAAGTCGCCTCCAAAGAAAGTGAAGTGGCCGAATTAATAGATGGCGGTTCTGGAACCGCTGTCTTCTCGGCCGGGTTGTTTGGATTTGGGGGTGCAGGGTCCTGCGGAGGGTCCGAAGCGTTCTCGTTCACCGTAACAGTGTCAAATGGACCACCATCACGTTTATCGAAGTACAAATTATTACCCTCGCGGAGAATGACAATATCCCAAGGGTTGACTGATCGAGGTGCGCACATGAGGACCGATAAGATAGCATCCGTCGTGTAGACATTGGCAACATTTTTAGAGACCAACTGTGTGCGACATTATGCATCATAAGGTGCAGAGACAACAGAACATACCTGCTGGATGACGGGGTCATCAGAAGTTGTGGTGTTGTACTTGATGCGGTCCACGAGTTGTAACGGGCGTTCCGTCTTTGTTGTAATTCGGTCATATGATTTATCATACGCAAAAACGCGGCCGTAAGTGTCACTAGTGACTGTCCTCGATACAGTACGATGGTTAAAAAACCATGAACACTCACATGTCTTCCGGCTCATCAACTTCAAGCTTGAGCTTAGCAAGCCGATGGAACTCGATCTCCTCCAACATGGTCCATTGTGGGCTGATTGCAACAGACGATTCACGAGTGCGGTTGGTCTTATCCACAAAAATTATTAGCTGAGCCAGGAGTTAATAGGACAAGCAGTAAACCTTTTCCCAGTCTCTCCATCCTTTCCGACCCCCACGCTGTGCGCCCCCTCGGTTATTGAAACCACCACGGCCACCTCGTTGAGCAACCCCCCGATTAGTAAAGGATACACCACCGCGACCAGTAGCCCTTCCACGGGTGAACCCACCGCCCCTGCGTGGAGGAGCAGCTTTATTGTCCACCAGAGAAAAGCTAGATTCGTCTTCCACGTGGAAGTAAGCAAACGCACTGGCAGTCCCACTGCCGAATGCCTGAGCACCATCTCTTCTTGAGCGACCCGGACCGCGGGCATCCCTTGTTGAGGGAAGTCCTACTGCAGTTTGGCGAGTATCGCCTGTGTCATTCCAATCAGCAAAGCGGCCGAGTTTATCAGATTTCGAGTATGGCGCATATGGGATGTCCTTGAACTTGAACTGTTCAGGAATGTTAGAAGACGACGGGCCCCATCCTCCGTCAGGGTTGTCATGAATTGGCGGTAAAGTGAAGGAAGCCATTGTGTCTGCGTTGATGGCAAACAAGATGAGCTACTGAAATTTTGGGTTCAAGAGGGCGTGGGAATCTTGCCTTCATCTTCTACAGTCATGAAGTGGGTATGAATCTATGATCACTCCTCCTAAAGTCTATTCCTTCTAATTCTTGAATTCTGACAGCGTCGTTCGGGAAATAAACAAGATTAATGAACGTGAGCTCGAACTCGGGATTTCAGGATCATGGCATGATGAATACAAGGGTGAGTCGCGGTTCACTGCTGCAGTGTTCTGGTGCTCTGACGCGTGCATGTTTCACTATACTAGATTCTGCATATGTATTTATCGGTGGTCTGCACTTTGACCTGACTGAAGGTGACGTGATCACCATATTTTCCCAGTACGTCAATTACTCTGGCTATTTGAATGTCGTTGAACCGCTTGGAAAGGTATGGGGAAGTTATGGATGTCAATGTTCCTCGGGACAAAACGACTGGGAAAACGAGGGGATTTGCCTTCCTTATGTATGAAGATCAAAGGTCCACGGTGTTGGCTGTTGATAACCTCAATGGTGCCAACGTGCTGGGTAAGACGCTACGTGTGGACCACGTAAAGAACTATAAACAGCCAAAGGTGAAAGGCGAGGACGGAGAATGGGAAGAACCAGAAGAGCAGAGTTTGAATGCCAGGCCAGAGATGGTCATGGGTGAGTGGCCCCCTTCTGAGTTTCGGGCAGACTTTAATGCATGTTGCCATCAGATGGAGGCCAAGCATCGGATTCAGATGCATCTTCGGTTATTTCCATTGATCCGGAAGATCCTATGCGGGACTACATCTTGGCGCAGAGGAAAGAAGAAAAAGCTCTAAAGAAATCTAAAAAATCGAAAGAAATCCAAAACGTCCAAGAAGCGGCGCAGTGACGATGACAGGAGATAACAGGGATGAGTAATAAGTATTTGTTTTTTTTTGTCAATGATCGTATCTTAATACCGCTATACACTGCATGTGATGTATGGCATGCGAGATTTCGGATGTTTCGAACATGGAAGGTTGTCATTTTGGGCAGTATGTCAAATATTATGAAGATGGTCGCGGCAAGAACCGAATGGATGTACCCTTTGGCTGAGGAACACTCGAGTTTGTTCTGACCGAGGGAAATCCACAACTTGGATGTACTACGATCCTATAGGTTCTTGCCCTTGAAATCTGGCTTGTAAGCGACTGACACCTGTCTTGCTGTCAGGTGAAGACACCAACCCCTGCAATAAATCGAGAAGAACCTAAAGAATCACGACTCACCGCGTGCTATGTCAGTCTTTATACGCATGATCACGATCGCTTGAAGGATAAATTCGGTTTTCGGTTGCAGAAGAGTTCTTCGCAACCTGTACCTGGGGAGTTTGAGACACCGCATTCACGGCCTGAGAACAACTGGTCGGTGAGAGAATATGACCGCTAAAGATGAAAATATAAGCACACAGAAACAGGAGAGATATGTTTGGAACCATTGAACCATCTTGGGATGTCCTGTGAAGGCCCCAACGTCATGTAATAAACACTACTGGCATTCTTGTGGCATGCATGGATTACCAACTGGGCATCCTGTCATTTGAGGCATACACAAAACGTGAGAGGTAAAGCCGGTGCTCGCTAAATCCACTAGCATCTGAAGCAAGGGAGTGTCAACTCGGGATCGAGAGCGTCCCTGGTGAGACTTTGAAGCAAAAATATGTATAGACAAGTTCCCGTGTCCGAGGGCTCCTTAGACCTCCGTGGATGACCTTGAAAGGACTTATTACAGACCGCGGAGTTAGAGATGGCGAATTGTGCTGAGGGCCTCTGCTTCACTCATCATTAAGCCATACAGCCCTAATGCTGACCAGGAGTGCTCAAGATAGATAGGTCCGCATGGGCTATCATACGGTGCGGCGTCGCAGCAGGGATCTATTTCATAGTGCAGATAATGTTAGAAAGATAGCTGCTCCTATCATAGTCAAATTAGTTACATGCCAGACATGACTAACACAAAATTCGTGGCTTACTTTGCTGGATGAAGAAGCTCGCAGGCGCGAACGGAGAAGTCAGGGCGTTGTGCCGTTGGAGTTGGCGGATGCACCACCCTTTGAACTAGTTGCGAGGAGCATGGACAAAATTGTAGAAATCATGTTGTCATGCACATAACTATTCACATATTGAGTAAACCTGATGTCTAGTGGCATCCAAAATATTTGATCGTGACAAGGTACATTTCGCGGCAGTGGACGCATCCTGGAGCTTTGAAAGTCAGAATACCTGTTGATCCAGATAGGAGTTCCTGTCCACTCTCAGAAGAAAGAATCATATGTAATCTCAACGGGACTACCAGCACCGTCGTCCTCAAGGATACGAGAGCATATGGTTGTAAAGCGAAGCTGGATATCAACATCCTCACTCGAAGAGAGAGCCCATTAAGGCGGGCACACTCCAAGACATCCTCAGGCTCGTGTACGAGGGAAACTGCTATGCGAATCCGCCAGCCTGCACCAGGTATTGCCCTCTTGCTCCGGTCGAAGGGTATCACAAGCCTGAAGTCTCCGAACCGGAACAAGGGGGCAATGCTCATTGCAACGGTGCCCATATTTAATCTGATAGAATATCCAACGGTGAGCATGACAAAAACAAACCAAGAGCAAACTTGAAGTCAAACCAATTTTTTTTGAATGATCATGAGAAGAAAGACGCTCCATAATTTCGGGTGTTTCGTGCGACAGTTCCAAGTCCAAAGTACCGGTGCGCTGTGATGCCTGGACGCTAAACTAACTGCCAGGTCACGGTCTCCAGAGGTGTGGCACAAGCCAGATCAGGGTCGCGATAAATGTATTTTTCAATGATGACGACACACGTGACTTCGACATACACTGGCAGCTCATCATGATGATTACCTGAGCCTCAGAGACTTCAAGTTTGACTGTTCATGTTCAGGAGAACAAATCAGTCGTCACGCCTTTTGTGAGCAGATCACGTCTGATTTACAGTCGTCTTGGACACCAGTAAGGACATTCAAAGATCTACTCAAAACGCTTCTAAACAACGTCTATTGTCTTTACAGCCACTTTCATTTATTGTATTATTCAACTCCGAAGGTGCTTTTGCAGAGGAGAAAGTTATCAAAGAGGGTTAAAAACCTTGCTTTTGATTCGCAGCAGAAGCTCTCAAGTTGTTCACATTTATTGAGTCTCTAGCGCGTTACACGATTTTATCTGGCTGGCGGACTCGGAACGATGCCTATCACACGCTCTGCCAACCCAATTTCATTATCGACGTCATCTAAAGCCAAACCTCGTTCTAGTATTGGAACGACAACAGATCTTTCAACTCCGGGCACGTCTCCGCGCCGCACTCCCCACTGCAAGACATGCCACCGACCCAGGCAGGGACATCCCCGCTCCGGTTGTCCTTATATTGAGCCCACGATGTCAGATCAGACTAGTGGTGCCACAGAAGATATTGTAGACGAACTGTCATCCTTGCGCATCGTGAATTCCAATGATGAGCGTTCTTCCCTTTCCACTGAAACACCCATCCAATCCAAGAACCTCAAACGACGACTCTCTGTCCGTTTCGCTCTTCTTCCAGCGGGAAGTCTCGCTTCACTCTCCACCACATCTTCGGAAATCGTAGAGAGACTTCTCCAGCCAGGAATGATGAGTAACGTGTCCGATGATGATACCGATGATGGTGATGGTGATGGCGATGGCGATGGTCAGAGAGCAATAATGCAATGGAAACGGACTTTAACTCGTCCCGAATCACCTCCGGAAGACACTCCAGAAGTCAGTTCCAGTGCGGGAAACGAGACATACACAACCAGTCATCGTAGTTCCGGTACCGGCCTGTCACGTCGCATGCCGTGCACGCTGCGGACCCCGACTCCGAGCCTAGTGTCCACAGAACCACTTTCTAGCCATCCCACAAGTGACTCTGTCGATATGAACAAAACTGTCTTCCTTGATCCAGATTCCGAAAGGAAGCCGAATCCTCTGGCGCGAACGATGAGTGCAGACGAAAGATCATTATTCCTCAATAATCTTACGCAATCATCAGGGATTGCGCCTGCCATGTTATTCTCCATCCCATTAATCGATCTCAAAGCCGTACAACATGACGCAGAGAAACTAGGTTTCAGCGTCCGAGTTTTGCCGAATGGAAGCTTACGAGAGCATCGATGGGTCATATTGGCTAAGGAGGGAGATGCAGCAGAATTCCTTGAACAACGTCTCACGGAGGAAGAGGAGAAAGGGCGGAAAGCAAAGGGGAATCTTGGTGTTGCCGCTGGCGGAGCACTAGTTGGCGCTGTGGCGACATTCACGGGACTGGCGTTTTCTTGAAATGGCTTTCCTTGTCCAATACACTGACAATCGGTTCCATGATAAAGTACTCGTATGTATATCTGTATGGTAGTAGCATGTCTTATTGGTTTTGGCCTGCGGTCTCCTGTCCTGCATTGGGTTGGCCATATTTGAGCTGTACCAAACAAACACAGCACCTTGTATCTGCTAGGCGTTAACACTGTACATTTCATAACAGAAATGTCCACGTCGCCAGGAGGCACTGTTGAGAGTTTTGAGACGTACACCCAGGGAGCTGAACGGGATGATCGGGGTACTGGTGACCTTCCAACTTATAACGATGTTGCCGCTCAAAGCGGTCCAAATTCACGGTGCGCAAACAGGAGGATGCCTTGATCAACACAATCTCACGTATTTACTGATCGTAGCTTTGGTCGCTGGAGAGGCTGGATAGAAAAGAGGCGAGTGCGCTAGCCCTGATTGGTATGCTTGTTTTTGATCGGGATGCAGAGCCGCGGAACGTTATGCAGACGTTACTACCGAGGAGTTTGAGCGCAGGCGAGCTAGAGGGTGGAGTGAGGATGAGTCTTCGCAGGCTGCTGTATGTGTGCATTCTGCTTCATGATGCTGTGGTTTACTCATCTGGCATCGTACAGGAGGAATACCAAGACGACTCTATCCCGGAGTCTCCCAGTTCAACACCTGGGCCACCGCGCTTAAGAATAAATGCAGATCTTCCTCCTCCTTCTCCACAGGCACTTTCCGATGAATTCACAACTCCTGAACCAACGCTGGAGCCATCACTGGAGCCTTCTCTGCACATACCAGAGGAACATCTGTCCCCGACTCATCTCTCAATCTATCATTTCGGATCTCGTTTTTTACCACACTCAACTGCGCCTATCAGATGTATCCTTCCTCTCCAGCATGATCGTCTCCTACTCGTGGGCACCGATGTTGGGCTGTCGGTGCTCAACATGTTCCCTGCAAAATGGGCTGATGAGACAAGTCCTGATGGGGTAACCGGTCTCATTCAGCAAGGACCCGCTGATGCACAGGCCAGAGTAATGTGGACAGGAGAGGCGTAAGTAACTCATCATTCGTATGCCCCTTGCTAGCTATTAATGCCCGGTATATTGTAGTGTTTACCAGTTGTCGCTTTTGGAGTACGAAGACGCCGGCGAAAGTGCCCCGCAGGGGGTCGTACTTGCTTTGGTAGGTCCTGAACTCGAAGACTCTCCATCTTCTGGCGCGCATCAAGAATCCCCGCGCTCTCTCAGAATGTATAAACTCGCCAGTCTGACCAACCTGGCAAGGTGGGCCATCGCGCATCAAGTGAGACAGTTATTTAGTCTTCCCTCACGTCATCCTAAGTATTCATTTCGCTGGGCCAGGACGCACAGCCTGTTGATTTGCACAGGTTGTCAGACTGGCATTCCCAAGAGATACCAGTGAAGAAGCACAGACCAGCAAGTAGTATTACGAAGGGCTTACGAAGTCTCATCACTGAGCCCCCCGCTCGTAAGCGACGGACCAGTTTCCTTCCAACATCAAATACAAAGCCGCCGTCGACACCAGCACGTAAAGATTCATCTTGGGATGTTGTCGACGATTTACCATTGCGCTGGGCTACTGATTTTACGTCACTCTCGTCGACTGGGTCTAGAATGTCGAATACGAGTGTGGTTTCCTATGCCCTCTGGCACGAAGGTAGCACGAGCTCCACTCGCCATGCACTGCTTGCCGTGGCGACTAAAACCAACATATATCTATACGAGACTCCGAGAGGAGAGAGGGCTTTCCATTTCGTGAAGGTGTGCATCGATCTTCTGATGTTTAATTTGAGTACAAGACTCTTTGCAGGAATTTTACACGCCATCCCAGCCACGCTCTCTTACCTTCGTCCAGCAATGCGTACAAGACACTTTTCGATCACCGTATGATGTTGGATCTCCTCGAGCGACTGTTGGGCACGGTCATAGCCGTGTAGCTTCCACAGACGCCCCGTACAACTCGCGTACACCCGTAGTTGCACCTGTAAACATCGCATATGAAGCCCAAACAGCAATTTTTGCGGTATTCGACAAAAGGGCTGGAATCATACGAGTAGCTGATTCAGCAGTCACGGAAGTGGACATGTTCGAGAATGGAGGGAACGTTAGCAATCTTTCCCTTGTATCTGGAAGTGGATCCAGCGTGACACTGAACGCTGGAGGATCTCTCCGAAGTCGTCAGTCTCGCGGTTCGATGGATTTTGCGGCTGGAAAAGAACACAAAGGCGCTTGGGTTTTACCCTCAAAGGTTGACATTCCAACTATACATATTCCTTACCTTGGCGCCTCCTACAGCAACGTTTTTGTCCTCACGCGCGGCAAAATCACACATATCGTTGCTGCCCCTCTTCCCGCATCTATTCACGCCACGCCTCCTTTGTACATCGTAACCTGGGATTTCCCGCCTTCGAGCGTGACTGCACGAATGCATTTGCCAGTGCCGGGTAGTTCACAAGAGCTTCCTGAACCATCCTTACAACTGATTGGGATGGGCGATGAAGGCGTTGAGGCACACGAAGTGCCTCTATCATATCTTTCCGGGATTTATAAGGGTAAAGGGAAGGAGCCTCCCTTTGCGCAGAATCCACTTGGCGAAGCTGGTTTCCTCACGGTTGGAGGACATTGGCGTCGTTACATCGGCGCGCCTCAGTTGGAGAGAATGAATTCTGCTATGTCTGCTAGCTCGTTTGAGAGCACTGGAACAGAAGAACTCTTATCGCGCATGAAGGCCGAGGAAGGTGTGTATGGGTGGTGGCGGAAGGAGTGGCAGGACTGGCGAATCTTCTGGTTGGGAGGTGACACCAACAACAGCAGTTCGGTGGATAACTGAACAACGACACTAACGTCCTTTCACTAACTTGGTACTTCCGTGGACATCTTAATTCGGTCTAATCACAACAACTTAATTTATCCATGTCATGGCATGCATGCATCAAGTCCAAGGTACTGTAATCGTACATACTACTGTAACACAAAGTAGTGTGGAGCAAATGTTGAGACCCACGAGTGCAGTAAGAATTACACGTGCAAGAGATATCGTACTATAAGAATCCCGGGGCGGTACGTCATAGATGTCAAGCAGAACAATGTAAGAGAAAAGTATAAAAGGGTGTCTATGCACATTATAATATCAATTCATGGCTTCCGAGATTTCACTTGCGAAGAAGGTCCTCCTCCAGTTTCGTCCATTGAGTATCTAACCTTGTGAATTTGTGGATGAGTATCGGGTTGTGATGACTGAGGTTTCCGTGCCCGAATTACGACAAACGACTTTCCAGAATCCTTGGGAGGTGAACTACCTTCAGGCTCCACTTCACTCACCACACTGTCCAGTCGATCCCCCTCACTATGCCTGCGATTCCTTCGAATGTTGTACCAATGTCTCTTCTTTGGTTGGTCAGGATCACTGCTCGATTCCCCGCTATTCGTCTTGGTCGCCATCGAAGGATGCTCCTCCTGTTGGGGAGCATTTACAGGCGTTGCACTTAATGCAGCTATATCTCCAATAATAACTGCTGTTTGACTCTTCGTGCGCACGTGTGGCAGCATTGCTCCAGCAGGTAGTCCAGAGTTCGTAAGTGCAGGAAGACGCGCAACATTCGCTATGGAAGTAGTTGGGGTGGGTAGTTCTTCATCGTCATGGATCGTCTTCGTCGGTGTCCCAACAGGTCCACTACCCTTGCGTTCCATGCTAGGGAACGTGAAAGTTGAGCTCCCCCCAGTCTCGTTGGCAATCGCGTACGGTGAGTCATAGTGGGCGCGACCACCACCGATGCGGGAAAAACCTGAATTGGAGTGTTGGGGAGGTGAGCTAGTCGATGTGCGGTCGTATGAGCTGCGGGGACCTGGTCCTGGGAATGGCTGCCACGCGCCCATGATATAACCACTTTCTGCATCGTCATCGCTGTCTTCTCTGTAAGGCTGCAGAGCATGCTCGGGTCGCAATACTGACGGTGGGGGTCCACCAGAATGATGAGAGGAGCTGGAACCTTTGTCTTTCTGTGCGAAAGATGCGTTGGGTGGTGCATAGGAAGATGAATCATGTGCAGTGAAAGAGTCTCGAGCGACAGGTGAATGTCGTACTTCAGTGGCTTTGTAGTGTCTTCGTTCGCGACCACCTCTCCGTGGCCCGCAACATCCGAGAAGAGAAAGCACACCGATCAATCCGCTATCGACTGGCCGCCTGGAGTGATCAAAGCCGATCTGACCAAGAATGCGCACGACAGCTTCAATGACCTTGATGACAAGAATCAAGAACAACGCAAGATAAACAAGGCAAAGGACGATCAGTATGCCATAGGCTACCCAACCGCCTGCGCCTGCGCCAATTGAAATCTGGACAACGAGCTCTTAGCATTGGACTGTACAGAGACAGGTGGGCTTACTGTTGGCGTTAAAATCACTAGCAACACAGCAACCACGATACGTGCAACACAAAATAAGAAGCTGATGAGGCCCATGCCTGCTCCTGCACCCCATGGTAACCAAACGCTCGTGACCAAAGCGCTAACAACTTCTGCCACCAAAATTATAATTGCTTGTGCTGTTCCACTGTGCTGTCCGCATCCTATAGTCACACCGAGGACGAGGTTGGACAGGAAAAGCAAGCTTGAGAAAAGCTGCGAGTTCTGACGGTAGTGATTGTAAAGTGGACCTAACGCAAGAAGAGTGCGTGTTTCGTCATATAATTTGGTTGTTGATGTCCGGCCTAGCCGCAGGAGCAGAAGAGAAGGAGCGATCACGGAGAAGAGAGCGAATGAGAGAGCACCAAGGGCTGTTGAGGACGCTGAGCTTCCTGCTGAAAATTCGTAGCACGAGAATATGGTGACAGGTAAATGAAAAAGGACAAGAACGCGCACAAGGTTTCCTATGAGCACGCTAGAGTGAAAAGAGCTGACTTCCGGTCGAAACAAGCGTCTCCTGAGCAAGGTATAGTTGTGGCCAAATCCGGTTGATGATCTGCTCTCATCTCCACTTGTGTCGAGCATGTCCTTACTTCCCGCCGAAAGTCGTCGAATTTGACCCTTGCTTGTTGCGACTGTGAGTGCAGCAGATGTCGGTAAATTGCCTGACGGTCGCCGTGAAAATACCCAATCTACTATCCACAGGAACAGACTGAGCAAGATTGTCCCGGCTATAATGGCCAAGAACAGGGTTAAGCAGATTGTAAAGAGATCTTGAGGTTGCACTCCAACACTCCATGCAAAGGATTGCATCCCTGTGGTAGTGTTCGGTGGAAGTAGGAAAATTGTGTTCGGAATCGACTGGTCAACGTAGATAACGGAAGACGGATCGGCCAACTGATCGGCGAAGTCTGATGGTGGGTTATACGGTTGGACATTCAGCGGATTCCAGTGCGTGGAATGTGCGTTCAATGTGATGTCTACAAACCATTAGAAATTCGCATAGCACTATTCAAAATCTAAACTTACTGTACGTCAGCGATGCCCAAGCAGTTTGGGAAAGTAGGGGATCTGTAATTCATGACATGGCATGTAAATCAAATCTTGGATTGCTACTCACAAATGAAAGGCGGCCACTGGACAGCAACCATAGCTAGTGCTGCACACCACTGAGTGTGAAAGATGATATCACGCAACGATGGGGAGCCTGATGGACCATGAGCGCCGCAAAGGACGAACAGAACATGTGAAATTACTCACAAAATCTCATCAGTGCAGGTGATGTTGAAAAGCGCTCACCGCTGATAGCACTAGCAAGAATGAACCCAGTGCTCTCAAACCGGTGCCAGATGCCTGGACCGGGTCTACTAAAGCCCCGACTCCAGGCAGATACGATCCGAGCAAAACCAATGATGAGCCAATAAGTTGCTGCAAGACCGACTGTTGCCCAGAATATGATGTGGGCATTGCCATATGGCGAACCAAGTGGTCCAGGATGAAGTGGTGTGGTTGTGACGCTAAGACATAATATCTCATTTCCAGACGGGTCGACAGCTCGGAGTTCTGTGTCCATAGTTGTCAAGGAATTTTGGGTATTGAATGGTATGGATGCAGAGAGTGCAAATTGCCCCGCAGGGATGGGGCAATATGTGGTATTTGTGCCGAGAGGTGGCAGAGGAGAAGGTGGGCGTAATGAATCGCATAAAGCAGAGTTATTACTGAAGGTATTCATGGTAAGTGTCGTGGCATCCGTAAAGAGGGTAGCTTGGAGGGAAGAACATAAGACATGCGGTTAAAGCACAAGAACAAGCATGCATACAGAGGCTGGTGCTGTTAGCAGAAGAGGCAACGATCTCCTGGGAGGCATTCCCCAAAATCGTGATATTCAGCGTCTGTCCATTGATGATTTGCGAGTACACTGTGTCAACTGAAAGTTTCTGTGATGCACTTCCTGAGAAACAGTCATAAAATGGAAGTGTTGCGGGCTGTGCGAATACCGAAGGGAGAGACGCGGAAAATGACAGGAAAATGAAAGCCCACAAGACCGAGCAATATGACGAAGAAAAGATTGTGGACATCGTTGAGTACGACGAGCACGGGAAGTGCTGCCAGACTCCAAGTCCAGGTGCACAGACTTCCCACCATTTACCACGCCACCAACACGGATTTCATCTCCGTTCGTCGAACACAGGCTGTTGTAGCAGCGGACGTCTAGGGCCGTCCGCTCATCGTGTGTAACGATTAGACACTGTTGATTTTACGTAGGATGCAGGATAGTCGACCGACAGACCTCAGCTAGCCCATTCTACCCGATATCAACTTGTACACGTTCCTCAATTGCGCAATACCGCACCACCGTCACAGGCGATCTGAACTTGGTCTAGTCTTTCTTCCGAGTCAGCTCGCCAAAGCGTGTATCTGGAGCATATAATTGGATCCGATGGTACTGAGGTTGCGCAGTCGGCGTTTAGCAACACGCACACCATAGTTATAATCAAACCACTCAGCCGCTGATTGCGACCGGCATAGCCTCAAATAATTGGCAAAAATTGCTGACTCGGACATTGATCTCATATGAATTCATATTGGATCTTGTAGCTTAAGTGCCAGCGTTACCACTGTTGACAGAGTATATCCCCAATCCCATTTCACCACAACCATGACGATCCGCAGCCGCACAGAATCTCAGATTGAGATGGAAAGGTATGGAAGCAGCCGTTTCAAGTGTTTCTGCTTGTAGACCGGTTTCGAGCACATTTTCCGGGTAGTATTTGATTTTTAATTGTTTCTGCGCACACGTTGGCCTATCAACACTTACATAGAACATATAGTCATCGTGCCCTTGGATTATTTCTCGTCCTTGTCTTAAGGACACGCAAGGTAATTGTGAGCAGGACTGGTTAGGGTTGAGCTCTATAGTGTGCCACTAGAAGTCGGGCCTTTGCAAGCATTAGCGACAATCCTAATGAAGACTTTTCAGAAATGTTTCATCTTATCCGTCAGCTCGCCGTCTGAATAATGCTGAAGCTGTCTCAAGGGCCACTAGGGAGAGAGGCTTGGACCAGAGACTAGAGACGGGAATCTTCGATTGATAGATTTACGCTAGGATAGCATACCTAGCGACCGGAAGAAAAAATATTCAAGCCTGTAGTCAGAAGAGTCGAAATGCGTATATATGGTTCGATAAATGCTCTCACCGTACTACGTAGTGTTCAATTGACAGATGCTACTGAAGGGAAATCGTTTCAGGTGACTAGACATAAAAGACTGTTTCGGAACAGGGAACGAAAGGTGAACACGGGTAACAGAGTGAACGACGCATGAAAGGAATGACGATACTTATAACGAAATTCACCAAAACCGTTTAGAAGCAACCGCACAATCGACCAGTTGCATGATCTCCTGATGCTGTGAATTGGGGTTCGGTGAAGGAGGACAAGAAGGAACGTAGTCTTCGTCGGGTATGAAGTCCTCATTCTTTCTGAGAGCAGCGTTGCGTCACAAATGGATGGATGAATCGTGTAGTGCTGTGAGAAAATGATCCAGCACATCTCTTTGCCCTGCGCAAGAGGAATATTAACAATAGGCGGCGGTGCATGACCTGCACCAACGGGCTCCCAGGGTGGTGGTTGTGCGGATTGAGACTGAACTGGATGCCTTTGAGTCATGGCCTGTACGGAAAGGCAGGGAGGTAGGGTAATGTAGCACGGAACTGCTTGCAAAGGAGACAGGTAAAAGGGGCCTACATCGAGAGGATGACGTTGATCATTCCGGACAGGAGGAACTACATCCGTGCGAGAAGAAGGACTTTGCGGAGGTAACAACGGAAAGCACGTACCCGTGGGTGTGCCGTAGGGGAATCCCTTAGTGGGTGGGAGAAGGGAGGCGATATCACTAGGTTACGGCGCACGGCGCGTTGCATCGCACTGTAATATCAGCATTAACATAGTGGAGTAGATGAGTATGGGTCACGTACGTTAAGTAAATCAGTGGGGCGTCGATTATGAGTTACACTGGCTGGTCTACAAGAAAATATTAGCGCACACCTATGAGTGAATGCATACAGTAGGCTGCACAGGTCAGATGCTAGCAAAAAAAATCAGGTGGAGTGTTACGTATGTAGATCTTCGTATCTTCCGGACTTGTTGTGTAAGCCAGTTCGGGCGAGGAGCTGGCGAGACTCGAAGGCCCAGAGCTTGATGGTGTTCGGATTATCCTTAGAAGCGCTAGCGAGAAGAGCGCAATCGAATGAGAGTGCAGGAACAGAGATGGTGTAGATGTGCCCTTCGAAAGGAGCTCCTACAGTCACCGGCGTTGTTGCATGACTCAAACTCACAGATTGTCCTAGCAGCCTCGTCCGAGTCATCCGTGAAGCGAATTGTGGCCATGATGGTTTTGTCTTTCGTTGCCCAAAACACTGGCGCATATGTTATTTGCCCGCCAGTACAATAATCACCTACTCTGATATCTAATGTCTGTGCTTGAACATGCCACACTTGAAGCTTCAACTTGAAGGCATCCCGTCTCAGTTGCCCTGACTGCGAGCTTTTTCGAGCCTTACGAAAATCGAATCGCGCTCGGTCAGTCAAGAATTTGGAATGGACTAAACATGAGTTTTCCAGTGTCCAAGTTCTGGCATATTCGCACTTTCGATTCGTACTTGCCGGCAGCCTGAGCGTGCTGTCCGCGGAAATATCGACGTAGAAGATGAGTTGGTCTTGAAGTATTCTCACGATCCCCGCTCACCAACGTGCCAGTCTTACGGATATCTGCCTCTTTGGCAGATCCATGTGCTGCTATTTGTATACGGCAAAATGTCAAACTTGAACCTCACCTCATTTACATCGTCACTTCGTTCACCACCTGACTCTTAAACACAGGGCTATGAATTGGGTTGCCGTCCAAGCACTCTGTCGTGACTTGGGATGCACGTGCTATGGAAGTTTATCATGAAGATACGTTGGTGTCTCTCGTAGTCTTGCTATGATGTTTATATCCAGTTCTTCATACATAGCACGAACCCCAGTTAATGCAGAGGCTGTGGAGCTGCGCGGCTGCTTTGAGCTCAGTCCTCCTTTCGTCTCCAGAAAATAACTATTGAAGAAATTCCTGACGAGGACGAGCCTGTTAGCACCTTTGGTACGAACGCTATGCTTCGACATCAAATGAGTCGGAAGTCTTTCGACTTTAGACCAAATTCCCCTCTACCTGATTTTTACTAGACTCGTGACCAGTCTGAGTCTAGATCTTGGCCAGGACAGTGAGTAATTTAAATCAGACCAACCGAGGCCCCCTGATTCGAGACGTCTGGACCTGGACCTTGTGACAATCGGTTACTATTAGTTACGGTCTGGTCTATGTGTGAAGCATTGGTGGACGGTCATTTCGTGTCACACTGTTCGCAGGGATGGACCTAATCATGTTTTCCGTCCCAAAAGTGTGACTCATGAAATGACCGTAACCGATTGACACTACTTACTGGGGTTAGACCTGGTTAGACGTTAACTAACGTGCCTTGACTCAAGCTCGCTGGCTCGCACTAATTGGCTCAGTGACAGGCTTGGCTTGCACAGGTATTTTTTTCTATCGCCTACTCGAGCATGTCTAATTAATAATTCCACTCAACAGTTTATTTCGCCAGTTTATTTGCTGTTTGAAGTCCCAGGAGTTCCAAGAGGTTCGTAATAGACTCTCTCTTACTGCTCCGTTGGCATTAATGACTCGTCGTCGACGCACTGAGTTGTCACGTGTGGCGACACCATGGTATACCTCCTAGTCTCTCCTTCTCACACCGTAGTCCTAATCAATTTCGCCATTTTATTTCATGACAGTACTTGCAAAGCTCCCGAGATAAAATGCAACTAAACTGCACATAGCGAAGCTTGACGAGGACTGAACGTCACCACGCAGGAGTAGTCTTTCAACTGTGGACGTCAGTGCAGATATATCATTGAAACACATTCATACTACCGTGGCAGATTCCCCGCATGCTATAACGTCTCTCAAAGCACTTACCATCATCATATTGGCTGATGCAGTGACCAACTCTTTGCAGCTAAGTCTGGACCATGCGGGTCATATGACCAACAGAAGGCAGAATAATTCTTCGGCACCTCCTCCATGTCTCTTCAGCGAGAACTTTCAAGACTTGGTTCCAGTGAGTTTCTTGCTGGTCCATGTCAGCATTGTCAAGCAGTGTCGCGTCTCATCCAATCGGCATTTCGGCAGCTCTCTCGCATAGAAAACTCCGACAGTATGCCAAGTGCGAAACCACTCAATAATTAACGTGCCTTCGTTGTCTGACATCTCGGCGCTCGCGCACGTCCGTGTCATGACAGGAACAGCACCGCAAACCTTATTTGACAGTTTATCGCAGTTCATTTCGTCTGCACACTCGAAAAAAATGGCGAAATCAACCGTTATTGAGTAGGGTCGGTCGTGGTAGAAAAGCGACGAGCTATTCCTCCTTAAAGAGTCCCTTTCTGTCGAAAGTGGAGCGTCCGAATCATAGCATCCCTTTTTGCAGAAGCCTTCGCCTTCGTCACATCATCCTCCTCGGTTGATATCCTACATTCCTTTTTTTCTTTACCTCATCCCTCGCATCAATCTATCTATATCAAGGACTGACGCAGAAACGCAGAACTGATCAACGCGTCTTTCATCTATCAAATGGAACAGCGCTTAGTTACAGACAGCGTAACCTCGGAGAAGTATTTGCGAATAGCATCCATCTCCATTGCAACTTACGAGTAAGTCCTTTCTTTCAGCCCCGTAGATAATCTGACTGGTTACGCTCAGTTATATCCTAACACTCCCCGCAGAATGGCGCTTTTACCGAAGCCAATCGTCAATCTTTCATATAAGGTATGTGTATGCGGGCATTCGCATACCACCGTTGACAACCTCGATTTCTATCAGTCTTGTCTGTGCCTTATTCATTCTCATGCGGTACGTTTTGTCCTCGGTCCGTTATTTTTTTTCGCTCACATTTAATGCAGCTATGTTAGTATCATGGCTATGGTAGTCAGTAATTATGGATACTTTTCTACCACCTATACCCAACAAACGTGTCAACGATACTATATTGTGGCGCCTATCTTCAAAGGTCCATCCTATCGGTATTCACCCACCAGGATTTTATTGACCACGTTATAGCCATACAAACTATGATATCACAGGTCATCTTGGGTGTCAGGTATGTCCTATCGAATTTTTTGTGGGTTACAACTGCAGACTCAAAAAATCATATAGGACATTCAATATTGTAAGAAGAGATAGGCGGATAGGAATTATACTATCGTTGTTATACCTTCTGTCAACTTCGGTGGGCTCTTACTACAGCCATAATATTCTCTCTCTCATTCGTTTCAGGCGGAGTGGTTTGCTGATCTATTTCACGGGACCCGTAAGCGCTGGCTTATAATTTAATGTTGGGTTCACACTGACCTTTAGAACCAATAGCTAATGTTGTTGATGTACGTCAATATTCCTTACAACATGATCTCATGCAAACAGTGTCCCTTTTTTAGGGAAAGTAAGTGGTTTATTGACCTCCAGTGTGGGCCGTTCAGAACGTCATGGACCATAGCTGCACCTCGGCGAATGCTGGCAAAGTATTGTCAACCTGGTTCTACTACCTCGCTGTGATACTGTACGATGTCGTGATTGTGACGGTATCTACCGTGCACCTTCTACGTTACAACCCCATCAGTAGCAGGTGCGCCTTTTCTTTTCCGTCTTTATGGTCGCTGGACCATTGCTGTCAGAGTAGAACAGCTGATACGGGTGTAAGTCCCTAACTACTGGCAGAGTCGATGCGTGTCGCTCATCATACTTAGCCTGATCTATGACGGCATTGGATATTTCATCGTGTTGTCTGGCAAGTACATTCTACGTGTGATAAGTACCCTCCTAACACTCCCTCAGCGTCGAACATATTGAACCTCGTCTTTTATCATACAACCAATATCCAGACTCAGGTGCGTAGGCTAAATCACAGATACACCATGCAAACTCAGCTTGACTCTTTCCTATTATTAGACGGCAGCGTAAGTTTCGCATTGTCTAGCGTCAAGGAGACAAGACCGTTCAGAACGCATCATTAGGGCATCAGTAGGCTATGCTGTAACGTGGATCATGACCCAGCGGATCCTCATCCGCGTACGAGGTACGCGCCACTTCAGAGCTTGACTACTATTCCGCTGACGCTCACAATGTTCATTCGCTTCGTTGCCTTCTTTCCGCTCACCCACACCTACAAAGAAAATACAAGACCAGATGCCCAACGCTTGGAAAATGTGATCGTCGCGCGTCCCACACTCGGTGCGCAGAAAAGAGTGATGTCTGGTCTGCGCTCACATTTCGAGTCCAAGAGCCACTCCAAGGGTTCTAAAAGCTCCAAAAGCGCCGGCGATGCAGAGTTCAGGCCAACATCGCCTCACAATTCCAACGACGTGGAACTCGATGTACGCGTACGCGTCGAGCGCTCGGTGGTGGTGGACTACAAGGACGAATCTGAGCATTCGAGTTCGTGGGTGAAATGAATATGGGGCACTGAGTGTAATAGAGAAGGGAGTCGGTGACTATCTGGTATGGTGGCTACCCAACATGCGTATATGTACCCACCCAGTTCTACTGTCGGAATCTTAGGGTTTTCCACTTTCAGGTTGTCCCCATTCATAACAGAGATCATCGCACATATCCGGTGAGCTGTTCAAGATTTGCTGCTGTTGGCCGAATCATATAGCCATCGCTGCTTGCTTCAAGGAATGTTCTGTGCAGGTACGCCTGCCGTCCGGAAGGTAGGAAATAGGTGAAACAGACTCGGGTGACGATGTATTCCTCGCCATTTATAATGACGGTATCTAGTTCATGATCACCATGAACCAGATCATATCATTATAAATGGCGACTGATGTCAGAATCGATTCGTGAGACGCCGCGTGCAGCGTCGAGTTGTATCATACGAGCTAGAAGCCATGCATATGTCGTTTGTATTCACCAAGAGGCTGGCAAGTATGTCAGTTACTAGGATGTATCAGAAGGTCTGGCGATGAATTCTCGACGTAGGCCTGACGTTGACTGCTTTTCAAGCCCAACACATCCGAGGGCTGTAGCAATTTCCTTGCGAAAACTAATTGTCAATTCGTCCGTGCTGAAGGTTGTTACAGGTTGTCACCAAGAGGAGGTTGGCCGCAATCACCTGATAATGACGGGCATATAGTCACGGTCGTATCGGTCGCCTCTTGACAAGCCCTTTCCCCATAATAGCCGTGCACAGCATGTCCCTTTTTTACTTTTTCCTTGTCAAACCAGCTTCTCTTCCGGCCCACTGTCATGTCATTCCCATGTTGGAGCATCCCAACCTACACAGCCTACAGTACTTGCTGTAGACCACCAAACGCCGACTCGGACGCCGCATGCGGTATCTTCTCTTACACATGACAGCTCCCTTGATGGTGTCATGCGGAGGCGTTGGCGTTTACGCAAAATCAATCAGAAACATAGCATAAGGGGTGTCTCACACCGATAACCAAATCCTACGGGGATCTGCCTCTTATCGACGATGTGCCACTGCATCTCCGCTCTACGCACGAGGTTTAGAAACACCCACACAATCTACCGCTTCCATGCTCCCCGGTGGTAATCGGCGCTGCTCCAGGTGGTTGCTGTGAATCAGGTGAGGGTGAAGGAGGACCAGAGGGAAAATGGTCTTCGTAGGGTATCAAGTCCCCATTCTTCTTGGGAGCACCCGCTGCAGCGTTGTGCTACAAATGGATGCATGAGGCCTGGATTACGGCGAGAAAATCAACCAAGCATACCTCTTTAACCTGTGCGAGGGGAGTATAGACAATAGGCAATGATGAATGACCAGGCCACCAAGTTGATAGGTGATGTAGTCGGGCTTTGAAGGTTGTGGTAGGAGAGAATTGGATAGTCAACGGTGGTGGTATGGATCGAGACTAAAAAAAATGTAAGTTGGGGTTGTGATTCAGACAGTCGATAGTGAACGACTCACAATCTCGCGGAAATCTGCGTCTGAACGTCCCTGTGTTATGACTTGCGCGGAAAGGGAGCGAGGTAGGGGCGATGTAGCAGGGAACTACACGGGACCGTTAAGACAGTTGCAAAGGAACGAGGTAGAAGGGACATACATCTAGAGGATCACGAGGCTCATCCTTGCGAACAGAAGGACTGCGAAAAGGAAGAATTTTGTGGAGGTAGCGAATGAGGCGTTGCTTTGGGCGTATCGTAGGCGGAGGCCTGAGAGTGCGGGGGACGGGAACTACCGCTGGATTACGGCGCGAGGCACGACGCGTTGCATCGGACTGCGATAGTGGTATGAACGGCTAGTGGTGAAGATGGTAAATGAACATACGTTGAGTAGATCAGGATTTCTAGTAGTCTGCAAGAGAATGAGTTAGTGCACCAACAGATAGATACACGCAGGGGAATGCATACTGCAGGTTGTGCCTCTTGTGCAGACCGGATATTGGAAAAGATGTCGGGTGGAGGGTCGCATATGTTGGTCTCACCCCAGTTGGTGTAAACCGACTGATGTGACTTGGGTGAGAAGATCAAGAGGTCGACACGTTGGTCAGTGAATGAGGCGAGGAGTTGGCGGGACTCGAAGGCCCATAGCTTGATGGTGTTGTCGTGCCTGGAAGCACTAGCGAGAAGAGCACGATCAAATGAAAGTGCTAGGCCATAGATGGTGAGTATGCCCTTCAAAGGGAGCTCCGACAATCTCCAGCATCAATGCATCAAACTCATAGATCGTGTTGAGATCTGGGCGATTGCTCTCACCAGAACTGAGTCCTACAACGCAGCTGCAGCAGCGCTACAGTCATGAATTACTTGCATCATTGTCTCGAGACATAGGATAGGCTTTCGGAAATGAAAAGCTTTGCACAGCCCGGTCAAAGAGTAGCTTCTTGCCAAAAATCCAAGGCATTCGCAGTCGTTCCTGCCAGGTCGATAACTGGACATCGAGACTGGAGCTGACGAGCGATGGTGGAGTCACAATTTCAAACTTGTAAATTCAAGAGAAATGATACTCACGTGATATTATGAAATTCTGGTGGCACGCGTTAGCAAACTGAAACGCGTCCGAGTCAGATCTGCGGTACTGCTGCACCTTCAGCTCGTCTTACTACTGGTGGATGCTACTTTTCTACCTGGACTACTATATCATTTGGCTTCTAGATCAACTATGAGCGTACCTTCAAGCGCTCCTCCTATTCCTCCCACAACCTTCCAAACACCGAATGGATCGAATAGTGCATCACCCAAAGATCTTCGAGACTTTCTCAAATCTTTAAATGATGACAATCCACCATTAGTACTAGACAAACCACTTTGGCTGCGCCTGATTGCTAGCCTCCTGGAGCAAGTCTTTGGTTGCTTTCCTTATTTCAAGCCAACAATGCTGGGCACCACCAACGAGCGCATCGAGCTCACAGACGTCACGCTCGATGTCTTTTCACGTGTCGGAAAAAGGGCTGACTCGCTTGACTGGCTTTATTCTGATGAGGAGCATCTATCCAAAAAAGTATTTGTGCACCTTTTGGGCCTTTGCACTTCAACGGAATCATGGTTGGAAGTCGTCGATTCAGGCGATTCAGGCGGTGCATCTCACACGCTCTATTCCAAGGCTTGCGGAACTCTCGTTGAGTTCTTACAACTTTTGTCATTTTCAAGTGTTCCAGGAGGAGATTCTAGTGATCTACAAAGGGGAGTCCTGCAGGACATTTTGTATGAAGCGACAAACTTGTGTACTAGTGAGTTTAATTAGCCTTGCTGTGAAACTTCTACTTACTGGTCATTTGTAGCAATGATCTCTGCTCGACACGAATCATGTCCTCTTGACGTGCACTGGTTCTCTACCCCACCGTGTTTGAAGACCACGACTGAAGACTGTTCCATTCCGGTATTATCATTACACGTCAGATTATTTTCATGCTTAGGCATCCTTTAGTGCCCTATAGACACCCTAAACGTGATCAGGCTCCCATCCCCTTCTCACTTTTCCGTCCTGACCAGCATCATCATCGAACTATTCGGCAAACTGTTTTCAACTGCAAAGCTTTCTTACTTCATCACGGCTGCTATGCTCCGTCACGTCTCTGAACTGACTCGTCGTGTATACGATTTTTGCTCTGAATGTCCTACCTCGCCTGCAACAAGATCCAGGTGCCTGCTTCGAGTAGCTGCTGCTGCTCACGCCCTTATGAGTAGTGACCCATCTCTTATCGGGGGACTCTCGAGACTGCCTTGCCGCCTTTTAATTCAACGACTCCAATATGGTCCAAATCCTGCGCAACGATCAGTCGACCGCAAGTTACGGGAGATTCTTACTTCCAATGCAAATCTGTCAGTCGACTATGTGAATGATACTCTGGAACTCTTGCGCTCTGAAACATGGGAGTTGCCTGGGAGTGAGCTTCGGGTGAGCCGCTGTAGTTTTTTCTTCTTTCAAACTTTGCAAGCTGAAACGGTGTAGGCTCTTGCGGTCGTATATATACGTGGTTGTGTGAGTCGCTTAGACGCAGCGAGTTTACAGGAAGTGCAATCATTCCTTCAAGGAAATCCCTCCTACCCTGATTTGGAACCACTGGTTATCACTGCCAGTAATTCTGTTGATAGTCCAATGAGCCAGACTGCAGACAGCATAGACTCTTCGCATTGGCGCACGACATTGCAGGGGCTCGTTAGTGCTCTCATCGTGCCTGATGAACTGCAGTGGAAGAATATTTGGCGCAAAGATACTGCATCCTACATGCAACGAATATTGGATAAGATCCAGTCCAGGTGGGCTCGGTGAGTCTGCATTACTCGTTGATGATCTTCTCTGAACGCTACCGTAGGGGACTGCATCATTCTTCGTCTTCTGCGCGTATAACACTGGCTGAAAACGTTGCCTCCCTTGCCTCGCACCTCAAGCTGTTCTCTCGGCAACAGTCATCTCAGTTCCGCATTGCCGCTGCTCTTCTATTACCTCTGAACGGAATTGTTGAAGGCCCATCAACTGAAGTCGACGTTCATGTGCGGCGACAAGCGTTTAGTGCTTTCCGAGCCGTCATCAGAGAACATTTAGCGGATATCCAGTCTGATGAGCCGCCACCTGTCTTTGATTTCTTACAACGCGGATTCAATGACAAAGACCGTTCTGTCAGAGTTGATGCTGGGTATGAAATATCTTACTTAGAGGTTAAATTACTCACATTGCACTATCATGTATAGTCGCGCACTTTCGGATTTGGTCCACCTCCACGCCCGTGCAATTGATAGAGGGTGCAAATTCAACGAAACAACTTTCATGAAGATCAGCAGCTTGCTTGAATCAAGCGTGAAGGATGCGGTGAAAGAAACGCTGCTAGTTACTATCGGTTCTATCGGGCGGTAAGCTTGTACACGCGTCCCTGAAATTGTCGACCAATGCAACTTTCCCCTGTGGCAGCGATGCTCAGTTTGAGCTTCTTGGATTAGTTGTCCACTGTTTGATATCCCAACTGGGCCAAGATAACCATGTGTTAAAAGGCTTAGCGTACACACAAGTATGTCAATCTATGAAATACGTGTCAGACTCTGATGCACCCCCAACAGCTTTTGGAGATAGCGAAAGCACAGATGAAGTCCCCTTACAATCTTGTCTCGCCATACCTTTCTCAGGTCGCAACATTCGTCGTCTCCCGGAAATGTACGAATCCAATGCTGATATTTGAGACGTGTCGATTTCTATCTGTGCATCCAACCGATTTTATCTCCGTCACGCTATCCAAAACTCTTCCGTATCTCTTTGCTAACTCCGAAGCGAAGGTTATAGAGGAGATTTCGGAGGATTTGGGTGAAACGATTTTGTCGTTGTTCATGAAGCATTCTCACCAAATTCTTGCTCATGTGTATCAACAACACGGACCAGCACAAACAACCGGGTCTTTGACGTTCATCATGAACATAATTTCTAGGGGTGCCGAGCCCAAGCCAGCTGATTTCACCGTTCGAGGCATGGTCCAGAGCTGTGTGGTGGCATTGCTCGCAGATCTAGTTGTGGTCCTAGGACATGAGAATGAAGAGCGAGCTGCGTTGGTCTGGCTTCACTCTTTGTTCGATCGTTCATGACACCTGAACATGTTATCAGGCAGTGGATGCTTTGCGAAAAGTCCAGCGGTCAATAACGAGTGAAACCGAACTCGAATTGTCTCCGTTCCTCAGGACCTACATGCTTGGCATTGTATCCAACTTGAATGAGATGTTGCAAGACGTTCATGGCAAGAAATCATTTCCAGCAAAGAAGCAGATTCTACGCGGTCTAGAGGTGCTAATCGTCCAAATCGGACCTCATGTAAATGAAGTTTCCCCTCAGGCACGTGCCTTTGTAATGTTTTCGGGACGATATATAACTTTCTCAGATTATGGCCACCCTGCAAACTATGTTTTTGGTCCCCGAACTTGCTGAAGTCACCCTATCTACGTGGTACACATTTCTGTCCACGTTGAATGTCGAGGATGTTATTCCACATATCGGCACTACCAGCGCAGCCATTGTTTCCGCATGGTCAGCTTTGTCTCATTCCACACGGGAATCCGCCAAGAAATGTTTGCGTCATATTGTCTTCGATGTTGGAAGCACCGTTCGAAATGACGCAAAGGCAAATCTACACGAGGTCGTGGACCTCGGTCATATCCCAGGGCTTTCTGAAATACATACCCAGCTTCAGAGTGTTCGCATCTGGGATCCGCGCGCGCAACTCCAGAAGATTCTAGATCGGTGCTCCAGTAACAACATCACAGTGGCTCAGGTGGCTCTCTCTGAACTCCAAAACTTCATGAAGAACAATCAACCCTCGCTTATACAAAACCTTGCGGCGGGCGACGCATTTGATCCCTTAATTGGAAGTATACAATTGACCTTATTCCAGGTTGTCAGTCGTGATGGAGAGGGTTCTGACACTCTGCGGCAGCTGGCGTTTGAGTGCATGGGCATTCTTGGGGCGGTTGATCCAGATCGTTGCGACCTTAATTCGACAGAGACGAAAATGATCGTGCGGAATAACTTTGAAGATGACACAGAAGCAAAATCGTTTGCTCTGCACGTCATCCAGGATGTTCTCGTGGACGCCTTCCGGTCTACTAGCGACATAAAGTATCAAGGACATCTCGCCTTCACGATACAAGAACTCCTGCGATTATGTGATTTTTCTACTGCCCTTGTGTCATCGGAAAACACGACATCCGTCTCAGCGTGGGTTCGCAACAGGTGGAACGGGTTCCCCAAACACGTGCTTGAAACAGTTACTCCACTCTTGGGGGCAAAATTCAAAGCTTCGCATAAGGAATTGCCCCATCTCCCTTCGCCCATTTACCCTCATCAAAAGACCTATCGAGAGTGGGTACAGCTATGGACAGCTCATCTAATAACCAAAGCGTCCGGGGGTATGGCGCAGGACATCTTTGGGGTCTTTCGCTCGGCAGTGCGCAACAAGGATGTTGGTGTCGCTCACCACATACTGCCTCACCTCGTATTGAACATCCTTGCTTCTGAGAACGACGAAGATACCAGCGGCATTATCCAGGAATTAACAGCTGTTTTGAAAGATCAGGTGGCTTCTGATAGTCTGTCCACTCCAGACAAGAAGTTCCTTAGTGCACAGGTATCTTCCAACCTGGCCATTTTCATCATTATCGCTGAACATCTGCCTCAGGCTGTTTTCACGTTGTTGGACCATCTCAGTGCATATGTGCGAGTCCAGCGACAGGATTTACCAAAGAAAGCTGAGGGGAGAAGATCACGAGGAAATCCTGAATTTGCGATACGACAGCAGCAGCTTATCCGGGTCGATTCAGTACTCTCTAGCATTGACCATGAACTCATGGCTAAAGCTGCGCTACAGTGTCGAGCTCACGCTCGCTCACTTATGAACTTTGAGAGGCAGATAGTCTCGATGAGAGAGAGACAGCCTCCCCCTCCCGGAACGGATTTCACACCCTATTATGAACGCCTTCACGAGATCTACGCACAGCTTGATCAGCCGGATGGAATGGAGGGTATATCGACTTTGATCTTGTCCCCTTCATTGGAACATCAAATCCGTCAACACGAAAGTACTGGACGCTGGACTGCTGCTCAGAGTTGTTGGGAAGTTCGCCTCCAGCAACAACCTGACAATTTAGACTTCCATCTTGGACTCCTTCGATGTTTGCGCAACCTTGGACATTATGGTAATGTTTGAGTTATTTTTTCGGCTGCAGAGCTAAACCTTTTTAGATACGCTCCGCACACATGTCCAGGGTGTTCTCGTTAGAAACCCAGGGTGGCAGTCGGTTTTGGCAGATTTTCAGGTCGAAAGCGCGTGGATGATAGGAGCATGGGACTACGTTCACAACATCACAGCGAATACGGAACACGAAGGGCCTTCCGTAGTCAAAGCCCGAGTTCTTCTTGCTATGCGGTCTGGTGAACTTCTGCAGATCGAAGAAAGCCTAAGGAAAGCACGCCTTGTCCTTGGTGCTCCAATTGCTGCTTCTGGGCCAAGTGGGCATCGTCGTGCTTATGACGCTCTGGTCGACCTGCACATGATTCACGAACTCGAATTGATCCACGAGGCTGTGTCTAATTTGCCGCCAAGCTCACAAGGCCGTAAATCTGCCATCGTGACTCTTAGCCAAATTCTTAGTGCACGTTTGGACCGTACATTGCCTACCTTCCGCGTACACGAATCCCTGCTTAGCATGCGGCGAACAGCATTTTTACTCAGGTAAATCACTTCGCCCTACTGTTCAATTTGACATTCTTCTGACGCCGACTATGGACAGCACAGTCTCTCGACCATCAATCACAAGTCAAATTGGTCAATCGTGGTTGGCGAGTGCTAAGATTGCTCGAAAAGCCGGACAGTGGCAGACCGCATACAGTGCAATGCTCCAAGCGCAGTACACCAACGCTCGATTCAGTTTCATGGAAAGTGGGAAGCTGGTCAGAGCACGGGGAGAGCCGTTGCGCGCGCTACAAGAACTTGAAAAATCCATGCGCATCCTAGGTCTCGTGGACAACAATACTATTGACTTGACGAGAGAAGATGAACAGTCTATACGGATGAAGGCAAAGGTGCGGACATATTCATTGATAGGATGTAGCTCACAATCCCGCAATCAGGCGCAAATTCTTCTTGCACGTTGGATGAACGAGTCTGATCGATACGAGGCTTCCTACGTGCTGAAACAGTTTCAGAACGCCGCTGACTCAGCTCCAGGATGGGAGAGTGCCTTTTACCACCTTGGTCACTTCCAGGATCAGTGTTATAGGAATCTATCGTCAGACGACAAGTCAAACCGGTAAGTCTCTAGGGTTATTCGTGGGTGCCTTGTCATCTCGCTGATAGATGGTTATAGTGGAATCAAGATGAATTTTCAAACCATCAAGTGTTTCACAGAGGCCGCTGCTTATGGAAACAAATTTGTATACCAGACTATTCCTCGCTTGCTCACCTTGTGGCTAGACATGGGCGAGCGCAAGGTGTCAGCAGAAAATCCGTTGTTTGATAAGATCAACAGCGTTGTCGCCAGCTCCATCGATAGCATCCCGGTGTACAAGGTGTGAAGTTACCACGACCCAACAAAATGCTTTGCTGATTCTTGCGTTCAGTGGTTTACTGCATTCCCTCAAATCGTATCTCGAATCGGACATCCCAATCGTGTTGTGTGCTTGGTCTTATCAAAACTTATTTCATCGGTCATCCGAGAATACCCCAATCAAGCGCTTTGGTTCTTCGCATCAGTCGTAAACTCGACGAAACCCAATCGTCAACAACGCGGAAGAACAATATTAGACCAGCTGAAAGTGAGTGTGCATATCCACTGTTATTGAAGTATTAAGCCTAAGACAATGGCGTAGAACAGCCCGGCGAACACAGACTCTAACTTTCCGAACCTTATCACAAGTCTTCACGCCATGATCGACGAGCTCCTTCGGCTTTGTAATTACCCCATCGCTGACCGCAAGACGCTCAGCATGCGCCGTGATTTTCCAAAGCTACTTGCGATGAAAGAGAGTAATATCCTCATCCCTTTGCAATCATCATTGACAGTCAACCTCCCGCCTGTCTCGTCTACGAGTCACCGTGATAAACGACATAATCTTTTCGACCCTTTTTCGCCCACGTTTGCTGGTAAATTATACCTACAACTGAAAGCAACGACCTTGACTGACTTGATGCAGTCTTCTACGATGAAATCGAAATCATGCACTCGTTGGCCAAGCCACGAAAAATCACCGTTAACGGTTCCGATGGCATTAAATATATGTTCCTTGCCAAACCGAAGGACGATCTGCGGAAGGATGCGCGCCTTATGGATTTCAATGGGATCATCAACAAGCTCCTCAAGACTAATTCAGAATCTCGGAGAAGGCAACTTCGTATGTTCGAATGAAATAAAGTGGTAATGGGCTGACTTCTTTCAAGACATTCGGACGTACGGCGTGGTGGCGCTGAACGAGGAATGTGGTGTTATTCAATGGGTACCGAACACTATACCTGTGCGACCCGTACTATTGAAATACTACGAGACGAGGAATATTCCAGCTTGGGTACGTTCTCTCAGTTTTCCAAGGACACGCGTATTAAGAGAAGCAGTCCAAGGAGCTGAATGATGTCACAAGACGCATCAAAGACGGTTCCGATAAAGATGCCGCTGAACTATTTGCGACCAAAATTCTTCCTGAGTATGTGGTTGTTGTATATAAGTTGCTTTGTGATTTAAGCAGTGCAGGTTTCCTCCGGTCTTTCATGAATGGTTCGTGGAGACGTTCCCGGAGCCGTCAGTATGGCTAGCTAGTCGCCTGAATTATGGGCGTACCATGGCAGTGATGTCGATGGTCGGATTCATCTTAGGGTGAGCCGATGGCTACCTCAAGGGTAGTCAACACCTAACCGATTTTTGAAAGATTGGGAGATAGGCACTGCGAAAATATCCTTCTGGACACCAACAACGGAGACTTGGTCCATGTTGATTTTAGTTGTCTCTTCGAGAAGGTACTCCAAGCCTCCTCTCATTTTTTATTTCACTCACGTGCGCTTAGGGTAAAACGCTTGACACACCCGAACGGGTTCCTTTCAGACTCACTCAAAACCTTGTTGACGGCCTTGGGGTGACTGGCATAGAAGGAGTCTTCCGTATCGCCTGCGAAATTACAATGCAACTCCTCCGCGATAATAAGGACCCCCTCATGAGTGTTCTCGATGCATTTATTCATGATCCGCTGGTCGAATGGGAGGATGAGACGAGAAAGAGAGTACGTCAATGTCTTGCGCGTGTTTTTTTTGCTGATAACTCAAAATTTTATGTTTCAAGCAACGCCGCAATGCCAAAGATAGAAAGACAAATCGAATTCAGCCGCTATCAAGGCTGCTGATTTGAGATTATGGGCCAAGTCTGCGCTGCGGCCGATAGAACGGAAATTGAAAGGACTATATTCCCCGACAAATGTGAAGGAGCGGACTTATGGAGGAATCACAAGAGGAGGAGAAGATGAACGGGAAATCTCGACAAGCAATCTCGTCCAGATGCTCATACAAGAGGCAATCGACCCCGCAAACCTGGTGAGTTATCGTACTTAGTTAGCTCACCGAGTACTGAATCGTCTTCAGGGCAAGATGTATCCTGGATGGGCTGCGTGGCACTAGGGATTATATCCTTCACTCTTGACAGAGCTCGTATTATATTGTTGGATGATATGGCCTATATTGTATTTCACCGCGTAACGACTCTTCACGCTAACTCGTGTGTTGCGACCACAATGACGATATATTGTGCAGAGTAGATGCTTATATGGTGGATCTATGTAATAAGCATGTTGTGTCCGCGAGATTACTTCCTGACAGGCTTGCCCTGGAAACAGTATCATTCACAATAACGGCCAATAACAGCTCAAGTCTTACCATGGTAAGCTGGTACATGCCATACACGGTTCCACACATACCCAGACCAAAGAGAGTGAAGTAGGTACCTAAACGGTGCCCGAGTGAATGGCATGTACACCGAACTGCGCTGCCATATCACTTACCGAGATACAACTTTGAACGTGGTGGACGGTAGTAAACGGGCGAGTGTGAAGCCTGAAAATGATGGTCAATCACATACACAATGCCAGGCAGTCGACTGTTACCTGGTAAGCCCGTTGCCTCTCGGGAACGTAGTTTTGACCTGGAAAATTTAGACAAGGATGAGAAAGAAACTTGAGAATATATGACCGAGATACTCACGTTGAACCACAGCGTCAATCATGGTGGTGAGTTGTAGGATTGTATTTTGTCACTGCAGCTGGTCGACGTTGAAATGATATTCGGGAGGAAATGTGGTGGCGGAGTCCGAACGGTGTTTGCCGAACTCTCCCGAACCTGTCCTCTGATCATGGCTGATCGCGTCCGCGTCCGAGTATGTTTTACCATGCTCTCATTTCATAGATTCTGGCTTGCTCATTGTTCTGCGTGATGTCTAGGGTGTCACTATACACAGACCGATAATATATGGAAACACTGCGACAGTCCTTACTCCTGCTGAACGGGAGACCTCCCACTATCAAGACCACACTCATCGGTGGACAGTTGCAGTTCGTAGTGCTCCGAGCGCACCTGACTCTGATATTGTCGGTGGTGCGGATGACTTGGGGTACTTCATAAAAAGAGTCACGTTTAAACTGCACGATACATATCCGAATCCGACCAGGAGTGAAGTTTCATCTTGATGTCCTCTGCAGTAGCTGAACGCGTCCACAGACATCGATAAACCCCCATTTGAGGTATCAGAGACTGGGTACGTATTATCCAAGTGCACCAAACGCGAAAGTTGACAATTTTCTCAGTTGGGGAGAGTTTGAGATTCAAATCCGCATCACGTATGTAGCAGAATCTGGCGAGAAAGCCACCACGCTCTACCACCACCTGAAGTTACATCCTTGGTCAATTGCCTTCTCGCTCCCCAATGCATCCGCCGTTCCTCCAGAGCCTGAAATCCCGTCTCCCGAGAACGCTGCAAAGCTCGGGCCTGTGCATAGCTGGCAATATGACGAGATTGTCTTTACGGACCCATTCCAGAATTTCCTTACTCTTCTAACTACGCATCCACCAACGCCGCTGCCGAAAACGAGTGTAAACAAGAAGCCTATTCCTTTTCATTCGTGTAACCCTGCGTCATTGGAGGCGAGTCTGAAGGGTGGCGTGCCGGAGTTCACTAGTGCTATGGAGAAAGATGAGGCTGACAGGTTGGAAGAAGCGAAGGGCAAGATTATCAAAGAGCAGGAGAAATGGCGAGGAATCTTGATAGAAAGAGAAAAGGAGCTTGAAAGACTTCAGAAGCTACTTGCGTCGAAGGAGTGATCTTGCCGGATGCTGGGTGAGTATTAGCAACTGCTCTCTCATGCGAATTCTCGCATCCTAATTTGTGACTTTAGTGTCTCTAGGATATCTGTGAGCACGCGAAAAGCGACGGTCCTCAGAACAAGTGTCCCAGGCGTCCCTCTGAAACTATAGCAACATCGTCGGTCCGAGATTAAGTCTACGACTTGCCAGATCTGCGACCTTCTCGTGGAGATTAGTCGAAGGCGAACCGATGGTCGTGCCACAGCAGGTAACTTACGATGTAATCTCTAGATGCTCCTTCTGTACGGTACCACATACTGCTGCCTTTGCAAGCGCCGAGAACATGATCTGTACTAGCTAGCTGACTATGATGATACTATTCATGTGGGTGATTGAAAGACGGCTATCCGACAGCTTGGCTGCCATAGTAGAAGTCCGTCAAACGAATTACTTGCTAAAGTAGGCCATTAGATGAATTGTGGAGGAATTATAAGCATTTATCTGGGGGCCTGATAAATGGAAATTTCAAGCCATCGTCTTTCCCTGTACTTGATCTCATTGTCGATAAAAATGTGATAAAGGGGCGGTATCCGTAATAAGTACAACTGTGTTATCGTTTTCGTCCCTTTCCCGCGTTTCGCCCACTACCCCTTGATTCGTCCGTTTGATCTAAGAAGCCGCCAAGTTCTAGCGCATTGCGGGCAGCATGATTGATGTGCTTGAAACGATCAGGACCCAGATGGATTCCACCAAACCAACGGGTTACAACAACAAGGACATTATTGATTTCCTGTATCATAAATTGGGGGTTGTGACCTCGGAGTTGACATCGGCGTACGTACCAAGATAGAGAGTAAGTGGGCCAGTCGACTACCTGCTGCAGTTTCCCCATCGTCATCATTATCTAAGGAGTGTCAATCTCACATCGTCGAAACAAGGAAATGTACCACGTACCCTGGTGAAGCACACTACCCACCTGGCAACGCCAGGCATTGATGATGGGATGAGCGGCACGGGATATATGGCGTTCCGACATGAGATGATTCAAAACGAGTGGTACCTTGCGCACAGTCGGTCAGTAAAACATCCATCTGTCTTCAATCGTGTACAATACCTGCGATGGATCGGATATCCGACAAGCACGGCCAATAAATACACTCTTTCTGTCCACAATAGGTTCGGCTTCGACGATTTTGATATTTGCCGGTAAAGCAGTGTCGAGAGGTACTCGATCCTTTTCGTCAGTAGTTGATGACGATTCAAAAGGCTCGTCGGGTTCGACCAAGGTGTGGTTGCGGGTATGTGCATCCTCTCTGAGTAATTCTCCGGCCGTCTCCTTGTTTAGTTTATCTTCATACCATGCTTCGCACCGCTCCAGTACGTTCTGTAGTCCGTCAAAAACGCAGACACTTTCCGGCGTCCATTCCACTCCTGAGACAGATATGAACGTGCGGAGTATAGATCCAAAAAGTGAGGAGTCGACACCAAAAGCGCCGATATAACGAGAGAGGAGCTGCAGTTGAGGGGGGCTTGAGGCAGGGTATGTTGGAGGAATTGAGACCAATATACGTATGGAAATGTCTTCATGAGATGGCAGACTTCCGGAGTAGGCGTCGGAACGAAACTCAGGCAGTGCGATGATACACTCACTTGAGCGAAACTTCGTAACGGATGGCGCCTAAAGTACTGGACGAGTGATTGGGAATACCGCTTCTAGGGCTTCCGGGCGATGAACGGCGTAGGTGAATAGCATGGTCTCCGTATATGGACTGAAGAACTGTAATGATCAGGGTCCGTCGAAAGTTTTGTTATCTGTGAATGATCTGATCTTACCGTCGATCTCAGAGGCGACGGATTCGAGGTCAGAACTTTGCATCAACTTTGCAACAAAGTCCCTTAGCTCCGTTGCAGGATCCGAATCAGTTGACTGGGTATTTTGATCGGAGATTTCGGTGTCCATAGCAGTAGCTACTGGCCCTTCAGGGTTCTAAGACAACTTGCACGCGATCCGGGAAGTCTTGCGAAAGGGAGGCAGGCCTGAGCCAGGTCATGATTTGAAGTCCGCGGAGGTCCGCGGCATATGCTATTCGGTTTTTACTTCCATTGAGAGAGCCTGACAGCCTCTTTGTGGAGGAAATGTACTTTTAGCTCATGGAAAAACAACCTTGATCATCGTCGCATGTGTATTGAAGTTGTTAATACATTACGGCGATTGAGTCTCACGATATCATGTTCGACTCAATAGATTCGAAGTATTCAGTACTCTGTTCGTGAGGAGACAAGGAAACCCGCAACGAGCGGAACTAGTGGAGACGCGTGTAGATTTCGGTTAAAAAAAATAAGGATGTGATGCGGGGAAAGGGGTGGATAAAGCATACGTTCCAAATATTGACGGGTAACAGGCAAGGTAAGCAGAGGCAGACAGAGGTTGCAACGTATGTCCGCCGAGTCTGCAGGGTGTGTTGATACAAGCACTTGGGAACTTGAAAATATATTCAGCTGGTGCATGGTTCATAGCCGGTATACCCGGACCTGAGAGTACAAAGAATATGTTCCCTGACTAGGGACGCTAGTTCAGGTTTACCAAAAGTTGGGAAAAAATATGCGACGTGTCAAAAGCAAATTGACTCTTTGTGTACCGCGTGGACAATAGACGGCAGACCACGATGCTTATCTGGTTCATATCTGGTTCTCCCATAGGAGGATGACCCTGTCCCCAGCGTACACCGCCGTATACGAATGATTGCGACCAGCGCCGACCACATGGATGTGCCAAGTCAGTACCTTATCATGTGCTGAGTTGTACTTGTGAATTTTTATTGCATTGCTCGGGTCATCTAATTGGGAGTCGACTGTGAGTCAGCGTCAGCATTTTGTAAACACTGGTGGCATGATATGCTTACTTTATAAACAAGCCGTGAATGCCGCATCACGACGAGTGCATGAAGGACATATTTTGAACAAGGCTTGGCTTGTCTTGCCAGCTAAGTTACTAGCAAGTTGAAAGCGTGAGCTAAACCCACTCATTGAAGATCAGACACTATTGAAACAAACGAAGCTACTATGCAAATCCACGAAGGACGCGGGGATACCTGGCCGCTTCTCATAGGTAAAAATACGATAGATAAAAATACCCCCATACCTGCCTTCATGATGGTGATCAGCAAAACTGCGCTGTTGACCTTGAAATCCAAGGTAGAGCTCGATACAAGGAGTCTATAATATATGATATGATTGGGACCTCATTTTGTGGTCGCTGAAAGTATGGAAACCCATGTGAAGTCAAGTGCTTGATTTAGAGTAGCTCCATCAGTCATAGAGGACTCACTTTGAATCAGAATTCTGACTTGGAAGACTCCTGATCAATCAAAATGATGATTTACATTGAGACATGGTACCATGAAGCTTTTTATTCATCGCAGCGACATGCCAGTCTGATCTTGGACTGTCGTTAGATCCTGAATGTGGGCTGGCGAGCAGCCGTACGTACCACGTATGATAGTAGATTCAGCGCTTATAGCTTTCGGCATGCCAATTTCGGCTTCGAACCGCGCAGCTGCAAGTCAGCGGCAATATGACATAACACGCACACGCCCGGCCATAGTCATACGAAACACATAAACTTGCCTTAATCCTTCATCTTCATCACTAGTACCAGGCGCACCAGCCTGCGATCAGCCGCTAAGAAAACCCACGCCTCGTTAAAATGGGTGCTTCTGATCCAGGAGAGCCGACGGCAGTCTCTGCAGGCAGCAAAAGAGCTCATAGTCCCAGGACTGCTCCTGCAAAGCGCGCCAAAGCAGCCCAGGCCTGTTTATCATGCAGGAAGCACAAAACTCGTTGCGAAATGCTTGATGGAGATAACTCCGGCTCTCAATGCCACCGTTGTAAAGTCCTCTCCCTCCCTTGCTCATTCGAAGAAAACGGCGCTCCGGCGAGTGATCGCGCTGGGCCCTCCTCCCGTCCTCTGCACACACCAGATATCCGTTCCATGCGGGAACGCGAGGACCGGCGTCCTTCCCTTACTGTTCCCCAAAAATCCCATGATATACCAATGGACAACTCTCGCGCTCATGCAGGTTCCAGTTATTCAAGGAATTGGGACTCTAGCTCAAACACCCTACCACCCTTTCCAAGATCTCAGCCCCAAGAGGAGGAGGTCGACCTTCTAGACCCTAATCGGTTATTGCCAGAGCGCCACAAGCCGTGGGGATTTTTAAAACTTCCTGGAGGGTTTGATGGCACCATGGTGCCTATGCTGGCTATGCAGGCGCTTACCCGTGCAGGTTCGGTTGATGACTCCTCACGGAATAAAGTGGACCAGTCATTACTCCATATTCTTGGGAGGGAGCAGGTAGATTATCTTACCGACATGTAAGCCTTGACGTTTTATTCCCTGCGAGGCTCTTATTTTGGCACAGTTTCGAGGAACGTTACGCTCCCTGGCTTAATTTGCAGCCTTCTCAGCAACCAGAAGGACCACTTCTAAAACTCGCACAGTGCTGTGTTGCATCACGACATCTCGGATCATCAACGCGCTCGGCAGTCTCTCCTCAGCTATATCGCCTGGCAGACGAATCTATCTTCAAACAGGCCTATCACCCTTTGCCATCTACGGATGCAATACATGCAATGCTCGTACTTTCATTATGGCAACCCATAGAGGATCCAACAACAACAGAGTCACGCGATGGTCGGCTAATTGCTTCGACCGCCGTCAGTATGGCCATGAACCTTCGCCTAAGCGAGGCCATGGTATATTCTAAAACTCTCCGGAAGCAGAAAAAACCGAACGAGCTTCCTAGCGCGGAGCTAATGGAAGCCATTGACAAAGCACGCCTCGTACGTCTTTGACAGGCTCTCAAATAATTAACCTAAACTTGTGGCTGTAGTGGTTCGCATTGAATAATGTCGAGTCAATGTCTGTACAGCAGTATAATCCACTCGGCGTCCCCAGCTGATAAATTTTGTTGCAGGCTTTGTGTAGGTACCGGGCGCAACCCAATATCGGACTGTGATAGTCTTATACATGACGCCATCGATACAACATCGATGGCAACGATTGGGGCTGGTCGTGACATGCGACTCACTTTGATCTCCCAAATGTTCGCTGCTACACAATACGGGCTCTCCATACGCCTCCGTTCCGCAGAAGAAATTGGGGTCTTCTACAAAGAAGTGCTCGACTTCCTGATGCGCATGGACGTGATCGAGCGCCTCATTTATCCCCTCCCAGGTATGCGGCCCGAATCCTTCACCTCTGAGAGCTTAACTCTGAACCCTGACGTCAGTCCTAGCAGAGCACGAGGTCTTCTTCTTCACGATGTTGCAGGTATACTATCAGTCCTGCAGGCTGCTGGTCCTGGTACATGCCCTGATAGAAACAAAGACCGTGATTTCCAAGTGCGACCAGCAAAACCCATGGTTCCTCGTTGCAGAGCATAACGGAATCAACCTCGGACGAAGTTGGGGCCACCAAGCGCTTGTGCTGTCTGAAGGCATCCTCATCACTGCGCTATCACGACCTGAACTCGTGCTCCTCAGTGCTGCGCCTGATAATTTCTTCTCGATGCTCACCCTCGCGACATTTTTCGTCATCCTCAGTAAATGGTCCGTAATGGAAAACGCCTGCGAGCAGTTGCCTGGATCAAGTGACAGTATTCTTGCGCGGACGATCGATCGCATGCAACAGGTGAGCGCGGCTCCGGATCATGTTCCCGCGAAGTGCGCTCGAGTTATCGAGGCTGGCGTGTTGAGTTTCCGGAAGCGTTCATCGGAGAAGTCGGAGGCAGATTCCCAGCTCAGCCGGCCGTTACTTGAGCATTTCGATACGGCTGCACGCAACTTCCGAGAGCGCGTGTCAGCACCTGCTGCGCACTCTGGGTACCCCACAGAGCAGCAGTACCCGCATACACAGCAGTCATTCCCGTCGTTCCCAATCAACGATCCGAATTACTTCATGAATTCGGACATTATCCTTGACAACGATTTTTGGTCGTCTTTTATGTCGAACTTGAGCGATGGGAAGGGTAGATAGATTTGGAGGGATGGTATATTTACTTTAGTGTCCTTGTTTCTGTTACTATTTTGACTATGTTACGACGCAGGTACTTTTTATATATACCAAGTAGCATGTAGCATGTTAGCTCTTCTACATTGTCATATATCGACTTACTATACCACCTTCCTCCGGGACTGAACTTATTATCGCAGCTCTTCTCGATCTTCTTGTACTGGTATATTTTTACAGGTATTTGGAGAAGCTTTTTTAAGTTCCCAACATGAAAGATAGGCTATAGATAGGCTTGTCGAAGGTTGAAACGGGCTTTCATGAGTCGCCAAAGTTGGATTCAAGGATCGTTGATGCGAAGGGGAGCCGGATCGAAAGTGATTATCGCCGTGGCTAACCGGCAGAAGGTGGATCAGGAAGCATGTTAATATCAAACTGTGCAGTACGCCGAGGGAGGGGCTTGAGTGGGCGGGAAGAGATAGCTTTTATACCAATGGATGAAGAATCTGAGTCTGAACTGCCGTCTAAGTCTGACCCGTCTGATTCTGATTCTGATTCTGAGGAGGACGAGTCGGGTGAGGGAGAAGACGATGATGATGACGATGACGACGACGACGACCAATCTTCACTCCCGGAATCTTCATCGTCTGAACAAGAATCTGAATCCTTGAGCCGCGTCTCCAACACGCCCAATCCGAGGTTCTATGAGAGGATCATGAGTTTGTTGTGTTTTACAATGGTGGGGATTAGGACCTGCCATTTCGATGTACTGCTCTGTGTCCTCTTCGATATTTTCGATATCTACGCTCGATGGGTTGTCTCGGATGCGCTGAGCAAGTGAGTCGTTCTCTTCCTTGAGGCGGGGGAGGAAGTCCTGGATACGTGCGAGCACTGTCCATCGAAATACTCAGAATCCATACTCGTGGGATATGAGAAAAAACGACGTACGTTCGCTGGGAGGGTCTACTGCGTATGTTTTTCGCTCACCAAAGTCGAAAGTTGGTGGAACAGCATCGGATGTATTCCTAGCTGGTGAAGAGCTGTTCAATTGCTCAAGGAGGTTACCTAGATATGACTGAGCCAGTAGTCGCGTGTCAAATAGACTTGCTCACCTATCCTCTGCTGCCTGTTTTCCTCGTCTTCGACTTCGAGCTTGGATCCAGAATGCGACATTATGTATAGATAAAAGAGTTTGATGCTGTGTTGAATGAATATAAAAGGAGGTTAACCGAATTTAGTAATCAAAGCCTTCGTGACTTCGTCGCGTCCATCAGCGAGCGCGTATAAGAGGGCACTGTTCTCAGCGACGATCTCCTATTAGTGGGACTAATCAGCATCTTTCAAATAGATACGATATGCCACAGCAGCCACGCATTCGTGTTGTTGTGCAGCTTCCTTACAACCGTCCTGATAACCCACTTCCCGATCCTCCCCATGTGCGTATCGGCAGTCGTAGTTCTCTAGGCTCTTGGCTGAACGAGCTTGGTCCGTGCAGATTGAATGGAATGCAGAGAAGGCTAATGTTTTATGGGAGGTTATCGCACTTTCTCGGACGAGCGATAACGGTGGCACAGATTGTGAGTAGTCTACTAGTTGATATAGACAGCATCATATCAAACTTATACCGAATCATCAACAGGGAAAGGTCTCGCAGCACATCTGGAAGTGCCACTTCCGTATCTACTTTATCGTGCACAGGCTCGATACGAAGATGATCTCCGAGGACTGCAAGGCTTCCACGCTGGGAACCAGCCCGCCACCAAGTCCACAGAGGTAACACCTGTCCTCCCAGACCGTCCCCTCTCCATTAAGATTCCTGCTGCACGCTTCAACTCCATCAATAGCGCCCGTAGGCTTTCTACTTCCAGATTAGCAACGCCTCTTGGCGTCCGTGCACGGCTCAACTCCCTCACCCAACACAACTCTGTCCAATCACCTGCCAAATGCAAGAAAACATCATCCTCGTCAACGTCTACTCTTCAGGGAACTCAAGTCAAGAGACCCCTGCGCCTACCCTCTCCGTTCTCATCTGACGAGAGCGATTCCGAGGATGAGCAGGCTGCGAAGGAAGAAGAAGCAGACCGTGCGGCAGAGGAAGAAGAAGCCTTGTCACGCAAACTTGCAAGCCTGAAGCGTATGATGACGAGCGAGGCTTTGGCCTTGTTAGCTCGCCACTATCCCCTGAGAAAGGCAAAGCGCGAGATGTGATCCGCGGACGTGCGCCAGTGCCTATCTTTCGCCCTGGACGCGAGGGTGAGGATACCATAGGCTTCAGACGCAACGATGAGAGCTTTAAACATGAAGAACGGAACCGCGATCATAGCGCATCTGTATCAAGTGCATCTTCTCCGCAGGGTTCAATCCCTTCGATCCCGTCCCCGCCGCCAGAGTCTCAATCTCCGATGGCCCGGCATCTCTCTACGAGCAAGTCGAGCAGCCCCCCAACAGTGTCGACGCGGAACGCACGGGGGCAGCCAGCATATGCGTTATGGACCACTTGCAGGGCTTAGTGAGCAGAGAGCAGTCATGGGAGCTCTGCCTCGAGCTTTAGCTGATATAAGTGGTGCGTCATTCTTGTATCTTCAGTCCCCCTCATGTCGATGTTGTTGTAGAAGCAAGCTTTTCGGCGTCAGCCTTGGAGAGCGCGCTGATGTCAAATGTCCCTGCAGGAGCGGGGTCTCGTCTGTAAGTATTCTGTGAAGTAATTGTTATAAAGCGCTCACCAAGAATTGTCTCTCGCAGGTCTGCAATTGCAAGGAGCAGGTTTGTACGTGGGGTGCGGTTGTAGCATGCCCCCTTAGACAGTCATCTGACTGGTTTATTATTCTTTTCTATCGATGAGCTTTCTTCAAAGGAATCTGTATCACTATCATTCTTATCATAAGTCGTTTCCTAATTTTATCAACTTAACCTAGGTTTGACACATCAGACTGATGCCGTCCCGTGTTCTTATTTTTGCTTCCACATCATTCGAGCGTGTTCTCGTCCACGATGATCATCAGACGATCATACTACTTTTAAGTGCATGTGCCGATCAGCACAGGATTGTCAGAATACAAAGGCGCTTGACGGCCGATGATATAAAGCGCCTTGGGAATCACGTTCACTTTCTCTCTTGATCATATCTGCATTATTCCCAGTTAGTACAGCACTCACAATCAAAACTTGTTCCCTTTCCTCGAGACTCTAGCTTCCGCTTACCCTTTCATATACACTAACTTCGAGCCAAAACAATACTGACAGACAGCGAACGATGCAGTTGACGTTCGTGACGGATCTAGGCCAGTCGTATGCCGTTGATATCGACCCTGACATGGAGCTTGAGAATGTGATGGCTTTGCTAGAGGCAGAGGTGAGTCGCTTGTTCTCTACCCCACTTCTATCCAGCCCTAACCAATGCATGCCAATTCCCTTGTCTTTGCTTTCCCCTGCTCATACGATGACATACATGGTACTGTCTACCACTCTGGATCATACAGTCGAGTATACCCCCCAGCGAACAAAGCATCTCGCACAACGGGCGCGAACTTATAGATCCCAAGGCTACCATCCGGGCGCTTGGTGTGGGCGAGCACGCTATGCTCCTCCTACGCAGGCGTGTTAACGTTCCCGGGCCCGAAGGCAGGTGAGCACCTAATTCAGTTCTCGGCTTTCATTGTGCCCACGTATTGATGTCCCTTTACAGACCCATAGAGCAAGATGCAGAGATGATGAGACTGCAAATTCTTGGAGATCCGCAACTTATGAGACAATTACAAGAAGTGCGTGACTATTGTTGCTTGCTTTCTTTAGCTTCTCACTGATCATTCCTCACTCAGACACTCCCGGAAATAGCTGCGGCTGCCCAGTCCGACCCCACACGCTTCGCAGAACTCCTGCGGCAGCAACGTGACCGCGCACAACAAGCTGAGCTTGGTCGACAGCGCGAGATATCGGCTCTTAATGCTGACCCGTTCGATGTCGAGGCGCAGCGTCGTATCGAGGAAGCTATACGTCAGCAGGCGGTCATGGAAAATATGGAGCATGCGCTTGAATACTCACCGGAGGCGTTTGGGCGGGTGACGATGCTTTAGTGTGTATTTGTCCGGCTTTAGAGTGTAAAGGTGCTGATGGATGGTAGCGTGCCGGTAGAGGTGAATTCGCATCCTGTGAAGGCGTTTGTGGATAGCGGAGCGCAACAGACAATCAGTACGTCTTGTTCCGCCCTTTTTGTGTCTGTCTGATTTCACTTGTACAGTGAGCCCTGAATGCGCAGAAGCGTGCGGGTACGCAATTTTCCTCTGCATTAGACGAAACTGACGTATCACAGGATAATGCGTCTCATCGATGGGCGATTTGCAGGCATTGCACGTGGAGTGGGGACTGCGAAGATTCTGGGACGTGTGCATAGTGCACAGATGCGACTTGCGGACTTGCATCTTCCGTGCTCGTTCACGATAATGGAGGTCGGTCTTCCTTCTTTTCCGATATATCTTCCCCAACCATGAAGTTCACAAAAACTCGAGGGCCGTGATGTGGATCTTCTTCTCGGGCTCGACATGCTGAAGGCACACCAAGCATGCATCGACCTCGAAAAATCTGTGCTGCGTATCCAAGGGCGTGAAGTAAGCTTCCTCCCTGAACACGAACTCCCCGAGAAAGCACGGATGATCGACTCCGGAGTGGACGAGCCCATCGCGTCTACCTCTGGCTCTTCCAGCAGCGCTCCACAACCTGCACAAACGAGTGGTGGTAGAAATATTGGGACTAGCAGCTCGTCGTTCCCAGGTGGTGGAAATACGCTGGGTTCGGCGCCTACGCCACGTGCATCGACACGTCCCGCCGCTGCCCAATCACGACACCCAGATTCCGCTATCGAGCTGATCATGGGGCTTGGCGTATCACGGGAGGTGGCGATCAGTATGTTGGATGCGGCGGGTGGGAATGTGGATGCTGCTGCAAGTTTGTTGTTCTAAGTCCTAGGGTGGGCGGGAATTCTTGCAATGATGAGGAGACATTAATTTTCTTGGATCTTGGATCTATGGGATTGCAAAATGTACGATGTGATGAATTATATCTGCTGGTTCGTTTCGGGAAGGAGCATCAAAGAGAACTTCGTGGGCCTGGAGAACTTCCAATACCCGTCGAGCTTGATTTGAGATAATTGGTAACACTAGGAATTGACGTGGTATCAATCAAAGCGTCATGTTGACTTGTTGCTTGTGTTCCAAGTTGAGGACGAATTTTGAAGCATCCTGAAGAAAAAGGAAGACGCGAAGGTCATCTCAGCGCCGATGATCACCCAGGCTTCGAAGGGGTTTTGATCATCAACTGCACGACAGGTATTCCAGGGCGCAACAACGTCTCTCAGGTGATGGAATCACTTGATTCATAGTCCTCAGTACGTGCTCGGATAAACTAGTAGCGGTAGCGTGTGGACACATATACCCCGCATGGTTTACGGCGGGTCATCTCACTTGAACAACTTCAAATTTAAGCTCGATAACAGATATATGATGGATATAGAACAACACTGCATACTGGGTATTACAACTAGATCATTTGCAAGTAGAGCTAGAACGATTGATTTAGCAACGGCGAGGGACATCAAGGCTACGAACTCACGCATCTCGGCATTTCCACCATTGTTCTCCATGAGCCATGCGACTCAAATCAAACTCTAGCCCACTGGGTATCACCAATACAGTCCCAGGATAATAAAATGGTTCTCGTCGGGAAGCGGGTGGTACCCAGAAAAGCAGGCGACGATCTGCTCCTACCATCCATCCATCTTTTTCCAGCACGACAGGAGTTGAATTAAGATTGTGATGAGAGGTGCCCTTGAACAGCTCAGCAGGGTCCTGCAATGCATGGTCCAAGCTCGATCCGAAGCAAATGGCGCGGTTACAAGGCGTGGTGGGGCGTCTATCCGAAGAGACTGCAGGGAAGTGGATCTCAGTGTGCTCTTGGGATTGCTGCCCTATCACTGCATTCAACAGCCGGACAGTTTTATCTTCTGAACCAGACACGATGCGAGTGCCATCGGGGGAGAACGAGACTGAGTAAACCGAATCAGTGTGCCCTCGGAAGGGCTCACCCAATGGCAGCCCCGTCGCTGCATCCCACACCCGGACAGTTTTATCTTCTGAACAGACACGATGCGAGTGCCATTGGGAGAGAACGAGACTGAGTCAACCGAATCAGTGTGCCCTCGGAAGGGCTCACCCAATGGCAGCCCCGTCGCTGCATCCCACACCCGGACAGTTTTATCTTCTGAACCAGACACGATGCGAGTGCCATTGGGGAGAGAACGAGACTGAGTAAACCGAATCAGTGTGCCCTCGGAAGGGCTCACCCAATGGCAGCCCCGTCGCTGCATCCCACACCCGGACAGTTGAATCCAAAGAACCAGACACGATGCGAGTGCCATCGGGGGAGAACGAGACTGACGTAAACCGAATCAGTGTGCCCTCGGAAGGGCTCACCTAATGGCAGCCTCGTCGCTGCATCCCACACCCGGACAGTGTCATCCATTGAACCAGACACGATGCGAGTGCCATCGGGGGAGAACGAGACTGAGTAAACCGAATCAGTGTGCCCTCGGAAGGGCTCACCCAATGGCAGCCCCGTCGCTGCATCCCACACCCGGACAGTGTCATCCTATGAACCAGACACGATGCGAGTGCCATCGGGGAGAGAATGAGACTGAGTCAAACCCGAATCAGTGTGCCCTCGGAAGGGCTCACCCAATGGCAGCCCCGTCGCTGCATCCCACACCCGGACAGTTTTATCCAAGAACCAGACACGATGCGAGTGCCATCGGGGGAGAACGAGACTGACCAAACCCAAGAAGTGTGCCCTCGGAAGGGCTCACCCAATGGCAGCCCCGTCACTGCATCCCACACTCGGACAGTTTTATCATCTGAACCAGACACGATGCGAGTGCCATCGGGGGAGAACGAGACGGACCGAACCGAATCAGTGTGCCCTCGGAAGGGCTCACCCAATGGCAGCCCCGTCGCTGCATCCCACACCCGGACAGTTTTATCCCAAGAACCAGACACGATGCGAGTGCCATTGGGAGAGAACGAGACTGAGTAAACCGAATCAGTGTGCCCTCGGAAGGGCTCACCCAATGGCAGCCCCGTCGCTGCATCCCACACCCGGACAGTTTTATCCCAAGAACCAGACACGATGCGAGTGCCATCGGGGGAGAACGAGACTGACCGAACCGAATCAGCGTGCCCTCGGAAGGGCTCACCCAATGGCAGCCCCGTCGCTGCATCCCACACCCGGACAGTGGAATCCAAAGAACCAGACACGATGCGAGTACCATCGGGGGAGAACGAGACTGACATAACCGGAGAAGTGTGCCCGCTGATCACCGTCTGAATAACAGGCCAGTTCACAAGACGTCCATGAATCAGACAAAGAGTGTTGGGAGATCTTTTAGTAAACCATGGAGCTATGGTGGACTTGATGGGCGAAAATGGCAGCGCTGATACATACAGATGCGGCGTGCTGTGCGAAATCACCCCACCAAAAACTTGGACGAATCTCTGCACATCTGTTGCAGTCGACAAGACATTTTCATATCCGGTTTGGCCCTGTGTTCGCACGTAAGTACTCCGCCCGACACCACCACATGACTGTGTTCTCACCTTCAACCATTTGGAAATGATTGGAAGCGCTGCAACTGCAACCCTGAGTCCATTGAGGAGGCCGAGTGCTTCGATCCAGAAGAGTAGCCGCTCGTTGTCGAAGAATGATCTTATTTCCTTTGCGAGCTCCGTATCGAAGTCCGTTGCTTGTACGTGCGTAGCCCAAAATCGACAGGAATAGGACAGATGCGAGGGAATACATCTTGCGACTCGATCCGGCAGTCCGATATCTTCGCTATTGGGAAGGTATGAAGACTTTAAATTACACATATTGAAGCGAAGGTCATCTGCCATCACTCGAAGTGACGCAAAAGCAAGATTCCGTTGCGAGTTCGACATCTCCACGAAAAAGTCTCCGCTAGATGATTCATCTGTCAGAAATTCGCGGAAGGATGCGTGAAGAGGTCGGATGAGACTAGATGGGTTGGTGGTGCCGCTTAGCAGGGATCCCATATCTGCTACCACGAGTTCCACCTCGTAACGCTCACTTTGGTCTGGAAAATGGCGCCGCATGGCATTCAGGGCATCTAAAGAGAGGGGTTCGGCTGAGCCAAGTATTTGTCCCATCACGGAATGAAACCTTGCTAGCGCTCGCTGATACTCGATTCCTGTGCTGTCCTCCCCCATGTTTTCCCCTAAAATGAACCTATACATGCCATGCAACAGTTTTTTCCGCTCTCCGTAATTGTGGGACACGACAGCATTGAAGCGTTCGATTGGGCGTGAGTAACCAGAGGATTTTTGAATGTATTCGCATGCAAGACGTGCCCACTCGAATAGTCCATCAACTTTGTCAGCGAGGACCGCGAACTCTTTGTCCCCAAGACCGGTTACCTTTTTCAGCTGGTGAGACACAAAAGTACGGATGTCTCTCTTCGAGACTTCTTCTGGAATGTCGTCCATGGATTCCCGTCGAATGTGTGGAGCATCCTGAAATTCAGAATTGATATCTTGAAGCGGGCGAGACGTGACGAGAATCCGAAAGTTGGATGGGAGTTCGGTGACTTGAGGACTTTCGCCGTCCAGTGTACCAGCAAGTATGTGGAGGAGGTCATGCCGTGTCTCGACTGCGCCGCATTCATCCAGCGCTTCGATGACGATCAACACAGGCCCCACCGTCGACCGTGAAAACTTCTTCAGCGGTTCCATAACAAGCTTCTGCCACTGCTGCGTGATATCTGCCGTGTTCTTCAGCGCATTTGCATTTTCGACTGCATTCGCCAATGCCCGTTTGATCTCCGGATCACGGTCCGCGAGGTCGCGAGCGATCGTGGAGAAGATTTTTTTATGACGCTCCTCGGATTTAAGATCCCGGTCGAAGCAGAAACACGAACCGAGCCCTCCCGAGTTGTTAAACCAGTTAGCTATTGTGTGAGCTATGGCTGATTTGCCCGTGCCCGCAGGGCCAGATAGCCACAGCACACGCTGAGCAGTATCACTACTGTCGTTGATCCATTCAGCGATCTGGGAGAGAATCTCCGTGCGTGTCCCTGGTAGGCATTGTTTCCTGGTATTTAGTCCCGCGCCCGCTGCGTAAGGCATACCGCTGAGATCCACTTTCTCACCCAGTTCGTCACCTGAAGTGGTATGAATAGATGGAAAGTCAGGAGAGCATCCAGATCCTTACTCGTATACCGGACAAGATCGGCTATGTCCCGAAGAGCTTGATCCCGAAATTGTTGCATAAGCCTTTCCAAAGTATTGTTGTACTGTGTGATCAGATCATCCGTCCCCGAGACAACATTTTCTACAAGTCTCTTCACTGTGACAGTGGTATAAGATTCACAGTATGCGGAGCACAATTACTCGATCACTTACAAAAGTTCTTTTTCTTCGAGTAGTCCCTGATGAAGCGCGCACACTCTAGAGTCTGCTGGGCGATCCGTCCAGCGATATTCCGCTGGGATGAGATCTGGCTAAGAGTGTCCTCTTGTGACATGAAGCGGTAAACTTCTCCTAATTTCTCGAGAAGAGATTGCACCGATTGGTCGCGGGTTGCTTGAGCGAGGATAATCTGCATAGAGTCAACAACTGCTGAGCGGGAGGCGACACTACACGTACTTTGGCTGCAGCGGACAGCAGACCCAGCACCATCTTTGCATAAGGATGTACCTATGCAACTTGATCAGCTCGCTTCCAACATAAGAGAATGGCCCATACATCCGCAAGTTCCGCAATGACGGTGTCGAAAATTTTGAGTGGTTGAAGATATGTGGCCTGAAAATTGTCTGCGGCGTCGGGATATTTTGGGCTATCCTTGGCTGCGGATGCCGCAGACTTTACACGTTTCCCGAGTAGTCTCATACCTTCCATACCCTCACTGGCAGCTTGAAGTGCAGCATCAACTGATTGGGGATCAGGACCTTCCCCCGCGCCAGACGAAGTAACCTGAACCTGCACGACAACCAGAATTTAGAGATGAAAACCATATTATTTGACGTAAATACCTTCGACGCAGGTTCTCCAGACGCCCCTTGGGTCACAGAGTCACTGGGATTCCCAGATGTGGCGGGCTTGTCGCTATCGGAAGGATTCAGGCGCGACGCATCCTTGGTGTACCTCAGACAAGTTCAGGATCAAAATGATGACTACTTACCTCGATATTCTGATGCGATGAAGCACTTTCATGCTCTGCGTTCTGGACAGCAGGGGTTTGGTGGCGGGAACGCTTGAAGGGCTTCTGGACAATATGAGCAATATTCCAGTTCCCCTAGCGTTCAGGTCGACGTACAGAGACTTTTTTAATTACATTCTTCTTAAATTTCCGGAGGGTCTGACAGAATCTGCCACGGGGCTGGTTCTGGATGAAGGATGCGTTTGGCGCTCATCGACAGTGATCTCACGAGGGCACATACCGAGCTATCACCGGGAGTTGCTCGAGGGGAGGCCACTGGAGGTTCCGGCCTGTAGTCTTCGCTCATTGCGAACAGTCAAAGATTGGGATCAGCCGGAGGGAAATGGATGGAAGTTGGATTAGATGGAGGGGAGAGTATAACTCGGTAGAACCACAATTTAAATGACAAGCAGCCGAACAGCCTTGACGTCCAGGAGCCTCAAGGCAGCGCAAGTTGATGTACTTATGGGGCATTGCAGGAACGTGGGTGGTGCGAGCGCTAGGGAAACTTTAGGATCGTTTATCATGGAACCAGCTTCAATATTTCTGAAATAGTGTATACATGAGCACAACGAAAGCCATCCCAATCACTTGTACGGAGATCGACTAAGCAGTGTCACAGGCATGAGCACTAGCCAAGTCGAGGGCGCGTCCTTCCTGGACTTTTCCGAGTTACGCATTATTCCCTCGATCGCTTATTACGTTCTTAATGCCTCGAGAACGTCAACACTGCACAGCCTCTGTATCGAACTCACTTTTACCAATTCTACGACTCGGGAGAAAGGGATCTTCAACTTGACGCGGGAATAAAATTGGGTCAGACCCAGGCAAAACATTAATACCCTAGAATTGTGCGCTCTAAGATACATAGAGACCCACAAGGCCAATTTCATATCTTTGGATAGAAGAAAATGCTTGTCGAGACAAGTATTGTCCTGGAACATCTACGCTACTAGTACAATTCGTGCTCATGGGGTATCTGCTATAATGGTGAGTATTATCAGTCCGCAAAGATACAAATGTAAAGGCTCTCAAATCAAACAACTCAAACCATACGAGCAAGTCTAAATAAGACTGACTCTCGTACGCACGAGCCCACCACGCCAATTCCGCATCCCCGCGCTGCGATGGTGCGACCAGTCCCCCTGCATCCGCGCAAATGCATCCTGGATGTGCTCAGGCCGCAGAGCCGTCCTTGCTTCTGGCGGAGGTAAAAATAGTGAACTCGTAGGTAGCGGTGCTTCCTCCTCCTCTTCCTCCTCTCTCCTCGCATGTTTCTCCCGTTGTTCCCCTCGCCTGTGTGAGTGGTGCGACTTGCGCTTGCCAAGGATGGGCGAGATACCAAGGTAGTCGTCTCGTAAATATGATTCTTCGAGGGACTTTTTCACATCGAGGCCTGCGAGTGTAAGGGAGCGCACCATTTCGAATGCGAGAAACCCGACGATGTCGACGGTATCGTCGTTGGCTTTGAGGTCCAGGTGTGGGGGAAGGTTGAGAAAGTCGCGAAAGCGCTTGGCTAGTCGTCCGTCGCGTCAGCAAGATTCTGCCCAACTCATGAAACGACTTCACCTTTTCGATACGTAAATGACGCTTGTCTGCAATCTGAATAATGTTGATACTCTTCCCTCGTCATCTGTCGTGTGGCATCATCGGCTTCTTTGAGGCGCTGTATGCTTGCTTCATGGGCCTCGATATCGTCCTCGTCCTCTTCGTCGTCAGATTGGTGTCCAGACTGACGGAGCACCTCGCTGTAGATCGTCGAAATCTCCCAAGGAAGCTTGATAGTAATCTTTTGTGCCTTCGTCGTTAGTTTATCTATACAGGTGTCAGTAGACCAGTAGACGTATTTTGGTGAAATACAGACCGTCAGCTCCATCCTCGAGAGTCTCAACCTCAACGCCGCCACCTCCATCACCGCCCGAGTCTTTGGCATGCTTACGAACATCCTTCCAAGAGAGATATGTCCGGAGACGGTTGACCTTACCGCGGTCGTGGCGAATGAGGAAGATGAGGTCCTCTGCGGTAATATAGCGCACACCACGCCGATTCGCGTGGAGGCGGGCTTGCAAGATCTAGAGTAGCATAACATCACAGGTAAATCTCATCGTTAAAGCATAAATCACTCACGAGTTCGATGAGCTGACTGCGCACGATATCCTCGACAAGGTTTACAGTCTCTGGATTTGGGTCTTGGATCTCGCCAAAGACGAACATCTACAAACATTCCGTCGTTCATGCTAAGTGTGACAAGTACATAATAGCAATGACGTACCATCTGAGATATCTCCTGCGTGTACTTGTAGTCACGATTGGTGCCATCTGAAGGTTTCTTCGAGACCACTATTGGTGCTGGAGCGGGCACTGCGACTGGTGCTGCTGTTTGAGTTGGCGCCATAGGGAGCAATGAGCAGGTGAATGAAGCAACCAATGATCGATTTCCTAATGGTTAATCAGCTTTTCCCTTAGTTGGAAACGTAGCTCTCGTGCAGGGTCTTGCTAATCGGTGTTGCAATTACTACGCCATCATCCATGTGGACCATCTCAAATATATACCATGTCTGCTGGTCTATCTGATCACAGTTTTATTCTTTGTTCGTAACGCATTGGCTTTCTATTATCGCAATGACCGACCAATTCCGCACTCCACTTGAGCTGCCGCCGAGCGAAGAAACGCTTGAGGCTATCAACGCCCACCTCTCGCAACTTTCTCCACAAGACATACTCGCATGGGCACTTATACACCTACCCGCGCTCTACCAGACAACAGCTTTCGGACTCACTGGGCTCGTCGCCCTCGATATGCTCTCCAAGTCCGGACATCCGATCCCGAAACTTATTTTTCTGGATACGCTGTACCACTTTGCGGAAACATACGAGCTCGTGCAGCAGGTGCGGGAACGTTATGCTGTCGATATAAAGGTGTACAAGCCCGAGGGATGCAAAACAATTCGAGACTTTGAAAAGAAACACGGCGAAGAATCGTGGGAGAAAGACGAAGACACATACGATTTTGCGGTCAAGGTATGTTGTTCATTCCGACTTTTCAATAGATAGCTGAGCTGGATTGCATGTAGGTTGAGCCCGCCCAACGCGCGTACCAGGAGCTTGGGGTGCGCAGCGTCATCACGGGCCGACGTAGATCTCAGGGCGGCGATCGTGCTTCCCTCCAGCCGCTTGAGGTCGATGAAACGGGGCTCCTTAAGCTAAATCCACTCTTTGCATGGTCTTTTGCGCAGGTTGATGCGTACATCCGCGAGAACAATGTTCCGAGGAATCAACTGCTCGATCAGGGGTATCGCAGTGTCGGTGACTGGCATAGCACGCAGCCCAGTCGTGAGGGCGATACTGGCGAGCGCGCTGGGAGATGGGCAGACAAGGAGGGGAAGACTGAATGTGGTCTCCATAAGAACTTTTTTGAGATGAAGTTGAGGGCAAAGGTTCGTTGATTGCGGGTGATATGGGACGTTTTACTGATATAATAATATTAGCCCGAGGAGCAACGCATACCAGGAGAAGAAGTAACAATTGCTTCAGAGGTAGCCACTCCTCCTGCGTAAATTAATTTAATGGTGTAACCATGATGCTGAGAATATGTATCACTGTCCATTTTTCCGTTTAAGCACTGGTCTAAGGGTTTGAGAATCTCTCTTGGCCGTGTAACTTTCGTTATCTTGTGACGAGATCGGTGTGTAAATCTATTTCTCTTTGAAGTTCAGGGTATTTGACGAATCCAGGCAAAATAAAGGCTTCGATAGTCTTGGAATTACAGTATACTGACTTCTATCTCTCAGCTATATTTCTAGAAGGTACGTTATTGACTACTTTCCTTCAAGGTTGAAGGGGAATCCCACAAATGTCAAGTCTTGATCTTCGCTGTCATAAATATCATGTTAGTGCCCTATGCTTTACGCCACGGTGAAGGCGCCTACTAACGACAGCACTAAGTAATAGATTACTAGAGGCATTAAGCTAATAACAGTAGTACGCCTAAACCTATCACGCAGTGGCCGGCCCTGCCCTATTCATATCCCATAGTACTGGTTCCGGCGCGGCAGGCCAGGTACTGATAGATCTCGCTGATAAACGCCGCGATCCACTAGTCAGAGTATAATTATATAGGCAGAAGGCGCTGGCTCGCAGATCTGCGTCACTTTCTTCTCCGAACTCTCCCTCCCTCGGCCAGCAGTGATGTCCATTAAGTATGTGGGTTCCAGCAGCTTCTGGCTGAATATGCTCTCGCGTTCCTAATGACATTCGTATGTTACTGTCTGACAGTCCGCCATCTATACTCCATCCAGTGTTCAATGCGGCTCAGCCGTTTCCACCGCTCCCTGATATCAACAAGGAGAGCATTCGGACACAGGTGTTTACACATCGCTCGTATTATGGACGCCCAAATCATGTATTCGAGGACCATCCACAGGACCCGAGTCCAGATAATGAAAAGTAAGCAAAGTTTTTCTTATGTTGACTCAGGCTGCGTTGCTGTCCAAAACGCCACACCCAACCGATTGAGCTGACACTGATCTATTCTGCAGGTACGAGCATCTTGGGGACACTGTGTTAGGTCTGGTCGTGACGAAGCTCCTCTTGGAGATGTACCCCAACTTGCGCGTTGGGCCATCTACGGTATGTTTCATTTCTCGATGAGCAATAAGCATGCTCGCCCACTACGTCATCCTCAGAAAATCCGAGCTCTGGTCGTAGGCAACTCAACCCTTGCTGACATCTCGCGCATGTACGACCTACCAGCAAGACTGCGTCTGCATCCTGCTCAGGCGATTACCCTACGCGCTTCTGTCAACATTCAAGGTAAGTTCCAGCTTCCCTTTACAAGTCAATTTATCGAAAGAAGTGTCCCCAGCCGATGTCTTCGAAGTACGTTACCCTTATACCCAAATGAATGAATGCTGACACAATTCTACCGACAAGTCCTACGTGGGCGGGCTCTATCTCGAGCAGGATCTGCCGGGCGTCCAGCCCTGGTTGAAAGCCTTGTTTACACCTTACGCGACTGAGGCTTATAAACGTGTGCGGGAGCAGCATCGTCTCCCGCCCCTTCCGATAACTGAGCTTGTCGCGCCCGAGTTAGTTCTGTCCTCACCCCCACCATCGCCCCCTCATCACCGCCCCGGCGCCACCCCGACGACCATAGGCCATCTTGCGTTATTCAATCAGCAGCTCCAGAAGGCCAACAGGATAGTTGAGTGGATCTACTCAGACGGGACTGGCGAAGGCACAAAGACGACTCCAATTTGGATCGTCAGGTGCGAAGTAGATGGGGAAGTTTACGGTCGCGGACAAGGTGGGACTAAGAAAGCCGCCCGAAATGAGGCCGCCAAGGAGGGTTTGAAGAAGATGGGCATCGAAGTCTAACAGTGACTGAGGCGGGTGAGTGATGGGTAGTTTGGTCAAGGGCTCAATTTGATCAGTCTCTGCAACAGGCTTTCAGCACCGTCTCTCCAGACTTGCGCTGGCTGGAGATCTACTCTTCTATTGGTGGCATCGTCGGCCTGCGCTAGTGTGTAGAGGTTGTGCATGAGATGTTGCGTCAATACGTCAACATGAACGTGATTCGCTATTCCATTGTCTTGATTCCTTGATTTCAGCTTTTCGTACTATTCAGTTTTATGAAAAGAGCTGGATCGAACGAGAGTGTTCATACATGTATGTGCTAAATGGTCTACTATTAGATTTACCGCCTTGTACCTTGTGGAAATGTTTCATCTATATTATTGCGTATTCGAATTTTGATAGCTTTATGACTTACCTGAGACATTATCTGTAGAGGAAACAGAAATCCAAGGACCTGCAAAACTTCTATACCGAATCGCGGAGCCTCCCAATATTGTCTACCGGAGGCGCACCCCAAATGAGCGTCTTCCGTGATGGGTCTAACAAGCGGGGAAAATGCCTCTCAAGACTGGGCACAAGCAAACCTCGGTGTATTGATGGCACAGTAGCTGCCTTAACCTCCACAGGCACGCTGCTCGGAGTCTGTGTTGCCACGGCTTTTGCCTCGTCCATCACGGGAACTTTGACCTCCTCCACGATCGTTGGCCCAGCACGCATCAGCGCCCGCGCCTCCTCATCAACGTCCGAGAAGTCATCTTGTTTCACTGCGCTAATAGAGTATGCCCAAACGCCGACGCCGAAGCCTGCGAGTATGAGGCCGGTCATGGCGTTTCGGAGGCGGAAAGGTGCGCGTGCGCGCTGAAGGCCGGGGGACATAAGCTGTAGATGTTATGTGTCAAAGGTACATTTATTTTCGGAGGTGCTTGGTTATGTAGATGTGACATACAGAACTTCGTGGTCGATAGGATGCAGCAACGGTCTTTTTGGATATGTATTGCTCGTTTGCCATCGTGATATGTCGGGTAGCGAGTCCTAGCTGAGTTTCTAGCTGTTCCAAGTCAGCATAAAATCAGACGCTCGATTCCAATATTATACAGACCAATTATTTTACTGCTCTGGGAGTTTGAGTTTTGGAGTCCGTGCTTCGCTACTATACTCAGCTCACTAGCGTGCCACGCCTCCAAGTCGTTGTCCGAGAAATTCTCACTGCTTGCGGAATTCATGAGGTCACTCGATCACCTGACTCCAACTTAAACGCGGACGGCTTTCCTGCATCCGCGAACGGCTTGTTTCACAAGGAGGATGTTTCCGCAACCCCCGTCATTCTCTCATGCACTAAGAGTACTGGTGAAAGCCCCGATTGCAGCTAAACAGTCCAGTCGGTCGGGTCTCAGGTTGTGGTACAGAATGGCTAGCACGAACGCCAATGTTGTAAGTAGACATGACCTCGGGTGCGCTGTTTGGAGTTGCTGAGCCTCTTTTAGTGGGGTCTGCAGGATCCATCGTTGATAAAATATCAATCATATATCGATGGGAAGTGGGTGAGCGCAAAGGAGGGTGGAACCATTCTTGTTACCAGTATGTTATCTTATAAGTGGGATATGACCAATTAACTCAGACATTATAGACCCTGCGACAGATGAGGAACTCGGCACTGTTCCAGAGATGGGCCTTGAGGAGGCCAAGTCTGCCATTGCGGCTGCCGGGAAAGCCTTTGCGTCATGGGGCAAAACTACCGCCAAGGTTGGTATCATACATTCTCTGCTGGCATATACTGACGAATACTCTGCATAACAGCACCGTCATGACATTCTGATGAAGTTCTATAGTCTAATGCAAGAACACAACGATGACTTGGCCAGGATCATTGTGCGTGCCCTACTTCAACAAGTCGTCGTTTTACTCACTCTTTGACAGACATTAGAGAATGGCAAGACTTTTACGGAGGCAAAGGTAACATTACTAGACATCCCCCAGTATTAAGCTAATTCCTTGAACACAAGGGCGAGAATGCGTACAGTGCATCCTTCATGGAGGTAAGTCAATTTCGATTCAATCGACTCATGTGACTGCATGTCATTCGCAGTGGTATGGTAGGTTTCTCCGTCAAACTCGGGTGGCTCGAACCTCCATTCATTTTCATTATATCAGCTGAGGAGGCTGTTCGAACCTATGGAGGTACGTCTTCTTCGTTTCAAAGAGTTCATATGTTGATCTTTTTTACCAGAACACATACCTTCGCCGTTCACCAACATTCGGAACGTTGTGATTAAGCAACCTGTCGGTGTTGTGTGAGACCTTTTATGCGTCCCTCCAATGCTTTATCTAAGCAAGTGCATCAGCTCGATTTTGACCCCGTGGAACTTCCCTTCTGCCATGATCACGCGAAAATTAGGTGCCGCACTCGCAGCAGGCTGTACAGCAGTCATAAAACCTCCACCTGAAACACCGTTTTCAGCTCTTGCACTAGCTGAGGTAGGACTTTTCTCATAAATCTTGCAAGCTTTGTATTCTCACCGTTGTTACTATTCGAAAGCTCTCTCGTCGCGCGGGTGTCCCAGACGGTGTCATCAACATTGTTACAACTCAAAAGAACGTTATTGAGGTCGGCCGCGAGATGTGCGAAAGCAAAACAGTCAAGAAGGTATCGTTCACCGGATCAACACCCGTCGCTAAGAGCTTGTATGGCATGGCTGCCTCCACACTCAAGAAGTAAGCACCACCCAAATACTCTTTCGTGCTTATAAATATTCTCTTTAGAATTTCCATCGAAGCTGGCGGAAATGCACCTTTCATTGTCTTTGATGACGCTGATATCGACAAGGCTGTTGAAGGTCGGCGCAGGAAGGATTTCTGAACCCTTTCCAAGCTGATCTGTCTCTTTAAGGGGCAATCGCATGTAAATTTCGTGGTTCAGGGCAGACCTGCGTCTGTGCAAACCGTATCTACGTCCAGTCTTCAGTCTACGCCGATTTTGCTTCTAAACTCGCCGAGAAAGTAACTGCGTTTAAAGTCGGAAATGGCCTGGATGAAACAACGTTGGTAGAATGCACCAGATAATCTCTGTCATTTACCCACCCATTTCCAGGACGCATGGCCCTCTCATTCATGAGAAAGCAATCTCGAAAGTTACGCGACATGTGGAAGATGCTGTTTCTCGTGGCGCCCAAGTATTGGTCGGCGGTAAACGTGTCGATGGCGCTGGAACTTTCTTCACGCCTACCGTCCTTTCTGAGGTTCCTGCTGGGGCACTTTTCAATGTTGAAGAAACTTTCGGGCCTGTTGCAGCTCTGACGAAGTTTGAGACAGAAGAAGAGGTGGTCGCCCTAGCAAACGACGCAGATGTGGGTCTTGCTGGATATTTCTTCAGTCGAGATGTTGGGCGTGTATGGAGAGTTGCAGAAGCGCTTGAGGTTGGTATGGTTGGCACCAACACTGGGTTGATCAGTCATGCTACTATTCCTTTCGGTGGCGTGAAAGAGAGTGGCATTGGTGGGTTTTAGTCTTCTCGTTTGGCCAATGCTGAATCTGTTGAATTTTAGGGAGGGAGGGAGGCCACGGTATTGAAGAGTACTTGAATCAGAAGCTCATTGCCTTTGGTGGGATCTGAGATGACAGACTTTTGTACACAAGAACTATGTATCATATCCATTACCTGCTGTTGTCAAATCACGAGAATAAAGGATGCATATGAATAAGAAAGACGGTATATGTGGCTACAAATTTACAACTTCGCCTGGTGACGGCCCTCCTCGATGACAGGGTTAACGAGTGTGCCAATGCCGTTTCCCAACCATACCCTGCAGTCATCACCGTTCTTGAGTACAATGGCGGGCTTCCTCGCGAAACCAACTCCTTTAGGTGTTCCAGTCAAGATAACCGACCCTGGTTCGAGGGTGGTTCCCTGCGAGAGGAAAGATACCGTTTTCCGGACACCGAAGATTTGATCGCTAATAACAATCATCACTTCAGCATGCGCTCTCTCTAGGGCATGGATGAGTATTACCTGCTGTTGCCGTCCTGCAGAACCTTTCCATTGAGTGTACAAGTCAGCGGAATGTCTTGGGGGTCAGAAATAGCATTGTTCGACACAATGACAGGGCCGAGGGGAGTTGTATTATCTGTTCAAGTTCATCGTATGAAGTCATATCTCACATTGTCCGATATAAATAACTTACCGAACCCCTTGGAGAATCCCCACTGGGAAGTTGTCAGTTGGTGCTTGCGGAACGACACCTATTGTCGCAGATATGAGATCAGTCAGCCTCGGAACCATAGTGCAGGTCATTACATCATTGGCACCAGTGTACCCGAGGACGTAGTCAAGAGCGTCCGCCTCAGAGACGTTCTTGGCCGCCTTTCCGATGACGATGGTGAGCTCTACCTCGTAGTCGGAGAGGTGCTCTTCGACAGGTTGCGCAACATTGGGAATGAAAATTGGTGCATTGGGACCGATCATCGACGCCAGGGGCTTGTAAAACAAAACGGGAGCGCTATATAAGTTACAATTGAATAAGATCCAGGAAACATTGGATATCATCAACTTACGCAGGCTTAGCCATGTTTGCCTCTGCCTGTTTATGGTTTTATCAAGATCATACTACACGGCTCGATTTAAACAGGACTTACTGCGTGGTCCGAGTAGTTGAGACCCAAGCACCGAACGACCTTCATCTCTTCGCGAGAGAGAGGAGAGAGAAGCTTTTCAACTGTCAAGATGTTGCTCGTAACGTGAGCGGCAGGGTCAAGGATGGACCCAGAGATCTCATAAGCTCTGATGGTCTGTTTGTTCCATGCAGCAAGGCCAACTGTACGTCAACATGAGCATGCAGTCAAGGAAGTATATAATGAGCCTGCGGTTTACCATCAAGTCTGGAGTCGACCGGTTGTCCGATATGAATTTGTGCAGTCTCTGCGGCGACAAAGCGAATGAGCCGCGTCCATTGCTGCAGTCGCAATGCCTCTACGTGAGCATATAGATCCAGCTGAACAGATATAGTATGTTGCACATACTGTTGGGATGGGTGCCATGATGGTCAACAACAAAGATTGTGAAGGTCTGGGAATGCGCACCTAAGCGTAGAGCTCGTTATTTACTTGTACCCCACAGTGAGAGGCTTCACGCGGTCGTTAATGCGCTCCTCCGAATTCCGCGTCACGTTCCAGTCACGTGGCAGCGACGCGGTTAAATTTGGCAACCATAAACGCAACAACTCATCAATTGCTCATCAACGGAGGAAGTTCTATGTAGAACAACGGAATCATATCTCTTCATCGATGTCGTCAACAGTGAGCTCGATGAAGACGACGCTGCAGGATGCTTTGGATGATGTGAGTAACGGGGGTGTTCTTCGGGGTGGATTCGGTCAATTATGACTGTTTACTACTACAGGTGGCCTCAACACGTTCATCGTTTGGAAGGCGAAATCGAGCTCTAGCTGTTCTTGAGCAGCAGCTTGCGCTTGCATGTGTGCAGTCCTCCAACGATGATACATTAGAAACGTATTTGAACCTTCAAGACGCTTTCGAATCCAATGGTGGGGAATAATCACCCAACTTCGCACCTGTCTAAATCGGATATATAGTTCCATCGCGGATCCTGGCTTGGATACAATGGACGACACCTCAGCTAGAACTGTGCGCAAGCAAGAGCTCCACCAGTAAGTATGCAGCCCTTCTTCCCCAACATCGTGGCTGACTGAATCACAGAAGAGCGCGACACTGAAATGAATATCTCGTGCTCCCAGCTATGCCAAGGTTTGTCAATAATCCAAGGAGTCTCTCTTCACCACAAATCAAGCAAGACTTTTCTGGGTCGTCGGTTTTCCCTTGAGGTTGGTTGTGTTTAGTGAAGTCTTTGAGATGTCTAAACCTCATCATCTATTGCAGATTTTGATCGAGTTATTACTTGCTTCTCGACACACGCCAATCATCGATGCCTCTTCCGGGGGAAATAGTTCCAAACCACCAGAAAAGCCTGCACCCTTCATGCATTTGACATCTGCTGTCTTGGATACTTTGCTGTGCGTTCTGGTTGATTCTTCTCCAGCGCTACGCTCTTTTGAGGAAGTGAATGGGGTTCAAGCAGTGGTAAAGATACTCAAACGAGCAGGAACACCACGCGAAGTCAGGTGGGTTGCCCGTTCCATTTTCCATGCAATCACTGATGTGGATCCAGAATGAAATGCCTGGAGTTTCTCTACTTCTATTTGATGGATGAGACTCCCATCCACATATGGCCTGATGAAACACACTCACTACCCTCCTCCCCCATTGCCACCCGACCTAGCTCACCTCTTCTACTTCCTGAAAACAAGATATTTGGCGCCTCTAACATCTCCTTTGCGTGTACCTCTACCAGATCGTCATCGAACTCATCAACCTCTTCGTCTTCTTTCTTCTCCATGTCATCAGGTTCATCGACGACTTCAACAACTAGCTTCGAAAGCATTCATACACCTTCGCCTATCAAGAAGTCATATTCCACCTCCACTTTCACTTCATCGGACCCACGCACTCCTCCTAGCTCACCACCTTCGATAACATCCAACGCTAGAAAGATACCGGCGCCACTACAGTCCCGCTCAATGCTCATGCTACGGAAGGAAGTGGATTATGAACCGCTGAGTCCCAAGAAACCCAGAGGGTTCCGACCAGGTCTCGGAGTCGCTGATACACCCATCCCTACCACGCCTTCTGTTTCACGTTTTCGAGGGACGATTAGCAGCAAGACCTTCTCATCGGGCCGTGGCGAGGATGCAGAGGCTCGCACAAGCAGGCATGATCTTGTGCGGACTATTGATGAGAAGAAAGAAATACTAGGGAGCATGCTGGGGAATGTGGATGCTCTCGTCGATGGTGTGAGGAAAGCGGGTATATGGGGGCTTGGCTAACGCTCTCGATGCTCCTCTCTCATACCAGAAGTTGTCTGCCCAAAAAAACTTGCGGGATACATTTGGTGGTGTTACAATATTGATATGGCTATACTTGGACTGATGCGATCGATAAGGACACTAAGATGCTAACTAAGAGCCGATTTGCGTAAACTCCGTCAAAATTTTCTCTTGCGCGCGGACAACCACCTTGATATGGTCGAGGGAAAGCGGTTCCTTTATGTGTATTCTCATGAGTAACAGGGAAGCAAACACACGGCCAATAATGCTTACGCAGAGAGTGCTGACGTCTGGGCGGTCCGGACAAGGTTCTTGATAGTACGTCCTGGAAACTATATTTAATTCTGATGGGCAGGGCGGCAAGGGTATGCTGACCATTGAACGGTGCCAATACCTCCAAATCTGAGAGGGAAACATAGCGGCGTGGCTCTTTGCCATCGACATCGACGAACTCTTTAGACTCTGAGCCCCACAATGGACACCCAGCAAGCTCAAAGAACTTTTGCCAGATCGTAAGCCGGGCCGAGGCATCTAACTCAGGATATTTGATCGCTGTTTAGATTGAATTTATTTCAAACTGGTGTGATATAAATAGAGGACGGACCGATAGGGAAACCTCGAAAGAAAGGTGTCGTCAAACGTTTGAATGCGATTCGTTGTCAAGAAGAGCACACCGCGGTGGTACTCAAGACTTAATGCAACGGAGACCAGTGCGTTGCGTTTCAACTACAATAAAATGAGAAACGTATCGTGAGGTTAATGGATTGCAAAACCGTACATCATGCAGACTCTGTTCCAAGAACACGTCAGCTTCGTCAATAAGAACTACGGCCTCCCATGTGGCAGCTAACTGGTAGAGCATTCTTATGAGATCAGTGGCAGTCGTACATTATGGCACGTACTTTCAATATCCGCGACAGCGTAGATTCCAGCTGTGAACGCTCTGTTGACAATTCCGGGGAGCTGACGATATACAAAGGCCTCTGGAGGTGTTCAGCGACAGCTTCAGCTGTAAGCGTATTTCCGGTTCCAGGAGGCCCGTGAAGTAACGCAATCTTACACAGAATAACATCAGGTTGACAGCATTGAGTTGCACAGGAAAACCTACCAAACCCCCACCTTCACCTGTGATGACATCCGACATAAGATGCTGCGACATGCTGACATTATTAGTACATCGACAAGTCCCCTGATCAGGCTCTGCTTGACCATCAGCGACAACCGAACAATGTACAGAAAGCATTACTTACTTTAACGTCGTCGTCTACAACCAAGTGGTCCCAGGCTTTCTCGTCAAACCTGATGTCATCAATATTTTCAACGTGGAATAATTTCCATTGCTGTGGCACGTCGTGAGTCAGCCGAGCCACGCTAAAAGAGTTCAGCTTACTTTGCTCTTGAGCTCGAAACCATTCACAAAAGCCGGAAGTTGAACGTGTTCCCCCTCGGGAACGTCAGGGATCTCCTCGTCTCTAGGACGATGTTAGCACATGAACTATGAGCGACAGCAATGATCTCATACGGGTTACGTGTATAGCCCTGATGCACACTCATCGATGACGATTCAACTCTATGGGGTCAGATCGATAAGCTCGTTGCCATTCTAGACAAGAGAGGGAAGGAAGATTACCCCTTTATCTAAGGACAATTATCAGTCTGACGGCAACGTAGAATGGGTCGAACATACAAGACTTATAATGGAAACTACCAGAAAATGATCTATACAGAATCCCTCGGGCTAAAATGATGTTCAGAACTTCTGTAGCACCTGGCAACAAGCGTAGGGCCTTGTACCAGTTAGCTTGGTGCATATGTCGTCTGTCATGATTTTGCAAGGCAGCTTTGACAGTTCCACCGTTCCCTGAACTATCGTGAGCTCTCATAAATTACAAGCGCAATAAATACAAACATCGTATTTTGGAATTGAGAAAGTCTTTTTCTCGTTGATGTATTTGTATCCGTCCCACCTCGTTGTCTCTCCATTAAGGGGAAAAATCTGTAGGAGAGTGATGAGAACCCGATCCTTCGTATACAACGCGACTTACGTTGAGTCTTTGTTATAGCACGTGTTACTGAGCGTAAATCCGGTCTACAGCACGATTAAATAGACAGTTACTATCATATATTATTACTCACCAAGTCATCCTTCTGCAGAGTATAGTACTTAACATCCCGCTCAAAGTAGTATCTGAGCAAGTCGAAAGCAATATGTCCATAAGAGAGTTGAAGCTCCAGTTCTTGAGTTCTGTAACCTCGCAGTTAATTTAAATATGAAGACAGTATATAAATATGCTCACGTCGGTTCGAATTCCTTCTCTATCATACCTAATAGGACGCCAAAATGCTCTGCCACGTCCTCGAAGTACCGCCGGGCGTCTTCCTCGGTTTTATGCGCTGCATCGAGGAATGAGATTGTCAAAGGGGATATCATATTATGATGGCCAGACATACGGCCCAATGCGTCTGTGTAACCCATACCATTCGCTTTTTGCTTGAAATCTCCACCAGCCAAGTTTGAAGCAAGAACATCGCGGACGTCAGCAAGATCAGCCCGAAGGTCATCTATTCTCGCAAAAAAAATCCAAAAGAAAATACTTCGGGTTTTTTTTGAAGAAACTACCCTCGATGGCGTAGCTGCCAAGGCGACGCTAAGATTGACCAGGTAAGAGCTGATATTATAATCTTACCGAAGGAAATCACTCAATACTCTGCTGAAGTTGCTCACAACTAGTTCAGGGGGTGCTGGACGAAGTCGTCAATACAGGCCTACAGTGATAGTGGTTAATTAATGCACACATTGTTCATTTCGATATCGGATGTCAAGATAAAAGTAGTTGTTCAGATCCTCATGCTGAGGGACAGGCTTGATGAACGATGGATCATATGGTCTCCAGACTTTTGCACCACAATCCCTGTGTTTGCATGTAAGCGAGTAGTCAGAGCAGTCAAGCAACTTAGTACAGACCATATCTGAAACGCTGTAAGTAACGATCCTCAGCTTTCTGCGTTTATCTTCTGACGCTGTCTGATTCATTCGATTAAGAAGACTTAGTATCCCAATGCACTCTACAGTGAACACACGTTACCGACCTTGGCGTCCTCTGCTACATTCACGCCCTCGGATGGAATGGCATTTTGAGTGTACTGCAATGGAACTGTATCGCTGTCGGACATGACCTCAGAGTCTGTAAGGGTGGATGAATGTGGATGAAATGTGGGTTGGTAAGTTTGAGAGAGGAAAGGGCGATTTAAAACCCATTCCAGCAAGGCCGCTCATCGATTGGGGATTCTAGTTATACACGCTCCGCTTCGAACCTTGATTTGCCACTCAGGAATGGGGGACTCGAGTGAGATAACATAACAATACTAAGTTTTTGATACGCAATACACACTTATTCGCTAGAATTGGGGTGGTAGATTAGGATCTTGTGGGTCACATTACGCCCGAGCCTTTCGAATCTGCAAGGTGTTCAAATGACTGTGCGAGTCAATCAAAGATAGGGGCAGATGAACAAGTTCTAGAGACGGTGCAAGTCCGTGTTGGAAATAGTCAAGACGAATCAATTTGTTACGACTACACACCAAAGGGAGAGAAATGATGCCTAGTGATTCAGATGTATAGTATCTGTACACGACAAAGCATGCAGCGCTTAAGCGCCGAAGAAATGACGTTGCCATCGCGAAAGGATTATACCCGATACCACTGAGGGAAATCACCAGCACTCATAATCAGTACCGTGCATTACAACATCTCAATTATTGCACCCACCAATGATTTTCAACTAAGAAGACCGGTGAAGTCGACGAAGAAATTGTAATCAGACAACAAGTATCACGTTTGCGATCGAGTTCCTGACTGCGCATTTAGTACTCATGGATACCTCGTGGAGGGAGTCGTGTACATACTCCCTTGTCCTATTGTGTCAAAACGCATCAAACAAGTACCAAAGCTATTCTTTATCTCGGCCGCTTCCAAGCGAGGGGGGAACGCACGCCTGCTTGGGCTACATGTCCATTCTGACTAGGCAGACTATACATAAAAGAATGATTCAAACGGGAATTTGAACGAATCAGCTCATTAATGAAAGAGATCCTGGAATGAGAACGATATCAGGTTCAAGTCGACACTGCCACAAAATCGTTGTGTAAATCAGTTGAGAATCGCTCTAGACTGACCATTAACAGATAACCTACTTTCTAGAGCTTTGTCTCTCCCGAGTCCCACCCAGATGCAGCAAGACCTTCGCTCATACACGCAGCACGCCTACATCCTACCGTTAAAATTGCCGCAGCGGTTAACAGACAACCTACCGTGACTTTGAAATTCTAGAGCCACCCAGGTGTAAGACTGCCTGACAGCGTGACTCACACGCCTACATCCTGCGGCAGCGGCGGATAAAAAAGAACAATTTTATATAAAGAACGAAGCCGAAATTCTGACAGTTCCCGATCTGATTACCACTGCAGGCTTAGTCATACATGAGCTAACGCTCTTTCTCGGACTACCGTGACAATGCGGAACTTGCACTTGCACTTGAACCACCGGCTTCAACATATTTCATCTTGCCTGCAATTTGAGGCCCGACCAGCAAGAATTTTTGGATAGATGGCGCGCTTGTTTGTCACAAGGTTCGTGCTGACACCGCTTGATCTCGCCCAGCCCCTCTCCACGCCGCATGCTTATAAAAGTCCGGCTCGGACACCAGATCGATGACTGCATTTTTTCGTCATTCTTGACCAACGACTGACATGTTCTTCAATTCTCATAGGACTACATCTCTAGTTGTTTCGCTCTTTGGTGCAGTGTTCAACTTTGTTGTTGCAGCGCGGCTACTTGGAGTTTGGCGGTCATTCAAATGGGAACCAGAGAGTGAATGGGAGAGCTCGGAGTATTCTATCAGTAAGGATGGAGTACGCCTCGTATGGGCGTTACTGTGCGCATACTTTGCTGTGGCATCAACCATCTGTTTCATTGGTCTGGCAGGTATTGTCCGAGTGCGTTGAATTTTGTCTTCCTTGCCAAAATATTAAGTGTTCCTCACCAGGGAAAAGCATCATTCGTGCGCATATATCGCGACTACATTGTCGGAGATTTCGTGTTTGGCACACTATTTGCAGCCATAGGCTCTTATGCTGCCTTTCGACCAACAGTCCGCTCTAATGTTTGCGAGTTGTTATCACGCCAGCCAGACATACTTCGGGACTTCATCGACTTGGGGCTGACTTTGGAGAACTGCGAACCATGGTTTGAACGGGGAGTGTTCGCGTTCATGGTTGTTTTGATTATCATCACCGTCATTCGCGTGAGTAAATTTGCTTTAATGGTGGCTAGCAAGGCCCGAGGCTGAGGACTTGGTTACTGCAGCTCCATTTCGTGTTAGCATTATCGAGTTATTATAGCATTCTCATCCGCCATCAAGATTTCCGTCTGCCGTCGCATACACCTCACTATTCGTGTGCTAGCGTTGCCGAAGGGGATTTAGAGCGGATATATATCCTCCCAGTCCGTTCAGTGGCAGGCAAAGCGTCTTGCACATCGGACCTCGATCTACCATTTGTAGACGCTCCGGTTTACGCCCCAGTCCCGCTGACGCATGTTTCTTCGCAAGTCGCGGAGGAGCTGCTTGCGAATGCAACTGAAGCATGGGTTTCTCGATCACCTCCAGCCCGACCTGTGCGATGGCGCAGCCCCTCGCCGGCCCGCTGTCAATCTGCGGACCCCCATTCGGGATCAGGTCAGACTGCTGATCTGATTTCGTTGGAGAATGAAAAGGCATGATTTGATGATTGGGATGATAACGACGGTAATGACGGCATAAACTTCTGACATGTTTTGTGGTGGCGTGTCTGGTATCATGTGCTCCTAGTTGTATCACTGTGTTGACGAGTTATCGGTTTTGCATATTTGTACTGTAGTTGTCTCAGTTATTCGGAATCAGAAAAGTGTCGTACTTTTTGCTCAGCGCGGAAGCTCTCAGCAGTACTAACCTGAATTCTGACATTAGACCTGCTTCGTTCCGCTTCAATTGTCTCGTCTCGGGATATGTTCTGCTTGTACTTATCGTACCAAGCTGCCAACCTAATCCTTGCATCTGATTGGGACCTCACGCCCCTTCCTCATTGACAGATCATTATTACTGTCACAGGTCCTTGCTTAGTAGGCGCTGTACCCCAGACAATCACACCCACAATCATTGTGGTACGTACATGACTTACTAACGTTTACTTTCCGTTCCTTGATCTAATGCGGATAAAGCTGTTGTATCAGAACGCACCTCTCACGACGGCTCCCGCTATGACGAATCCAGTACGGCATAGCTGTTCCTTACCAATCCCTTATATATTGGGCTAGGCTGCTGAACTCGGGTTTTGCAGTGACTCATTAACGCCCTGTCATTAGCGATCATCGATTCATCGCCTGCCGCAGTTCCTTGTACACGTGTATAGGACTTAACATGTATCTTTACTCAATGTCCAGCCTTTGTGGCAAGGAGCAATTCAAATAGATTCTACTCGAGTCAATTGCACTGACACCAGAAAGCTAAATTTATAGTTCAATATTAGCGCACAACCTAGGCCTAAGCTAGTCTTGGTAGTCGTCATCTACTAGTCTTCTTCGGTACTGGTTCCGGCAGGACACGGCGGCCAGCATATGTTTTGAGCCATGCCAAGCACTGCATCACCAATTTCCAGATCTTGAGATTTATCCCGAGGAACGTGTTGAATTTCAAAAGGGACTCGGAAAATTCAACTTCTTCTCGCCACACGTGCAGTTGCCCGCGGCCTACGTACACCAACTCGGAGGCACTTACTAACCCACTCACTGAGAATCCCAATCAACCGCCGGAAAACACCATTGACCACATATATCTCGTTTATCTGATTCTGAATCACAAAAGTTATTTCTTCTAAGCATCTTGATTGCGGGATCTACGTTCTCAGAGAGCACTCACACCATGCTGCACAAATGCACGACTCAGCCACAGTTATGTACGATTCACGCAGTGTAAAAGTTGACAAGATAGCAGGGAAGCATCAATTCTAAACTCACTTGTCATCTAGATGTCGATGGAGTTCTCTTTAGTGGTCGCCTCGAAAGGCTGGACGGTTGGGCTCCACCTTGTTTGTAAAACTATTCAATCAGAGGCCCACTCGCGCCCGTGACATAAAGTGCCAGTGCGTGATGCGTAATATGGCTTCATCGATGCTAGAAAGAATTTCTCGTGATGCACAAACATACGCAACGATTGACTGCACAGGCCAACACATCATTTCTAGAAACCTGTAATGACCGAGTCTCTTGTACAAGATCAGCGACTAGGATCTTCTATAATGTCAATGGAAGGAATGAGGGCAACGTATTCCGCTCGCTCTACGTCTGTCATCCTCACCCAACCGCTGATCATCAGGCTCTCCAAGGACACTTTGACCGTGCCAAAAATGCCACCAACAACTGATGAGGCACTGCATTGGCACCGCTGAGAGCTTCGAGAACGTGCAAATTGGACAATGATAGAGCATTGAACAAGTCCGACAAAGAGTCTGGGTGTGTGGTATAATAAGTATCGGTGATGCATAAGGTCCGGATTCCGGTCACCGTGCGCAAGGGCTCTAAGGGGTTTTTTGGTTCACTTGTTACGTCGATCGTGATCGAGGAGAGGTTGGGACATAATTGGAGTAGGAGCAGGACTCCATTCGCGAGATATATGGTGATTTCGACATTTATCAGGTAGCCGCACGCGGGATTTATGTGCTCGAGTTCGAAAGGCGGACTCACATCAAGGATCTTGAGACCGCGCATAGTGGACAGAAGTGTTGAGATAGATCGTACAAAAGCTGCTCTGTAAAGACTCATCCCTGCTATGACCAGCTCCTGAAGTGCTGGTAGGTTTTCCAACGAGATTTCAAGTTGAGTTGGGTTTCTCCTTGGGAAAAAAATAGGAAGAGAGACCCGGTTTGGTTGGTTGATGTAAGGCTGAAGAAAGCTTCGCAATAGGTTGGTCGATGGGTAGCGCCCGAGTGCTAATGAGAGCGGACGTCCTCGTGATCTCTTGAGCCACGAGTCATAGCAAAAAGCTTCCAGCTGCCAGTGCCAGTCTACGTGGTCGACAACCTGCATCACAAACTGGGCATTCCTACAACGACTTCCCTCCATCGTCAGCATATTCTGGTCAGCAGCATGGAGGCCAGCTTTGATGCGGGTGACAATTATTCGTGTTCGGGGAGACATTAGTGAAAAATATAGGATAGGGTTTCAGTTGGCAAACGCCAAAGAGCCGATACGAATCCCTTGTGCAAATGCCTGGACTGGATGATCTTGTCCTGCTGTTCGACGAGTGACTGATGAAGATTTTGGATGCCGACCATGACCGTTTCCAGAGCTGAGGCATCGTGCAACACTACATCCAGCTGCTGCTTGCATTCGTTGACGATAGCACTGATACTCTCGCCTTTGAGGTCAGGGTGGTTGGTGTTAGGGAAATAGGCTTTTCCGGGAGTATGGGGTTTCGAGGTCTAGCATCTTCTCATGGTCACACTATCGGCATCATACAAACGATCAGCTGCTATACACACGAGTGCTTGTGAATGATCAAGCTGAAGCAACTGGTAACTGCTTATTACTCCTAATGGCACAACTAACCGTGACTCTTGGTACGACTTGATACTTGCAATATTTTGCAGCGCACCAATAATATCCGAGGCCGGGATGAAATTGGCTTGTAAGTTGGTGAGTGTCTGCATGTTATTTTCATTATATTGGTTGAGACGTTCGAGGATGGATGTTGAAGAAGAAGGATTAAATCTACGACAACGACGACCTGAGTTACATACAGATGCTACTAGTGTATATATGGTGATGCCAGCATCTTCTATTTCGCGATTCGCCAAACCGTCTCTTCTGTGCTCGGGGATGGCGTCGTGGTGCTCTGGCCATAAGTACTGTTTCTATCATAAGTCACGGTGAGTGTCTTAGTATCCCCGGCTGGTGTCGAGACCAGTAACAGTCGGGTTACGAGTCTCTGCTACCTGATACTACTAACTGATTAATACTACAAAGTATTAAGCCTCAGCAGCGAGGCCACAGCTGGCAAGACTAGCATTGCAAGGCTTGTTGGAAACACTCATAAATATAAATTTAACTAGTAATACACGACCGAGGCGCTAGGAGACACTTTCTTCCCAATGTCATGAACCAGATAGGGACATTGTATTAGTAGGAAAACCCGCACGTGCGATAGCAGCGATACTGAATCACTGGGAATCATCGGAGGATAATGCTTCACATGAAAGAAGGCTAGGGCTACCATAACATTCTCGAAGATCGATGGTCTTTTTGATCACTGACTGGCACGACAGCTTTGTAAGGGCGACCAGCATGCAACTACGTTTTCATCGAATCACTTGATTCATAGTCCTCAGTGTGTGCTCTGACAAACTAGCAGTAGTATTTGGAGTCATACTCAGTCTCGTTTTCGGCGGGCCATTTCACTGAAATTCAAACTCGATGCCAGATATAGGATTGACATAGAACAAAACTGTACACTCAGTATTGCTACAATTGGATCATCGGGAAGTAGGGCTAGAAATAATTTAGTAACTACGAAGGATGGTCAAGGCTGAGAAACTCACGCGTCTCGGCAATTCGACCAGTGTTCTCCATGAGCCATGCGACTCAAATCAATTTCTTGCCCACTGGGTATCACAGATGCAATCCCAGGAGAATAAAATGGTCGTTCTCGGGAAGCGAGTGGTACCCAAAAAAGCAGCCGACGATTGGCTCCTACCATCCATCCATCTTTCGGCAAGACAGGGGTTGGATTAAGATCATGATGAGAGGTGCCCTTGAGCAGCTCAGTAGGGTTTTGCAGTGCATGCTTCAAGTTTGATGCGAAGCAAATGGGGTGATTGTTACAATTATTGCTGTGCATGGCAGTCTCCTGTTTGCAAGGTGTGATGGGACCTATATCCAAAGAGAATGCAGAGGAATGGATCTCAGTGTGTTCCTGAAATTGCTGCGCTGTCGCTGCATTCCACAGCCGGATAGTTTTATCCTGTGAACCAGATACGATGCGAGTGCCATCGGGGGAGAAAGAGACTGACCAAACCAAACCAGTGTGCCCTCGCAAGGGCTCACCAGATGGCAGCCCCGTCGCTGCATCCCACAGTCGGACAGTTTTATCCTGTGAAGCAGACACGATGCGAGTGCCATCGGGAGAGAACGAGACTGACCGAACCAAATCAGTGTGCCCTCGGAAGGGCTCACCTAATGGCAGCCCCGTCGCTGCATTCCACAGCCTAACAGTTTTATCCTGTGAACCAGACACGATGCGAGTGCCATCGGGGGAGAACGAGACTGAGAAAACCCAATCAGTGTGCCCCCGGAAGGGCTCACCCAATGACAGTCCCGTCGCTGCATTCCACAGCCGGACAGTTTTATCCTGTGAACCAGACACGATGCGAGTGCCATCAAGGGAGAACGAAACTGACCAAACCACATCAGTGTGCCCTCGGAAGGGCTCACCCAATGGCAGCCCCGTCACTGCATCCCACAGTCGGACATTGGAATCCGAAGAACCAGACACGATGCGAGTGCCATCAGGGGAGAATGAGACTGACCAGACCGAATCAGTGTGCCCTCGGAAGGGCTCACCTAATGGCAGCCCCGCCGTTGCATCCCACAGCCGGACAGTGGAATCCAAAGAACCAGACACGAAGCAAGTACCATCGGACGAGAACGAGACTGACGAAACTGGACCAGTGTGCCCTCGGAAGGGCTCACCCAATGGCAGCCCCGTCGCTGCATCCCACAGCCGGACAGTGGAATCCGAAGAACTAGATACGATGCGAGTGCCATCGGGGGAGAACGAGACTGACCAAGCCCAATAGGTGTCTTGGAAGGGTTCACCCAATGACGGTCCCGTCGCTGCATTCCACAGCCGGACAGTTTTATCCTGTGAACCAGACACGATGCGAGTGCCATCGGGGGAGAACGAGACTGAGAAAACCCAATTAGTGTGCCCCCGGAAGGGCTCACCAAATGGCTCCCCCGTCGCTGCATCCCACAGCCGGACAGTGAAGTCAGAAGAACCAGATACGATGCGAGTGCCATCGGGGGAGAATGAGACTGAGTAAACCGAATAAGCGTGCCCTCGGAAGGGCTCACCCAATGGCCCCCCTGTTGTTGCATCCCACAGCCGGACATTGGAATCCGAAGAACCAGACACAATGCGAGTGCCATCAGGGGAGAACGAGACCGAGTAAACCGAATCAGTGTGCCCTCGGAAGGGCTCACCCAATGGCAGCCCCGTCGCTGCATCCCACATCCAGACAGTGGAGTCCGAAGAACCAGATACGATGCGGGTGCCATCAGGGGAGAACGAGGCTGAGTAAACCGAATCAGTGTGCCCTCGGAAGGGCTCACCCAATGGCAGCCCCGTCGCTGCATCCCACAGTCGGACAGTGGAATCCGAAGAACTAGACACGATGCGAGTGTCATCGGGGGAGAACGAGACTGACGAAACCCAATGAGTATGCCCTTGGAGGGGCTCACCCAATGGCTCCCCTGTCGCTGCATCCCACAGCCGGATAGTGCAATCGTCTGAACCAGACACGAAGCGAGTGCCATCGGACGAGAACGAGACTGACGAAACCGGACCAGTGTGCCCATTGATCACAGTCTGAATAGTCGTCCAGTTCACAGAACGTCCTTGTATCAGACGAAGAGTGTTCGGAAACCTTGCAGTAAACTTTGCAGCTATCGTGGACTTGATGGGCGAAAATGGCAGCCCTGATACATACAGATGTGGCGTGCTGTGCAAAATCATCCCACCAAAGACTTGGACGAATCTCTGCACATCCATTGCAGTGGACAAGAGAGTTTGGTAGCCAATACGGCCCTGCATTCGTGCGTAAGCGCTTCACTTGACGCCACCAGGGGACTCCGTTCTCACCTTCAGCCACTGGGAGATGAGTGGAAGTACAGTAACTGCAACTCTGAGTGCATTGAGAAGGCCGAGTGATTCAATCCAGAAGAGTAGCCGCTCGTTGTCGAAGAATGATCCAATTTCCTTTGCGAGCTTAGTGTCGAAGTCCGTTTCTCGTACGTGTGTAGCCCAAAATCGACAGGAATAGGACAGTTGCGAGGGAATGCATGTTGCAATTCGCTTCGGCAGCCCGATGTCTTTGCTATTGGGGAGGTATGAAGACTTTAAATCACATATGTTGAAGCGAAGGTCGTTTTCCATCACTCCAAGCGACGCAAAAGCAAGATTGCGTTGCGCGTTCGATGTCTCCACGAAAAAGTCTCCGCTGGCTGATTTGTCTGTCAGGAATTCGGGGAATGATGCGTGAAGGGGTCGGATGAGGCTAGACGGGTTGGTGGTGCCGCTCAGCAGGGAGCCCATATCTGCTACCACGAGTTCCACCTCGTAACGATCACTTTGGTCTGGGAAACGGCCCCGCATGGCATTCAGGGCATCTAAAGAGAGGGGTTCGGCTGAGCCAAGTATTTGTCCCATCACGGAATGAAACCTTGCTAGCCCTCGCTGATACTCGATTCCCGTGCTGTCCTCCCCCATGTTTCCTCCTAAAATGAACCTATACATGCCATACAACAACTTTTTCCGCTCTCCATGATCGTGGGACACGACAGCATTGAAGCGCTCAATTGCGCGCGAGTAAGCAGAGGATTTTTGGATGTATTCGCATGCAAGACGTGCCCACTCGAATAGTCCATCAGCTTTGTCAGCGAGGACTGCGAACTCTTTGTCCCCAAGACCACCAGACACCTCTTTCAGCTCGTGAGACACAAAAGTACGGATGTCTCTCTTCGAGTCTTTCTCTGCAATGTCGTCCATGGATAACCGTAGAATATATGGAGCATCCCGAAATTCATCGTCGATCTCATGAAGCGGGCGAGAGGTGACGAGAATCCGAAAATTGGATGGGAGTTCAGTGATTTGGGGAAGACCTTCGCCTTCCAGTGTACCAGCGAGTATACGGAGAAGGTTACGCCTTGTCTCGACTCCGCCACTCTCATCCAGCACTTCGATCACAATTAAGACAGGTCCCACACTCGACCCAGATAACTTCTTTAGCGGTTCCATAAACAGCTTGCGCCACTGCTGGACAATATCTGTCGTATTCTTGAGCGCATTTGCATTTTCGACTGTGTCTGCCAATGTTCGTCTCATCTCCATATCCCGGTCAGCAAGGTCGCGAGCAATAGTGGAGAAGACTTTTTCATGGCGCTTGTCGGCTTTAAGATCCCGATCAAAGCAGAAACACGAACCGAGCCCTCCCAAGTCGTTGAACCAGTTAGCGATTGTGTGAGCAATGGCTGATTTACCCGTGCCTGCAGGCCCAGATAGCCACAGCACATGCTGAGCAGCATCTCCACTGTCGTTGATCCATTCAGTGATCTGGGAGAGAATTTCCGTGCGCGTCTCTGGTAGGCATTGCTTCGTGGTATCTAGTCCCGCGCCCGCTGCGTAAAGCATACCGCTGAGATCTAGTTTCTCACCCAGTTTCTCACCTGAAGGGGTATGAGTGGATGCATAGTCAGAAGTACGTCCAAATCCTTACTCGTATACCGGACAAGATCGGCTATGTCCCGAATAGCTTGGTCCCGAAATTGTTGCATAAGCTTTTCCGAAGCGTTGCTGTACTGTGTAATCAGATCATCCGTCCCCGAGACAGCATTTTCCACGAGTCTCTTCACTGTGATAGTGGTATAAGATTCACAATATGCAGAGTGCAATAGCTCGATAACTTACAAAAGTTCTTTTTCCTCGAGTAGTCCCCGATGAAACGCGCGCACTCTAGAGTCTGTTGGGCGATCCGTCCAGCGATACTGCGCTGGGATGAGATCTGGCTAAGAGTGTCCTTTTGCGACATGAAGCCGTAAACATCTCCTAACTTCTCGAGAAGAGATTGCACCGATTGGTCGCATTCCGTTTGAGCGAGAATAATCTGCATAGAGTCAACTACTGCTGAACAGGAAGGCTAGACTGCACGTACTTTGGATGCAGCAGACAGCACACCCAGCACCATCTTGGCGTAAGGATGTACCTACGTAACTTGTGAGCTCGCTTCTAACCAAGAAGAGTGGCCCATACATTCGCAAGGTTCTCAATGACATTGTTGAAAACTTTGAGTGGTTGAAGGTATGTGGTCTGGAAATTGTCTACAGCAGCGAGACCTGCTGGGCCATTCTTGGCTACGGATGCCAGAGACGTGACATGTCCCCCGAGTAGTCTCATACTTTCCATACCCTCACGGGCACCCCGAAGTTCATCGTCAACTGATTGGGGACCAGGACCTTCCTCCACGCCAGACGAAACAGCCTGGACCTGTGCATCCACCAGAATTTAGAGACGAAAAAAAAAATCGTTTGGCGTAAATACCTTCGAAGCAGGTTCCCCGGACGCTCCTTGGTTCACATGGCCACTAGGATTCTCAGATGTGACAGGCTTGTCACCATCGGAAGGATGCAGAGGCGACATATCCTGGGTAGACCTTAGACAAGTTCAGGATGAATATAATGACTACTTACCTCAACACTCTGATTCGATGAACCACCTTCAAGATCAGCGTTCTGGACGGTAGGGGTTTGGTGGCGGGAACGCTTGAAGGGTTTCTACACAATATCAGCTATATGATTCCAGCTCCCGCAGCATTGAGGTCGACATACAGCAACTTTTTTAGTCACATTCTTCTTAAATTTCCGGAGGGCCTGACAGAATCCGCTACGGGGCTGACTCTGGATGAAGGATGCGTCAGAAGCAGCGACAATGTTATTAGCGCTCGTCGACAGTACTTTCATGAGGGCACATACCGAGCTCTCGCCAGCAGTTGCTTCTCTGGATCTAGAGGCCTTTCGAGGAGGTTTCATCCTGTGATGTCTGCTCATTGCGAACAGTCAAAGATCGAGATCAACCTGAGGGGAAAATGGATGCAAGAATTAGAGGGAGGAGATAGAACCATTTAACAAGCGCCCAAATACCCTTGATCACAGGCGGGCGCCGCCAAGTCTCAAGGCAGCGCTAATCATTCAGTCACGTTCAAGTTATAATTGAACTCTGCAGGAACATGGATCATGAAACTTTGACATCGTTCATCATAGGCGCGGGTAAATTGCTTAAGAGATACATACATATGTGCGGGCACAACGAAAGCCATCCCAATCGTCAGGCCGAACTTGTACTTAGGGAAAGCGGGAGTAATCAGCGCTCAGCTTCGGTTAAGCATCCGATACTTAGTATTTGGGTCAAACCTCGACCACTGCTTGATAGGGATTTATTTCGTAGCACTTTTCTGCTGTTCTTACGGTCTGGGGCTACCTCTAGTAGACTGGCTCCACCGTTAATTCCTGGTGTAGCCAAGGGTCCATCTCCGAGTCATCCGGGGTTCCGTGCATTCCCAAAATGGGAGAAGCAGGATTTTGAGGCCGAGGCGATGGCGAAGCTCAGGGAGCAGAAGAAAGGAGATACCCCACAATCAAAGGCCGACCGGCCACTGTGCGCCTGATCTAGGCCCTACAGCTCTTGCTATACCCATCATTACATTCACCCTGCCACCTCCTGCTGCATCCACATCTGGCGGTATCAGGAGACAAAGCCAATACCTCAACGCGCACGGGAGCCTCAAAGTTCACTGCTCCTGCAAGTCTTACGCCTGGGGCCTCAGCTCCAGCTGCCAATAAACCCAGCCTATTCTCTAGAACCTCGTCTACTCCACAGAGTCCACAAGCAGCCCCTGCAGTGCCGGCGTCTTTATTTGGCCTGCCCACGACACAACCACCTACCACCACCACCGCACCCTCCATACCCAACTTTTTCGCCAAGCCAGCTGCATCATCGACACCTGCAACCTCACTGTGCAGTTCCTTCATTTTCGTTTGGTTCCATGCCTGCACAACTGCTGTTTGCTGCACCTGCTTCCGCATCCACCAATCATTTTCTGTGCCGCAGCATCAAGCACGGAAACCGGCAAACCGTTATCGTCTGGTAAGCTTCCGGTGCTCCATGATCACACTGTCTCAAACGGCATGCAGGGGCTAAATGGTCGCATTTGGATCTCTCATTGGCAGAGCATCGAAAAGTACCGTACGAGAGTTCGGGCCCTTGGCGTGGGGCGGAGTGTCATGCGTATAGATGGCCTCCCTCTAGATCTGGAACTCGTGGATACGCCCTGCGGTCGTCCCTGGCCTTTCCTACTCCTTCGCATTGAAAAACTGTTCTGGTTGGACAGTAGTTATGAATACAGTCACCTCCTTTCCAAACTTCTCAGCCCTACCTTAACTGAGCTTCATGTATACGCGATGGATAATTTGTTTATGTATTCGGTTTTGCCAAACCTGGGAGTTACATGTCCCCTCATGAAATCCTTTTCCACCACTGGCTTTGATCCAGCCACATCCGTCCCAGTTTCAACAGCAGTTGTATGTGGTTGGCTACAGCTCAAGGACCCTTAGCACAGAAGCCGTTGATGGACCCGCCTTGCTCCACCTCTCCACTCTTCCATCCCTCGAACACTTGCAACTCTCATTTCTATCACTGAATAGGGGTTCCTTCAAATACAGCCCGACCACATTCTCAAACCCTCTTCACCATCTTACAATCCACGCGCAGGGTTCCGAGCCATGCGTGCCCTTCCTTGAAGCAACGTGGATATCCGCGAGAAGTGTACACATCTCTCTCGGGAACATCCCACGATCTTCCAGTAATGAAACCTTTCTTTTACTCCTTGCCTCTCGTGTAACAGCACAACAAGTGCAAGCTCTCTCACTCGATTCGACTTCTGATTGGCTGCTTACAATCACTGAAATCATGCCTCTGTTCTCATTTTGCACATTGCAAGAACTCACGCTACCATCAACCTCTGGCAACCTTACTATAAACAACCAAGACCTCATCAGAGCCGCGAAATCGTGGCCCAAGTACGCCTGGGCGATGAGGGCATGTGGATAATGCCAGCGCGTCCTCAAATCACCCTGGATGGGTTGGCCAGTCTGCTCTTGCATTGCCCAGATTTGTGCACTCTTGGCATCGGCATGGACGCCGCCTCATACAGTGCTGTGACGCCCATGGTACCAGGGGATGGTGTAATCAATACCAAGATCACCACGCTCTCTGTCGGGGCATCGCTAATCGAAAATCCGTTGGCTGTCGCCGCATTCCCCTCCTCCGTCTTACCAAACTTGAAGAACATTCTGCCCAAGTTCGACACTGGCTTTGTGCCCAATCAAACGAAAAGGCGACACACGAAGTGGGCGAGAGCTGCAACGTATCTGCAAGATGTGGACATGATCAGGAAGCAAGAGAGGGCCAGATTGGGGGTCTACTAGGGTCATGTAGCGCAGAGTTTGTATTGAGGGGAGAATCATTCGAAGTCGTAGAGAATAGTGGTTCCTAGCGATTACATTATGTAAATGCGATAAATATATCGATGGTTTTAGCGCTATGTCATGATGTAGACTGATGTAGATCCAAATTTCAAATTTACACCAGGTCATCCGACCGACCAACTAGCTAGGGAACCCTCGAGGCGGAGTCGCCTCCTCACCAAACTTTCAAAAGAAGATAATGGCCCATGTTCGCGAGCGGTCTCCTTCGCCTGAGTTTTCTTCGGATTCGCTTCTCAAGCGATTAAAAACGACCCATTCCTCGTCGACATCGACCGTGGACTACGAGTTGCGCTTCTATCCCGGTCTCTTTGGGCCAGAAAATGTGCAGAAACTGCATCAGGCTTACGCTAGCAGTGAACCGTTCAAATATGCGATTATCGAAAAGCTTTTCCAGGACGATCTTCTCAAGAACGTAAAGGACGAATGTATCAAGGAACTGAGCTTCACTGAGAAGGAGACAGACATATATAAGGTGAGCCTCGATCCTAACAGACTATCTGTTATCCGACATCTTTTTCCTAGGTCAACCAAACCGGGGACCTTGCATCACTCTCGTACCTATCTGAAGCTCAACTTGCACTCTTTCCAAACCTCCTTACTCTCCGCGATGCACTCTATTCATCAGAATTCCGCAAGTTCATCCAGTCTATCACTGGGTGTGGACCGCTCTCCGGAACGAAACAGGACATGTCTGTCAACTCGTACACGCAGGGTTGTCATCTGCTTAACCACGACGATGTGATTGGAACCAGGCGCGTATCGTATATCCTCTATATGCCACTTCCATACGGCCAGGAATGGCAAAAAGAATGGGGAGGTGCGTTAGAGTTGTATCCTGTTCAACCTGGCGTCGACGGGATCCCTGAGCCTGAAGCTGCGCCATGCAAAGCCATCCCTCCAAGCTGGAATCAATTCATTTTCTTCGAAGTGCAACCAGGCAAAAGTTTCCATTCTGTAGAAGAAGTGGTAGTAGGAGGAGATGGCAGGGCAAGACTTAGCATAAGTGGCTGGTTTCATGCAGCACAAGAGGGCGAGGAGGGATATCAAGCTGGTCAGGCAGTTCCTGAGCTCAAAAGCTCACGAGAACAGTTGGTATGTCTTGGAAGATGTATTGTTTGTGCATCCGTCTCATCGGGCCTACTACAGACATCTAGCTCTACCACTTTTGTTGCATACTCCGACTTAGAGCCACCCCATCCAGATGGACCGCTCCGACGAGAATATATCTCCTACCTCGCAAAATTCCTTAACCCAGTTTACCTTCAAACACGCACGATGAAGGCATTGATGGCACGTTTCGTCGTGGAATCGAATATTGAACTTCACCATTTCCTTTCCGCGTCTCTCATATCGAAACTTGAACCTGACCTGCGTAGGGCAGATCAAGCTGATGGCCTTGATGGTGAGACTCGCCAGGGGAGGATACCACCACACACTGCTGGCGTCTCTGGTGCATGGTCTGCGCGGGGTCCACCACACAAATGGCGTTACTGTACGCTCCAAAAAACAACGGAGTCCCAACGTGAATCAGACGCAATCCTTCGTCAGTTGCAAGACGAAGTTTTCCCGAGCGATGCGTTTCGCGCTTGGCTAAGCATCTTGACAAAGTTGTTGCCGCTGAGCTATTCTGTAGAAGCGAGAAGGTTTAGACCGGGCTTAGACTACACTCTCGCAACGAGTGAGGGGGACGAGTCGCGATTGGACGTAGTGTTGGGATTGACGCCACAAGTAGAAGTTGAAGAAAATGAGACACGATCAAATGGCAAGTCGAAGGCGAACGAAGAGGACGAAGAGGGCGAAGAGCCGCGTGGTTGGCAAGCTGGGGAGTGGGGAGGTTGGGAGGTTGGGCCATTATCTTCCTCATTAACGTTTTGCTGACTTGTTCGTTATCAAGTGTTACATGGCACCCCATGACGAGGAAGATGATCCAGCGGTCTATCGTTCCGGGTCAAGCAAAAAACACCAAGTCAACGATGCCTCTGGCTCACAAGACCGTGATGATGATCCAGAGACCGGAGAGCAGGATGATGAGGACGAGAGCACTTTGCTAACCGTTCAGCCTAGCTTTAACACACTCCTACTCGTTCTGCGGGACGAGGGCGTTATGCGCTTCGTCAAGTATGTTTCAGCTGCTGCTGCAAGCTCTCGGTGGGATCTCTGCGCAGAATTCAACGTCGGGATGGTTCAGGATGACGAGGAATACTCATAAACTGGAAAAAATGCATTCGGTATGTCCATGTAGACAACGGAATTTTTGCGAAGCTATCTACCATTAGGGTGTACAATGCTGCGTCTCTCGCTATCCTTTGCTATCGTGATATCCTAGAACACAATTTTCTGACCCTGGCTGGGTATGATAGCAGCAGATTCACGTGGCGCCTGGGCCAGTGCGGCACCAGGTTTCGGACGTCCTCGAACCCTGTCAGTTCTTATATGTCGTGGACCCTCCTTTTGGTTCCGTCGTATTGATTCTGCGTCATCTTGTTGTGTGCTGTGTTCTTTCTCATTTTCACCACGCCTTCCCGGGCGCGATTGAGATCGTGGATGCGACTCAGCGTCGGGTTGCCGACCACCATATTTCTTTCCAGGTCCGCTTTTGTGTTCACTTTGTAATCTTGGACCACCACCTCGACGAACTGCATCAGCAGAGGCATATTCCACAACTAGATCTCGACCATTGAGACGGTGATTACGAGGATTGATCAGGGCGGCAGTTGCATATTCGGTGCTGGTAAAGTCAAGAAAGGCAAATCTGTATGTTTCCGTTGGCATTATATGCGCCTTGTACGACAAATCACTCACCCTTTACATGCACCACTATCTTCAAAAGTTCCCATGCGGATCTTTCGTAACCAAACATCTTTCGTGTCATTATTTTCCTCCCCGGCACTAGCCTCGGCGTCATTCGCTTTGACACCTTTTCCAGCCTTTTGCGAGTATCTGTGAGCCTCAAAGAGTTCACGAATCGACTCCACAGTAGTGTCAAAACCAAGATTTCCAAGGAATAATGTTTGTGCAGGAGGCTGCTTCTGTACACGCAGAATCTTCTGTTGAGTCTTCGTCAAGCCGCTCACTGATTTGCCTGCAGAAGGATCCTTAGCGTCCTCTTGTGTTCCCGCCGCTGGTGTAGTTATGGGACGGCCCGCAAAGTCATTTCCTACACATACGCGAATGTAGGCTTAGACATCAAGTGCGTAGGGTAAATAGCAAGTATACATACCATCTTTGACCAGTAAATTCCGACCGTGAAGCTCTCGTTCGGACTGGGTTATTGCTGTGACTTTGGCATCTGGCGTAGCAAAAGTCGACGTAGGCAAAGCTACCTTGTCTTCAGTCGACTACACATTTAGCAGGGAAACAACTTTGCTCACCCCATATTCTCTCCTTTCGTTCCCTTTTTAGTGGGCATGTGTATTCGCGTGATCTCCCCGACGCCATCAAAGAAATCTCGCAGTGCATCTGGCGTAGTCTTGAACCATAGATTGCCCACCCAGACCGAATTCTGACGTTTCGGCTTGCTATTGCCAGCAGGCTTCGAGTCCTTCGTAGAGACGCCAGCTGCGGAACCATCCGTCACTTTTCTCTTTTTCGCCGGCTGATCTTCAACTTTCTGATCTTTTTTCTTCTGTCTGCGTTTTTCGGCATGAGACAACACGACGCTGTCATCTGGGACTGGTGCGTTATCTGCTGTGTCTGTTTCGTGCGCTACATCATCGCATTCTTCGGTAACTCTTTTTCTCTTGACCTGTGGTGGGCTGGAAGAGTCTGATGAAGACGCTGCAGATGACATTTTGGAAGTAGACTTTGAATTTAAAAGAATGTATGATATCAGTGAATCATGTGACGATGCACGTAACAAGAACTCACGTGATTCTGAATTCATAAGATATTTGAAGTTTGAAGTTTGTGTGCATTTACTGATCGGTGACAACCACACTTGTTACATCGTTCATAGATCCAAAAAAACCGCCCTGCAATACGTCTATCTCGAGAGTCTACATATTGTCCATCCACATCCTTGCAGTTAAAGGGTATATTTAATAAACGGCTCTGGACTAGGTCACCAGTAAAGATGATATCCTGCACCTTCAACCTGTCCTTGTGTTTTCGCAGCAGTCTTCAAATGACACAGAGATAGAGGTTGTTTACTATGATGCTTGATCAATCAGAAATCTCGTGGCAAATGAAGACAAGTACCTAGAACGCGCCAATGCCTTGGCCGTCGTGTGAATGTTCCTCATTGCCCGACCTGCCAAATATTGCGGCGACTGTCTACAAGAGGGCGAGGCTACTTACCATTGACTGCAACTCTGGACAGCTCCTCGATGTCTCGGCGAGATATCTTGTTTGCTTCCCCTGAGAGCATATTGGACCACATGGTTTGGCGGGAATCACCATCTAGTTCAGGATACTGGATGGCTGTAAGAGAGACAGGTGAGCATGGAATTGATAGATTGGCAGATAAAACCTGTACTCATAGCAAAATGCGACATGTATGCAGAACATGTAGTCCTTGCGGTAACAAATACAATGCACCGATGCTGCTCGAAGAATTCGAGAATCGTCGAGATGCGAATATGTTCCTCCATCTGGTCGCAAGTCAGGGTAGCACAAGACGAAGACAGCTAATACGCACTATTGGCTCGTGCCTCTGGGTCTGCATGAGAATCTGGATGCAAGTCAACTCATGACCGATAAAACATGCAAAATACCGTACATCCCCAGCTTCAATCAATACTATGGCGTTCCATGATCTTGCTGCCTGTGAGAATAATAAATTTGCATTAAGGTGGGCAGCAGTCGACGAACATACATCCAGACGGGATGTCAACGTGTCCACAAGTAAGGTCACGTCCAACGGAAGGGAACATGCTGCGAGGGAGTACAATGGCCGTCTAAAATGTTCTGCGATGGCTTCAACGGTTGCCGTTTTGCCGGTTCCTGATGGCCCATGGAGGAGTATAACCTGCCAACGAGAGGTGCACCGTGACATATTTGAACAAACATATAACTCGACCTACCAAGCCCGTTTGTTCTTCATCCGTCATGGCCTCCTTGCTGAAGTCGAATGCACCCACAACTCCTTCGATGACATCCTGCCGTAATGAGCAGCCCAACAAATATTTTAGTTGATTGGTCTCACCTTTGAGCTTTCGTCGAGCACAATGTGCTTCCAGGCATTTTCGTTGAATTTTATTGGCTCAACTTCATCAACATCAAATAAGCTCCACGTCTTGTAGAAGCACTATCAGAGGTACTCGAATGTCTACTTTTGTGATTACCTTGCGTTCCAGATCAAAACCTGGCATGAATCGCGGGAAAAGAGCGATATTATCTTCGGGTACGGGCAGGATGTCATCGTTGTTTCGGGCCTTACTTCTGTCTTGAAGAAGGGGGAATGGGAATGGGGAATCATCTCTGGTCGTCAATGAGATCACACGATTGGATGGCTGGCAAACAATTCCTTACGCATGGTTGTAGCCAAACGTGTTCCAGCCTAAGCGATCAATCATGATCCGTCGCTGTTGGAGACGACAGGTCAGTGGGAAACTATCCACCTATCTCATGATCGGGCGCACTCCTCTATCTAAGAGGGGTAAGGTTAATTTAATAAACCAACAGTGATTAAGGAACGCACAATGTCTGTGATGGACTCCCGCTAGTGAGACGTACTTTCTGCCGCGCTCTAGAGTCAGGGTTAACTCAGGACATTTGCGGGACATGTGCTCTTACCCATAAGTCGCTCACATATCTCGGGCGTCATCTTGCTGGTTCGGAAATCAGCCAAGATCAATGACCCCTGATTGTAATGAGTACGGAAAAAATAGAATAGTATCGGGAACAAACCTCGGCCAGTTTAACCATCCGACCTCGCTCGAGCGTAACCCACTTGGTTCCGTTCCAGTATGCACCCTCGCCGTTAAGGGTGAATGTTCTGCAGAAGGAAATAGGAAATGCTATGGCCACAAGTGACATTTACAACTTACTGGTCAAAGTCATCGTAATAGGTAGAGATTAAGCGGAATGCATCCTGCATGCATCATCTATCTGAATATCTCGCAGAGTGTTGTTGGTTCTCTCACAAAATCATTATTGTCATCGAGGTAGTAGAACTGCTGATTCTTCTGAAAGTAGAATTGCAGCAGATCGCGCGGTATGCGACCATGTACTATTGCATGTTTCAATCGTTCAGCTCTATGAGAAATCAGATACCAAGAGGTGAAAACACAGGACATATCGCACACTGGTTTGAATTCTTCTTTAAGCAAGAGGAGGAGAATGTCAAGCTGCTGGACTGCGGCTGTAAGGTACGTGCGCGCATCTGCATCATAAAAGCTATGAAGCGAGTTATCATGAGGAGTACGAGCTACACACCATCTAGATCCTTATGCACATACCCGAGCGCTTTCGCACTTCGTACGAGGCCATCTTCTGCATTTTCTTCTAGCAAAGTCATACGTGCGTCATTAGTGCGACTGTCCAATGAATCTAGCTCCAAAAGAAGCTCATCGATGTGAATTTGTGGATATTTGCTCAAGCATTCACCCCCCACAATGGAGCTGCAAAAGATAACCATTCATCATTTGATGAACTGATTGCTTAAATACGCCGTACCGTAAGCAAGCGAGTAAAACAGGACTAAAATCACTGAAAACCAGTTTTGGTTTCTCTACATACCGGTACATCAATTGCAGCTATGTAATACCTGAGGGCGCACCTTTATCTGTCTTCCGTCGAACATTTAAGTAGAAACAAGTAGGCTCTTGGGTGACCACACGGGGAGTCTGTTCGATGTATTCGTAAGATTTCCAGCAATCATGAAGCCAATCCCTAAAATTAGTCAATAAAGATCACCCGATTACGTTGACTAGAGAGTGTGAACCATTGCTGCCACCGTCGAAGGAAGCCATTCTCTTGTCTCTCAGTTATGCCGGACTTGCATTCTTCGAGCGTCACAGAACTTAACGTAGAGTTGACTTGAAGCGGTATTAGTGCTTCTTTGATTACAGGTGAAAACATGTCCACAGCAGGAGGTGAGGAAGTCGTCGACGTTTCGGGATAAGCCGACTCGGGAAGTGGTGCCGAATTGGTGGAGGGGATAGCTTGCACGAGTGGTTCCTGTATGTTAGACTTTTCGGACATGTCAAAAGTGAGGAAGTTGTTCGTGCAACAAATCAAGGGGTCAGACCAAAAGGTACTTTATACTCTCATGTCAACACCAGTGGATTTGTCACTTTGAAGTCGTCATGTGAACGGATAATTCTAGCGGGCGTTTGCTGGGAAGCATCGGCCCTCACTTGTAAGCGTATTGAACCCTGGCAATGAGGCATCTGTACAGGAATGCACTGCCAAAATTCCGTTCGAGATGTCAAAATCCTGGGGAAAGAAGATCGAAAATGGCGATACAACTTGTCCCACTTGCACCATGGGGTAGTCATAAATGTCTGTGGAGTTACGCAAAATGTTATCAAGTGTTCAGGGACCTTAACTAAGGCTCGGAGCTTACATTTTGAGCTTGATGTAACGTTGGTCTGGACAGCCTTGTTTTACGCGGGAAAGCGGAATCCGGGTGAGAAAATTGAAGCTCGTCGGTTTGGACTTGTAGTTTGAAGTCCGAGAGGCGCGGGCAGTTGGCCAACCTGTATCGCATACCATAACTTAATTTAGTTGTACTATAGTACTAGGAGCTCGATGAGAGGCTCCAAGTCGGTTCGGGTACGGTGTGCATCACGGTGCGGGATTCTCGGCCAGCGCGCTACTGACTGACCGGTAAAGTGCGTGGACCGGTATATTAATATTTGTAACACTAGCAGCATAGCGGTACCATTAAGTAGCATATGTATCGTAAAAAAAGAAAAGAGAAAGAACAATTCGGTAGGTTTGGTAATAAGCAAGCGTGTACAGTGTATGTACGTGGTGGACAAAGAAAACGCCACTCGGAAGAAAAATCGCCCGCGGAGGCTTAGCTGGACACACGTGTGGTGCCAGTAGTACCGTTCCTTTGAAGCATAGTTGCATCTAGGATTCTAAGAACTAGCCCCGCGTCAGTATCGAGTCCGAGAACATGCCAATTGTCAAAGACTAGTCAGAACATTCTGCGCAAATAGGTTGTGCAAATATCGTGTGCACGAGTACCATCGTCGAGGAATCTGGTAGCACATCAAACTAAAGCTCTAGCGTAGAGACTGATATACCATCAAGGACATATTCAACATTGATCCTGCAGTACAATATGAAACATCAGATAGTCCGTCCAAAACAACGTCACTGAATCTTCCTTCTCTGGGCTTCATCCAACACGCTCTTCGGTCCGCGCTTCGCCATCGCCCATAGAAAGACGACCACGACGATAACAAACTGAAGCCACAACCACAGCTCCAAGATGAACGACACGAACCGTCGCTGCTGGGGCTTCTTTCCTTGGCGAAGGGAGACTGGCGATGCAGAAGTTGTTCTCGATCCATCGTCTGTGAGACCGCGGGAAAGGGTATAAGTCCGATGACGGCTTATGCTATCCACAAACTCGTTTACGAGTCTTTGAGGAACTGGAGTGGAAGGACGGACGAGATCAACAGAGCTCTCCCTCCGCGGGGCAGAAAGAAGTGTCGCTTCGAAACGACCTTCAGTCCAGTGGTTTGTGCGCATGCGAATAGTGTGCGACTTGCGACGCTTCCTGTCTGCAAGTGTGTCCACGTGCACGTTGGGTGGACTATACGTCACAGACTCGGAATCATGAACACCTTGCCATGTGCCTGCTTGCAGGCTAACTTGTTCCACAAACGGGGTAGAAGATGAGGAAGGAGCTGAGATATAACTAGAAGATGGGGGAAAGGAAAGCATGTCTTTCGTGGAAGGAGTGCCGGAATCCGGAACGCCGACGGCGTTGTCAGCGGACAAAGGAGAAAGCGATGTAAGATCGATTAAACTCGGTGTGCGGAAGTGGTCATTCCCATGACAGTTGTCCCATGCAAGCCCTAGCTCATTATCTAGAGTCTGGCGGCCTGTGAATTCTGTGGTAGGCAATGCAGCAGTCAGAGGTGATGACAAGTCTAATTCTTCGGGTGTCGCAGATTCCGTGCTGGGCTGAGGAACAAAAGGAACGGCCGGTAGACCGGGAATAACCAGTGATTGTATAGACGGTGGATTACTGACATCAGATACAGTCGGGGGATCAAACAATCCAACAACAGATCGACGTGCGCGATGATGTGCAGGGAGAGGGAAGAGTTCTGGAAGTATTGCGTGCCGCATACTACTCTGTCTGTCTGGTTCGATGCCGCTATCAAAATCAACCGAGGCATCCGCGAGCATAGATTGACGAAGACTGGCAAAACGAATCGTCTCGTCTTCCTCGATGTATTCATTTTCCTCACCGACACCAAAATTCTCGATGTTGTCATCCTCAGCCAGCCAGGCAATGGCACCAACATCGCTAAGGCTCTCATAGAGGAGCTGGATACTCGCAGCATCTCTTTGAACCGATTGCAGCGATGCTGTCGTTTTCGCTTGCTGCAACGTTATTTGTGAATTAATCTGCTCAAGCTCGTGGATCTTTTGAAGGAGCTGGGACACGAGTGCATATTCGGGCGTTGCCGGGACTGGCGTCTGAGCAGGAGGAAACTGGAACTGGGGGAATGATCGAGAGAAACCGTCGTATAAAGACATCTTTCTTGATCGCTCAGAAAGCTTGCGATCCGTAGGGGCCGAACGAAAGACAGCCTCAGAAGCATGCCGACGCAGGCACTGCGATGGAAACTTGCGTTTTTCTGACTTGCCTAGCCCGGTAGATCTTTCGAGACCCCTTGAGATGCAAGAGCCCCCCCTGGCGCAAAGTCCCGTACTTCTCCGTCACTTGTATCATTCCCACTCCTACCCCGTATGGCACGGACTCGCTCCTCTCTCTCATGTCGCCTCTTTGACGCTTCCTCAGACTCGAGGCTGAGACTAACAAGTTTTGCCTTTTTCTCGAGCTCGTCACTCCTGGCACGAGTTTTATCAAGCTCCTCTCGGAGCCCTTGAATCTCTTTTTCCAAACCGCGCAATTTTCGCCGTCCCGCTTGATCAGTCTGAGCAGATTCAAATTCGAGCTTTTCTAGCTTGACAAGGAGCTCAGCGTTCTGATCGGAAAGTAGCGCAAGGTCTGCAGGGGAGACAGAGACACGTCTCTGCGACCGGCGGGAGCGAGACGCACTGGAGCTCGAGTGGGAGGAAGAAATATTGGTATAATAATGGGGGGAGTGTGGAAGAGGCGTTCCGGGAGTAGCTGGAGAGGATGCCGAGGATCCAGATGGAGAGACAGACGCTGAAGAAGTGGGAAAGCGGGCGAGAAGTGCCTTGTGCTTGTTTCGTAGCTCTAAATTATTTTCGTACAATGATTTACAAGCGGCTGTGGTAACACTGAGTTCTACACGGGGACAACGATTTCAGTCCGTTTCTCTAGAATAAAGTACCAAAGGACAAACCATTTTCTCGGTCTTTAATGAGCTCATCAGCTTTCAAGAGTAACTCAGAAAGCTCCTCGCGGGACCTCCCATTCCAAACTTGAGGATGGTTAGGGATGTCGTCCCATGCAGCGATTGCAGATGCATCGTTAAAAGACGCTCGTTTCAGGTCCGAAGAGTTTGGATCGTCGAGAAGTGATGTGGCGGCGTACGGAGGAGGTGGGGAAGTTTTGACGTGGGTAGAAATTCTCCGTACCCGACCTGGCGGTCGCGGCCGAGGAGTGGTCGTCACTGACGCAGACAGCATATGAGATAACTCAGAAGGTAGACGCAGACAACAGATATGATAGTGGTCGAACAGCCGCTGCGCGGAGGATGATGATATTTGTCAGTCAATGTTGGGGTTTAATCCACGTTAGCTGGTGCTTAGCGCTAGTGATAAAGCGAAAAGAGAAAAGGAGACTCAGTGATACGTCCTGTAGCGTTTTGTGTCCCATGCATATGAGACTTGCATGAAACAGCAGAAATTCGGCTTAAACTAAAATCATCCATTCACGTTGGGACCGCGTTATGACTATCTGCTGCCTGTCATAATCCTCATAAATGCAACGTCACCACCAAGGCCGCCTGGCGAAATGGCATCGCGTCTGACTACGACTAGGTGATCAGGAGATTGCAGGTTCGACCCCTGCGGTGGTCATTATTTTTGCAACATTTATTCCATGACTCGCAGTGGGACAAACAACTGGTTTCTTTGATCCGTGCCGCGCTGGCAAAACAGCCGGAAGGGACGACTGTCTGATTCCTGGGATTCGTGGGGACTGGCTAGCTTTAAGTTATGTCGTTTGACATGGCAACATAAGGGACTTTGAAGTCCTCACACCCACAAATACTTTTAAATTACCAACGCACGAACTCACTTTCCGAGGAATTACAGCCGCGACTAGTATTAATTCATTGCAGCATGATAAAAATGACAACACATCTCTGGCGAGTTTGAAAATAAAATATCAACATCAAAGGTGACAGCGGCGCTCCGCGTTATTTGACGCATGGCATATTTTACACACTAGGGTCCAATTCGCCCAACAGCATAGTACCGTCCTTGCTACCAGTAAGGACTGTAGATACGTCAGTAAAAACCAGTCAGGCAGAAGGGAAATCTTACTGATGGGTTCTTTCGGGTGGAAGTCTACACAAGTGACTGTGCCCCTGTGCCCCGGCAGCTAGAAAGATGGTAAGTCACACGCAAGAACCGATTGGATCACACGAACCTTGTACAACACACGTCCACTGTCGACGTCCCAAACACACACCATTCGATCCGCACCGCCAACCGCAACCCGTTGTCCCCCATCGTCCTTGCTCCATGCACCTTTCAAAAGGGTGTTCTCAAAACCGGCTGGAGCGCCTTGCAACACACGGTGTATCCTCGTTGGCGTGGGCGAAAACGGGCGTACATCATGAATAATAGTGTGAGATGAGAATGAAGGCGAGAGGAGGTAGGCACCATTGGGTGATAATGCAAGCGACGTCGGCGTGTCCGTATGACCAGTCAGGGCATAAACCTGCTCACCCTTGCGCAAGTCATATACATGAATCTCGTTGTCTAGCGCGCCAATATAGAGGTTCTGCCCATCCGCGCTCCACGCGACACTTGTCGCTGGACACCCGAGTTCAAACACTGCAACACTGTTCTTCGAACCATCTTCTCCACCCTCCCACACGCGTACCGTTCCATCGTCCGAGGCGGTGGCAATGAGCTCGATACCAGCACCGCCTGCCATAGTCCGGTCCAGCGCGTTTATAATTCCGCGATGAGCACGAATTTTTCTTGTCCGCTGGCCGGTGGTAACATCCGTGAAGGACAATATTTGGTCTGCAGATACAGTATAAAGGAGTGGTGAGAAGAGGGACCATTGAAGGTCAAGGATGGGTGCTTTATGATGGCTAGAGAGGAGGCCGTAGTTTGTATTTGGTGGATAAGTCCTCCACAAAGCTATACCTCACTCGTGAACAGTTCGCATAAAGCACTTAGAGATGTCACGTACAGACGCTTCGGTCCGCTGAGCAAGCAGCAATGTTTTGCCCGGTAGGGTCAAATCTACAGCTCAGAATTTCCGCCTTCGAACTCATTAATACACCATCCTGCGGACAAATTGTTTACAAGTCTCACCGAGTGAGACCCGCTCAAGCTAACTATAGGTGCTTCTAGGTTGCTTGTGCGCTTGACGCTTCGTATAAGACCTTTCTGTCGCTCATCGTTGCCAGATGAAATGGCAATTTGGTTTCGAGCAGGGGAGTTCGAACGCGCTCTTTTGATGAGAGTTCCTTCTGTAAATGGCGGTGGAGAGGCACCTCGTTTTGACATTGTGACCGGGTGCAGACCAAAGGATTTGGTGTGAGTTCAAGATGTAGATGACTTAGTGAATGAAGTCAAAGTCTCCGAAAAGACCGCAATAACTGAAGTGGTCACGTGATTCCTTGTTTTACGATAGTATTCGACTAGGTCATCCACATGTCAGATCTAGAGACCACTACAAAAACTTGCTAACATGGACGGCACACATTATGAATGCCCCAGGTCACCTCAAAGAACGAAAATCTATAACGATCGCTCTAGTGTATATGCTTGCGCTGCTCAGCCGCCCACCTCACAGCATCCCTCCGCCCCTTCGTGATATCAACCCCGAACCAGATCACCACAGAGGCAGCTGTGCACATCGCAAAGAGGAACGGGAACCCCTGCCAGTTATTCCCGTCTTGTCGATGATAACCTGTATGACATTGGGCCCTACCATGGAAGAGGCGCGGTTGGACAGACCGAAGAGACCGAAGAACTAGTTAATGTAAGCGAGCGCGATGGGAGCGAGGAAGCCGAAATACGCACCATGTTATCAAAACCTGGCGGACTAAGCTCAGCCATCATTGTCAGAGAGTACGCGTAATAGGGCGCCTGGAAGAGGCCAAACATCACATTGTACGCCCTGATGAGAATATAAAAACACAACGAGACAAACGCAGAGTTTTGACAAACCAGAACTCCCATACGTTATGGAACCTAATACACTCCTTAGAAGGATGATAATGACATGAAACAAGTTGAACGACACTGACCCAAGTTTTTCTGTCCATATTCCGATCATTCCCCATAGCGGAATCAAAATTGTGACAACATTCGTGACCACAAACTATGCCATTGACAGTCAAGTAAAGAGAGCATGACAACGTAGTAATACACACCATCTTCTTCGTGCTAATCTTCCAATATCTCTGAATGTACCAAAAGGCGAGAGTGCTGATTGTCGAAGTAATCGCCTGGGACAAGCCCAGGTAGGTATTTTGCAGGAACGAGAAACTGAACTTGTCGTTCTGACATATGGCAACGAGGGTTCCAGTAGTATTGAGCCCCTGTCCAAAAAGATGTCAGATGCGGCTTGAGATATCGACAGTTAAACAGTACGTCTGCAAGAAGAAAGTAGGAGAACAGATACACAAATGTGTAGGGAGATGCTTGTACGTTCTCAGCGCAGCCCAGATCTAATGATTGCATAAGCAAAAGTTACGGTATCTAGCTAGATCCTTACCTGCTTCCATCCAATGGTCAAGTAATGTTCACCTTTAGGCAGTTTGGGGCCTGGCCTGGGTTCCTGGAAGACAACTCGAAGGTTCTCAGCAGGAAGCTCAGAAAGACTAGCCAATGCATACTCACACCACCAGATACCTAATACCACCCAATACGTGTTGACACTACGCATCAATCGATACAACAAATGGAACTCGCAAGCGATAGAAACTCACACCACAATCACATAATTGTCTACCTTGGGGTTGTTCGCCATTGGCAGCAAAAGCGCCAAGTTCAGCAGTAGTGTGGTTACAAATCCGATATTGCTATGAACCTGCACAAAACATAGTCAGCCTCCCATGGTAACACGACGCCTTACGCATGACGCACAGTAAATATATCAGTAATCCTATTCTTTTCCAACGACTCTTCTTGCTCGTAAACTTCAGGAGGAATCTCGCCGTTTTCATACTTCTCTCTAGACTGGCGTGCATGTGGTGTATTTTGTGCGAGGCGAGGGAATAGAGCGGCATAGAAAACCAGAGTGATGCTGTATGAGACGAAACCGATGATGTACAGAACCATCGCAAGGACCCATCGTTTTGGTGCTGATGCACAAACGATCAGACTTCAGAAAACACGTGGCACTGGAAGCTCACTGGTAAGTGCCATACAAGCATATTGTGCAGCCCAGCACACTATTGTGATAGCGAACAGCAACCACCGTCCGAATGTACCATAGTCAGCAGCAGAACCGATGGTAGATAATATAGCTGTCATGATAGCGAAACTAACACCACTTGCAGTCAGCACTACGCTGGAAACTGACTTTGTTCCGCTACCCCAGGGAACTACGCATTGGCCAGACGCAGTATCTGCAAGACATGATGAGCCAGGACCTGCGACGGAATCATAGCCCGCCTGCTGTGGCGAGCCCTTGGAACAGGGTCTGTGTATAGCCCAAACCGACACCCTGGTTGGATGGCACGTGAAATGAGCACAGTGGGGGATACACGAATACCTGATCGACTGACATTGCCACCGTTAGAGTATACTGATGTTTAACTTGGTCAAGGAATAGCAAGGAGGAAGCACGTGTATTAGAACGCACGGTAGTAGCTCCACAACTCCTTCTGGTTACAAGCGGTTCATTCTTGCTAATGGACGAAATAGCAATTTGGTTCGCGTTCAGGTCAGACGAGTCGTCTAACTTGATCTCCACAACCTGTTTTACATCAGTGTGGAAGGCAGGAGCTAGATTTTCCGATGGAGGTGATGTGGACATGGCAGTCGAGAACGAGCTCGAGAGACCGAACAAAGATGCGTGATTGAGGCCATGTGTGCTGTCTTTGGTATTTAATGGTTGCACGTACCTTATGGGGCTTAGCAGGACTCGGCGTAATCAGTAATAGTAATCATCAATGCTCACTTCTAATTTGAGCTTTGTTTCCTGGCAAGCCTATCGTCCCCCATCTTTTCAAGAAGAGATATAGAAATCGGATACGCGAAAGTATAAACCGATATAGCACAAATTATCAGGCCAGCTTGACGGAACGTTAACTTGAACATCCGAGTCGTACGTTGATGGACTTCGAATTCATTCTCGATCCGAACAATTAGTTGCAGGTGGCTGTGCCTCAAGTCAGGGTAGACTGCAGCAATGTTGGGAGGACGATCGGACGGCCTTTGAAGTGACTCGAATGACATGATTCCGCCTGTTCTATCTGCATCCTGGCCAATGTTGTTTCCTTGGTAGACGGACGTCGGATGTTGTATCCTGTCAGACATGATGGATATATCAGAAATGCCCGAAGTCACTCCGAAGAGCACATATACAACGATCGTTCTATTGTGTGTGCCTGCGCTGCTCAGCCGCCCACCTCACAGCATCCCTCCGCCCCTTCGTGACATCAACCCCAAACCAGATCACCGCTGAAGCAGCCGTACACAACGCAAAGAGGAACGGGAACCCCTGCCAGTCATTCCCCGTCTTGTTGATAATAACCTGGATGACATTGGGTCCTACCATAGAAGAAGCGCGGTTGGACAGACCAAACAGACCGAAGAACTGGTCGACGTAAGCCGAACGCAATGAGATGGGAAGTGCGACGAAGCCAAGATACACACCATGTTATCAAAACCGGGCGGACTAAGCTCGGCCATCATTGTCTGGGAGAATGCGTAGTAAGGCGCCTGGAAAAGGCCGAACACAATGTTGTATGCCCTGAGAAGAACATAAAAACACGGTAGGAAAAAAAATGTATTTTTGACGAACCAGAACTCCCAGACATTATGGAACCTAATGTACGTGTTAGAGAGAGTGACGACGAGTGGAAAAAAACTAGTTGAATGACACCGACCCAAGTTTTTCTGTCCATATTCCAATCATACCCCATAGCGGAATTAAAATCGTGACAACATTAGTCACCACGAACTATATCGTTGACAGTCAGATAAATAAGTGCGTGAAAAACTAGTATTGCACACCATCTTCTTCGTGCTAATCTTCCAATATCTCTGGATGTACCAGAAGGCGAGAGTACTGACAGTCGAGGTGATCGCCTGTGACAGGCCCAAGTAGGTATTTTGCAGGAACGAGAAACTAAACTTGTTGTTCTGGCAAATAGCAACGAGGGTTCCGGTGGTATTCAGCCCCTGTCCAAGAAAATGTCAGGCGTGGCTTGGGAGATAGGCAACCAAACAGTACATCTGCGAGAAGGAAGAAGGAGAACAGGTACACGAAAGTGTAGGGAAGATGCTTGTATGTCTTCAGCGTGGCCCAGATCTGATATTCGTGAGTCAGTTTCTCAGGAATATTTTGTCAAATACTTACCTGCTTCCATCCAATCGTCATGTAGTGTTCGCCTTCAGGTAAACTAGGGCCTGGCCTGGGTTCCTGGAGGACAACTCGAGGGTTCTTAGCAGGGAGCATACTAGAGATAAGCTACAATATGCTCACACCACCAGATGCCAAGTACCACCCAGTACGTGGTGACACTACGCGTCAATCAATACAACAACTCAAATACTTGATTGACAAGAAGCTTACAGCACGAGGACATAGTTGTCTACCTTGGGGTTGTTCGTCATCGGCAGCAAAAGCGCTAAGCTCAGCAATAAGACGATTATGTACCCGACATTACCATGAGCCTGTATGGAAAGATCGTTAGCTTCCGACGACAAAAGGCATAGCCCCTACAACGCACGGTAGAGATATTACTGATCCTATTCTTTTCCAGAGATTCCTCTTGCTCGTAAACTTCAGGAGGAATCTCGCCGCTTTCGTACTTCTCTCTCAACTGGCGTGCATGTGGGGTATTGCGTGCGAGGCGAGGGAATAGAGCGGCATAGAAAACAAGAGTCGCGCCGTATGATACGAAACCGATAATGTAAAGAACCATAGCAAGGACCCATCGATTCGGCGCTGCACAGAACGATCAGACGCCACAGGAAAAACGAGACGCCCGGAAACCCACTGGTAAGTGCCATACATGCATACTGTGCAGCCCAGCATACCACTGTAACAGCCAACAGCAACCACCGTCCGAACGTGCCGTAGTCAGCAGCAGAACCAACGGTAGTGAATAAGGCTGTCATCATAGCGAAACTGATGCCATTCGCGATCAACACCACACTAGGAACTGACTTTGTGCCATTACCCCAAGGAAGTACACATTGGCCGGAAGCAGTTGTTGCAAGGCATGACGAGCCAGGACCTGCGATGGGATCATATCCCGCTGCTGTGGCAAGCCCCTGGAACAGAGTTTGTGTATAGCCCAGAGGACCGACACCCTAATTGTATAGCATAAATTAGAAGAACGAACCCAATAACATTCGATAAACTCACATTGTCACCATTGTAGTACACTGACGTTGAGGTTTGTTGGAAAATGACAAGGGATTATGCACGTGTACCGGAACTCACGGTAATAGCTCCACAACTCCCTTCTGGTCACGAGCGGCTCATCCTTGCTGATGGACGAAATAGCAATCTGGTTCGCATCCCGGTAAGATGATTCGTCTGACTTGATGTCCTCGACCTGTTTTACGTCAGTGTGGAGCGCGCTGGGCACGAGGGATGGAGGTGACGCGGACATGGCCAAACCCGATAAGCAGTGTGAAACTGGAAGGAATTTAGTATCACGGCTGGGCAAGTGAATTGTCAATTTCACGTGTTATACCTCCGGCGGGACGGTGTACTTAAGGTGAGGGTCAAAGACAGGTGATTTTGCACTATATCCGTTTTGGGGGTTTCAACTCCTCGGAAAGCAGGCCACTCTTGAGCGCTTGAGCAGCTCTCATGGCTACCTGAGATATTGTCCAGAGATTGTTGTCATTTCGGATCTACGCTTGAGTTAACGAGTGTTGCCACACCTGAGGCTTCTCAAAAGATTCTCTAATCAGAACAAGCGTGAACAGGCCAATTTAATGTGCTCTCTATATTATGTACATGTGCATGCCGGATGAATTATGGTCAAGCGTACCTTATTTGGGGGCTTATCACAAGGTTGATGGTCACAAGGGTCTCCAAGTCGGCTGCTGCATCCCAGCACTCACTTCTGAATCGAGCTTTGTTCCCTGGGAAGGGCTTGAAGCCTATCGTCCAACGTCTTTGCAGGAAGAGAAATTAGATATCGGGGAATGCCTATCTTCATTCGACTAGTCTGCCCAGGAGAGACTAGAGGGCATCCGAATTGAAATCGTCTCCCCTAGGAAGGACTCGGTAATAAGAGGGCTCCGATAAAGTTCGAATAGAGGTAGTTGCAGGTGGCTGTGCAAACCTATTTGTTTCTGGACCACCACGAGCACTGCTGAAGGCGTTTGGATTCCCTTTGCAGCGACTCGAACGCTGGCGGGCCGCGGATCGAACAGCACTAGTACTACTAGTACTGAGAGGATCCGCTCTGCATCGGTCGGACAACGTACGTTGTTTTTGCGGTAGATGGAAGCCAAATCATGGTGCGTATTGATATTTGCACTCCTTAGTTTCATAGTTTTTGAGCAAAGACGAACCAAGCACTCCAAACAGCTTGAGGTTATTAGTTGTGCTGTGTTTCTGCTTCAGCAGCAGTAACCACCAGCACTTAACCCTTACAAAGGCTGAATGACGGTTGTAATTTGCAATCGGAGCACTCAATATTATATAGTATTATGCTTTTGCTAGCCCTAGCCCTACTTTAACTAATTTACTGACAATTTACACTGTTCTTTCTAGGCGTGATTTAGCAAGTGACCGACAGCTTCCAAGTACTCCTTTTGCACTACCTCCCCTCTGTGCTAGGGTATCAAGCTACAGGTCTCTAACGCCATTTGGTGGCATCTATAACCGTACTCGGCGTCTGCCAGTAATTGCTTCAGGAGCTGCTGTTCCTCGTCTTCCAGGTCCGCCATGAGTTCTCTATATGGCCCAAAACATTTGTTTTTCTCTTTACTCAACACCTGTCTCGCCACATGTTCCCTCCATGCTTCCCAGACTCTTGTATCATTTGGGATCATGCACTCCAAGATCTTTTTCGGCTTGAAGTTTCTGGACGATTTCTTTGATATGTCGACGCCTGCGTGCAAGACGAAGCATGCACATGCCGCTTGCGACCCTCTGTTGGGGAGCGCAAATTTGGTGATTGGTGGTTTATCGAGTGATTTCCACAGTAGATCTGTCTGGATCTTCTCGTTCTCTAGTGACGACAGAAACGAATTGTATGCCCAAGACACCGCAAGTGACGACAGGAACATGATCTGGCCCATCAACGTTGCTCGAGGAATGAAAAGGAGTTGGATAAGAAACTGTGACAGGAGTAGAAGGGAGCAGATCCCGACGGCGTTGAACATTTCACCGCCACCCATGTCCAGCACGAGTTTGCCCTTGGTTATTGCCGCGACCTCTTTCTCTGCGCCCTTCAAGATGACAATGTCATTGTGCATCAAAAGAAAACCATCTCCCCGCGGTGCATAGGACGAAGGTTTGATAAGCTGGAAATGTGGCTTCCCTGAACCGATGACGAAGCAAGCCAGGCCATTCGATACCATGCCCAGGACGATCAGCCCAAATGCGAGCCAATCACGAACGAATGCGCAAACGAGGCATGTTGTCAGACTGCTGGTGATAGGTATAGCAGCACACAGGGCATGATAAACTTTCATCGTCGGTACGTCGCCACCTTGCTTCAATTTCACGTCGTTGACATCTATGATGCTTACCGACCCTGGTGCAGTTATTCTTCCTCCGAGATGGATCTTCTCCTTGGCTTCCTTTGCCTTTTGGGCTGTGAGGTATGCGAGGTGCCCTGTAGTCACCATATCTGTACCAGAAAACACTCCAATGAAGCGAGGTCCATCCTTCCCATCCAGTCCAAACATTTCTTCTGGCGTTGGATTGGGTCCAGGAAAGATGCCATCCCAGAATCTAGACTTCGCCAACTGCCCAAATTTCTTGGCAATAATATAGCTTCCAGGAGAGTTGTACCACCCAAGCCAACGCCTGCCTTGGTAAAGATGGACAGTGGACATCGCGGAGAGGGCTTCTTCTCCGCCGAAGAACCCCATGACACCTCCAGTGTCGAGGGTGAAGGACACCTTGTTTAGCGGCGAATTGATGGACATTCTGGAATACTTGGGTGCTGCACCACCTAGGATTTCTCCAATCTTATATGTGCTACATCCGAAGGCAATCCCGCAGTTCCTGTGAAACTCTCAAATTGACCGCGATTCCTCTACGGGAGCTTGCGGGCCTGGGCGCTCACAAAATAACAGCAGACCTAATTGGAAATCTATAATATGATATGTACTGCAGTAGTACAGCACGTTGCATGGAGAATGTTGATGTGAATTACTTCAATGATTTCGCCGTTTCATCGAAGACCCGTCTAAAGAAAATGGTGCCATCACGGAAACGGTGAACAGATGAGAAGAGGCAGTCCTGAATCCTGAATCCAAGTGCGCGAGATGATAGATAGAAAGCATTGCATGCCATCGCACCTGAGCACGTTTCACACTGCGCTCAGTGCCATAATTTTGGGGACTTATATATGGCATCGAGAGATTGATCCGTCAGGCAAACTCCGAACATCGATGGGCGCTGGCGTAAGTTTGATTTGGAGCTTTTGGTCTGCTACCGCCTCGACCGTGCCGAACCTGTCACGATTTGTTGATCACTTTCAGTGAACCAGATGGCATCTCCAGGTTTTGCATTCATCCCCCGAAATATTTCCAAAGGTGGGAAACACCAAGGCACTTCTACTCACGGACTCTCCTCACATAAATCGGAATCGACACCTGCCATCGACAGGGAATCAGCGTACCCAGGACCGTCCGTGAGCGACAAAGGAAAATGGAAAGTGTCTGAACCGTCGGCAAAACCAGTCTACAACGAGAAAAATATATCTATTCTTGTCGTTCTCGCGTTTTCGGACTATGCTCTTTGGCTTGACTCAGATCTGAGGAGGAAAACCGAAGAGTCTCTTCAGAGCGAGGAGTATGATGCTGGATGTATGTTCTATTTTTTCTTCTTTCGTACGCGTATCAGGCAGGGTTTATGTATTCATGCAGTTTTACCTCTCAGCTACTTGATGCGTCGCGCTTTTGGTAGAGAGAACTTGGGTCAAGAATATATGCCGACTGAAGCAAACACGGTAAAAGCAATTCGGACCTACGCTGGCGATGTGCTTGAGGTTAGAATGCTTGTATCTGCTCCATCTGCAGTCTGCATGGTACCCTTCCTGGAAACAGGAGAGGAGCTCGATTGGCGGTTATGAAGTACGGAGGAAGGATTGGTCAACATTATTGGATAACACAACTCGTGAATTCACTCGGGGTCAATGGGATGATCATACTATTTACATGGTAGGTACGTCCCTTTGACAGAGGGCCATAACCTGACGATCGTAGGAAAATATACCTGCACAATATCACACAATACCTGGCATCATTCGATTTGCGCAAGGGTTACTGTCTCGATGTCCAGGATCATCGGCCCCGATTCCAATCCAAAATGTCACACTTCCCTCACACCACTTAGATAAAATCGAGGACCGTCCAAAATGTAAAGGCTTCGCACTAGTTACTCTATGTAACGCAGAGTTATGTCAGATTTTTCTTGAATCATGGCCTTGGACGCGGCCATTCCAACCTGCCGAATCAGACGACTCTAGTCTCGCTGAAGATAACTTGGAGACCAAAGAAGCCTCGAAGTTCGGGTTTCGCACTCTACCAAAAGCGTGCTGGGATAGATTGAACGAGGAGTATCTCGCTTACCGCCAGAAATTGATCAACGAGTTAGCGGATGCCAACGAACCCCCACACATCTCACCTGACCCCGATGTACAGGACGTCGCTGATGGCGTTTTGGAAGACACCCCTCCCCCGCCTAGGAACGTAACAACTATGTACTCACCGTACCCCTTCGGCTGTCTTGTCTTTGCCCGAAATCTGCATCTCGAAACAAATAAGACCACCCTTCGAGCGCTATTCGCTACTGCATTCGGGTCGTCCCCTGTAAACCCCGCTGGGATCGACTACGTCGATTTCAACAAAGGAATGGACTCTGTAAGTCTTAAAATATTTCATAAGTATCCACCCTTACAACATCGTCAGTGCTATCTTCGGCTTGCCTCGCCTGAGCATGGACGTATTTTAGTCGATCACTTCTCTGGCCAGCCTGTGGTACAGTCTCACGGCCTTGACGACATAGGCAAGACTCCTGGAACGTCCCAAAAGGCCATCTCAACGGAAATCATCGAAGGGAAAAAGGAGGAAGTTTATTGGGAGAAAGTTCCAGAGAAAGTCAGACGACAGGCTGTGGAGAAAGTAATGAAGGCTCTCAATGGCAAACAACCATCGGCTCCCGTGCACACTGCATACGAGCACTCCGAGGAAAGCAGGCCGCGGAAAAAGAGAAATCGCGGCTAATTTTGTAATGTTGGAATCATTCCCCGACTCTCGACGTTAGTGGAAGAGGGCTCTTGTCCAACGCGGTCGGTTTCCCATCTCCCAAAAGCCCTGCCAGCTACGCCCGTGTTCGGGCCTTTTCGGTTGCAATCATTTGACACCTTATTTGTTATAGTTGTCTTTGTGTCTGTCATCTAGTCCTCGCTGAGTCCCTTTATCCGTTGTGCATGCCTTGGTGGGCCACTCCTGCATGGTGTCTTGAGCTTTCCGTTATGAGGTGTTCTAGAGTTTCGCGTTGACCTCTCTGCTGACATCCTTGTCCGGTGCCTGGGTCTTGCCACGGTAATCGAAAGTAAACAATTTTTTGTTCCGCCTCAGCATCGACATAAAACAGCACACACAAACTATACAGCATCAACTCGGTTTGCCATTTTCAATTCTTCCGCCTTTAGCCGAATTCAAGTCATCCTCGGTCCTATTGGAAGAGCCAACGACCGAAGGAGTGTCCATCGACAAGGCTTCAGCGAGGGTGTGGAGGTTACATCATTTCCCTGACTGTCAGACTCACTGGCCCATTATAAATTTTTGTTTGGTGGTGAATCCCAACAGTTTTGGTTAGTCTGTTGAGAATCTAGGTTGGTACGCACCTCGAAGATGTATCTTAATGTATAGGACACGTCTAATTCCCTGTTTCCCGGGGATCTGAATTGATCGTGCGCCGGAGCTATCGCCGTGATACAGTACACGCGTTCAACCTTTGTTGCTTGACCCACATGTTGACATCCAGGTCATCGAGCGAGGGTACACCCCGAGCACCATCTCGCACTGGTATTGCTACCACGCATGGTTCGGTGCATCCAGCTCCATAAGATAATCCCTGAAACGAACGAATTGACCACGCCTTAACAGAAACAAATTCATCACGTTTGCGATGCATTAATCGATCAACTTGAAGTTGTCACCAAGGTGAGCATCTTTGAGGTCATGTTGATCAGGTCGCGTCATTTGCTCAATTGACGCACGTACAGCCAGACATCACTCCGATAATTCACACCTGCAAACTCACTCGACTTCTGACCCTGTTTCTCATTGGCTTTACTTGATTGACAGATAGCGGTCGGTCTGTGCATCGTGCAAGGATATGTGTGCAGTACAAGGAGGTTAGGCTCTCTGACTTTCAATGATCACCATCCTGACATGTGCACTTTTAGTATTGCTGCACTGCAATGCGATGTAAATCGACAGTGCACCAGATACGCATAAATGCCGCGTCACGCGACCGCATCTCCATCATGAAATCAAATGCATCAAAAGCTATGATCATAAGATTTGATCTACGTGCTCATCGTATCAAAACGCATTCGTCGTACGTATTTTACACAATCACTCTTTGCTACACATGTTCTACACATACACTTTTCGTTCTCTGTTCCGACAGGTTTATTTTATTCTGGTATCCCCAAAACGAACTCTCCTCAGTCTCTCAATCCGAAGACCGAGGTGAGTATTAGCATTTACATTTACCGATACATATCTTCATTCTCACGACCTACTACATACTTCTCCTTTCGTTTCTAGTCCGAGCCTCTCTTCATTTGAGACTAGCCTTCCTGTCCCTGCCTCCTATGGCAGCTTCTTCCAAACCGACAGATGAAAAAACCGATCTCTACAACCGCAATTTGACGAGTCGAAAATACGCCCTTTTCGGAATGACATGCTCAAATATCTTCAGCTGCTCATGCATCGTTGCAGGTACTGTCACTTTAGCCAAACGCGGAGTCTCGGGAGTTGCTGTGGCTAACTTCAGTCCTCGGGAGGGGGAGATATTGGCCCTGACGCTTAACTTAATCGTCATGTTATGCACCGAGTCCATAGGCTTCGTACACAGCATCTCATTGCGCTCTGCGCTGGCCTCAGAGTCTCGGTTTTGTTTCAACACCAATCTGGGCCTCCCTCATCATACGTTCTGGTCTTGAATCGGAGAGGGCCTTATCTGACTGTTTCTGCCTCGTCATTTTTTGGTCAGGGGGTGGTGCCATCGCAGGGTTACCTCTTCTCATTTTGGGCATTGCACTCCTCCTCCAGGTGATGATCGCATTGTCAGGGATGCGGGCCGTCAAAATATTGACGTGGAGCTCCTCACCTTTCGACTTGACCGCCGCACTGGTCCACCACATGCAATTGACCCCTGTTACTATGCGGTCCATGCGTTGTGTGTCTGACCTAGACACGTATGGAGGTCCAGCGATGCCATCAGGGATACAACCCTCTGCGTGGCATACTCGCCCCAGCATCCGGAAATTTGTTATTTTTCTTTGGGTGACCGTTGCAGCATGCACTGGATGGGCCGCACTCGTCATGTATTTTGGGGACAAATTCGTCAAGATGAAAACATTGTCTAACAATCCGCTAACCCCACACACGTGGTCGTTCTTGCCCAACGATGCGCTATCCACTTTTATCTCGTATGATATGCCTGGTGTCAATGACACTAAGGTGTGGATTCTGCTCTTTGTCAATATAGCAGTTATCCAGGGGCCATTGACGCTTGGGCTACATTGCTCGGAGCTCATCGCGAATGTCATTCGAGACGAGAGACAGTGGAGATGCGCTACCGGAAGGAAGGGACTTAGAGCCGCGACGAACCCGTTGAAGACGATTTTCACTCATCCAATTTGTCTCGTACTTTTCATCGCGAAGCCTTTCCTGCGTGAGTTATTCCTGTCTAGTATTTTTATCGGTGTTATTGAAAGCCATCCTTGACGATCAGGCTGAATGTTTGGGCTTTCATTCTTATTAGAGTCATACATGGTCTCTGACAGCCAGATGGGACAGTGGGAAGTACTCATGTTCCCTGCCCAGGCTCGTACTCACTGCCTATGTTAAACTGCTACAACATTCTCACACCCTCGTGCAGATCTGGAACTTATGCATAGCGCTGTTTATATTTGCCTGTTTCTTCACTTTCGTCGCACTGCGCCGACCGCGTGGCTCCCAGCCGGCTGCATATGGTCACGTCCAGCCATTCGCTAACCGAGTGGACGAGTGGTCGCCTGTGATGTGGTGGGGACACAAGAAGGACGGAATCCTATATTGTCATGCTGGTAGGGTACTTATCTGTTCATGATGATGCTGTATTGACACTTTCACAAAGGAACGAGCGACCACCCGCTGCCGGATGTGAAGATGGACTGCGTTTATGCTGGTTCCAGTGATGGGTTTCTGGTACTGTAAGAATGATGAATAGCGGCAAGTGCGAAAGGGGTATGTGGACCGCTTGTAGGATGCATGGGTAGTAGAGTTGGAGGATCGTAAAAGAATGCAATATGATGAGGAACGGGGCGAGTCCCGATAGAAAATAATATGCTTGCTGAATAATGATTGCGAAATGGGATTCTGATACTCGCTATTTTATTACCTAGAAGTAAGGACTGTACATGGGCTACTTATGCTTGTGAAACAGTAAAGATTCTCGGGTATGACTAGGCTGAACAATTATGTGGAAACGGAGGCAGAAGGGAGTGACACCTGACAGGGTAGAGTAGTAATGATGAGTAAGAGGGCAAGAAAATTAAATGAGCGGGTGTAAGAATGGGTATCGTGTAGACAGAAAGACGAGAGTTATTTGACAGATTCCAGACGAGTGGGCTGCGAATGAGGTGATAGTGACGAGAAAAGGTTTGAGTGGGTCGGTCCCGCACCTGCTGCACAAGCTCATATGTTTCCGCAAAGTGGTACAGCGTATCCAGAAAAATAAGTTTCGAGATCGGATGTCCAGACTTGGAGAGCATATCGAGGGCAGCGAGCCCAGTGAGTCCAAAAGCTGTTGTCTGGTAGAGCGCAGGTAGGTGTCTAAGTGCCCACGCGAGTACGTCTTGTGGAGCAAGTTGCGAGAGGTGGGCGTTGATGTTTCTTCGCTCAGTGACAGCTCAAGTGGAGTGCGGAATTGGTCAGTCATTGCGATAATAGAAATACGAACAAAGAATAAAGCTGTGATCAGATAGACCAGCAGACATGCTATATAATTTTGAGATGGTCCACATGGATGATGGCGTGGTAATTGCAACACCGATTAGCAAGACCTTACAACTTCAAGAGACTACGTTTCCAACTAAGGGAAAAGCTGATCAACCAAATCCAGAGGCTGTAAACCTTGTCGAGGATATCGTGCGCAATCAGCTCATCGAACCTGTGAGTGACCTATACTTTAACGATGAGATTTACCTGTGATGTTATGCTATTCTAGATCCTGCAAGCCTGCCTCCACGCGAATCGGCATGGTGCGCGCTACATTACCGCAGAGGACCTCATCTTCCTCATTCGCCATGACCGCAGTAAGGTCAGGACATATCTCTTGCGGAAGGATGTTCGTAAGCATGCCAAAGACTCGGGTGGTGATGGAGGAGGTGGCATTGAGGTTGAGACTCTCGAGGATGGTGCTGACGGTCCGTATTTCTTCAACACTTGTCTGCTGGTCTACTGACATCTGCACAGATAAACTAAGGACAAAAGCGCAAAAAATTACTATTAAGCTTCCTTGGAAGATTTTGACGATCTACAGCGAGGTGCTCCGTCAATCTGGACACCAATCTCACGACGAAGAGGACGAGGACAACATTGAGGCCCATGAACAGCGTCTCAAAGAAGCCGATGATGCCACACGACAAATGACGAGGGAAGGGTACCAACATTATTCAAATTGTAGACAAACGTCATTAATCACGTATCGAAAAGGTGAGGTCGTTTCATGAGTTAGGCAGAATCTCACTGACGCGACGAACAACTAGCCAAACGCTTCCGCGACTGTCTTAATCTTCCTCCGCACCTGGACCTCAAAGCCAACGATGATACCGTCGATATCGTGGGCTTTCTCCCATTTGAAATGGTGCGCTCCCTTACGCTCGACGAGAAAAAGTCCCTTGAAGAATCATATTTACGAGACGACTACCTTGGTATCTCGCCCATCCTTGGCAAGCGCAAGTCGCACCATTCACACAGGCGAGAGGAACAATGGGAGAAACGTGCGAGGAGAGAAGAGGAAACACCGCTACCTACGAGTTCACTATTTTTACCTCCGCCAGAAGCAAGGACAGCTCTGCGGTCTGAGCACATCCAGGATGCATTTGCGCGGATGCAGGGAGACTGGTCGCACCACCGCAGTGCAGGGATGCGGAATTGGCGTGGTGGGCTCGTGCGCACGAGAGTCAGTCTTATTTAGACTTGCTCATATAGTTTGTATGGTTTGGTTTGGGAGGATGATTGGGCACCCTTTATATTTGTATCTTTGCGGACTACTAATACGTACTATTGTATGATACCCCACGAGCACGGATTGTGCTAGTATGAAGATATTCCAGAACAACGCGTTGTCTGGCAAAAGTGAGTTCGATCTGTACAGAGGCTGTGCAGTGTTGACATCCTCAAGCATACGACGAGTTGGGCATGCCAAATTCACTCCATCAAATACAACCTTAGTCGCATTATATATAAGAACGCATATAAGCGATCGAGGAAATAATGCATAATTCAGAAAGTCCAGGAGAGACGGGGCAAAGGGGTTGCAAGGGAACTCGGCTAGCGCTCGTGTCTGTCGGACACTGCTTAGCCAAAGTCGATCTCCCGGACTCTAAAAGTGACTGTGATGGCTTTCGTTGTGTCCAATATATGTATCTGTTTCACAAGTGACTTACCCACACCTATCAATCATTGAAGATGACATGTTGCATGATAGACTATCCTAAAGTTTCCCCAGCACTTGCACCACCCACGTTCCTGCAATGCACAATTATTACATAGATCAACTTGAATGATTAGCGCTGCCTTGAGGCTTTGTGGACGTCAAGACTATTTGGCTACTTGTTATTTCTGCCGAGTGCTACTCTCCCTCCATCTCATTCAACTTGCATCAATTTCCCTTGGGCTCATCCCAATTTTTGATTGTTCGCAATGAGCAAAGACCACAGGCCGGAACCTCCTACAAAGGCCTCTCCTCGATCCAGAGAAGCAACTCCTGGTGATAGCTCGGTACGTGCCTTCGTGAGATCTCTATCGACGAACGCTAATAACATCATCATTGCCTCTGACGCGTCCTTCATTCAGAACCAGCCCCGTGGCAGATTTTTTCAGGCCATCCGGAAATTCAAGAAGAATGTGATTAAAAAAGTCTCTGTACGTCGACCTGAATGCTGAGGGAGCTGGAGTATTGCTCATATTGTGCAGAAGCCCTTCAAGCGTTCCCATCGCCAAACCCCTGCTGTCCAGAATGCAGATCATGAAGGTGTTTCATCAAATCAGAATATTGAGGTAAGCAGTCATTATTTTGACCTTGAACTTCTCTGAGGTTCACCAAGGATGTGTCGCGTTTGCATCCTTCCGATGGTGATAAGCCCACCACACCTGGGAATCTCAGTGACTCTGTGAACCAAGGAGCGTCTGGAGAACCTGCTTCGAAGGTATTTACGTCAAATCATCTGATTTTCATCTCTAAATTCTGGTGGTTGTGCAGGTTCAGGTTACTTCGTCTGGCGCGGGGGAAGGTCCTGATCCCCAATCAGTTGATGCTGCACTTCAAGCTGCCGGTGAGGGTATAGAAGGTATGGGACTACTCAGGAAACATGTAAAATCTGTGGCATCCACAGCCAAGGATGGCCCAAAATATCTCGATGCCGCAGACAATTTCCAGGCCACATATCTTCAACCACTCAAAATTTTTGACACCATCATTGCGGAACTTGCCGATGTATGGGCCACTCTCTTATGTTGGAAGCGAGCTAATTGAGTTACGTAGGTACATCCTTATGCGAAGATGGTGCTGGGTCTGCTGTCTGCTGCATCCAAAGTACGTGTAGTTTTGTCCTCCTGCTCAGCAGTTGTTGTCTCTATGCAGATTATTCTCGTTCAAACAGAACGCGACCAATCGGTGCAATCTCTTCTCGAGAAATTAGGAGAAGTTTACCACTTCATGTCACAGGACGACACTCTTAGCCAGATCTCATTCCAGCGCAATATCGCAGGACGTATCGCCCAGCAGACTCTGGAGTGCGCGCGTTTCATCAGGGACTACACGGAGAAGAGGAGCTTTTGTAAGTCATCGAGCTATTGCACGCCGCATATTGTAAATCTTATACCACTACCGCAGTGAAGAGACTCGTGGAAAATGCTGTCTCAGGGACAGATGATCTGATTACACGGTACAACAACACTTTGGAAAAGCTTATGCGACAATTTCGGGACCAAGCTCTTCGGGACATAGCCGATCTTGTCCGGTATACGAGTAAGGATCTGGACGCTCTCCTGACTTTCCATCTATTCATACCACTTCAGGTGACGAACTGGGTGAGAAAGTGGATCTCAGCGGTATGCCTTACGCAGCGGGCGCGGGACTAAATACCAGGAAATAATGCCTACCAGGGACACGCACGGAGATTCTCTCCCAGATCGCTGAATGGATCAACGACAGTGGAGATACTGCTCAGCGTGTTCTGTGGCTATCTGGCCCTGCGGGCACGGGCAAATCAGCCATCGCTCACACAATTGCCAAGTGGTTTAAGGAGTCGGGAGGGCTTGGTTCGTGTTTCTGTTTCGACCTCAAAGACAACAAGCGTCATGAAAAAGTCTTCTCCACTATCGCCCGCGACCTCGCGGACCGTGATCCGGAGATCAAACGAGCATTGGCGAATGCAGTCGAAAATGCAAACGCGCTCAAGAACACGACAGACATCATCCAGCAGTGGCGCGAGTTGTTCATAGAACCGCTAAAGAAGTTTTCTGGGTCGAGTGTGGGACCTGTCTTGATTGTGATCGAAGCGCTGGATGAGAGCGATGGAGTCGACACACGGCGTGACCTTCTCCGCATACTCGCCGGTACACTGGAGGGCGAAAGTCCTCAAGTCACCGAACTCCCATCCAACTTCCGGATTCTCGTCACGTCTCGCCCGCTTCCTGATATCAATTCTGAATTTCGGGATGCTCCACACGTTCGGCGGGAATCCATGGATGACATTCCAGAAAAAGTCTCGAAGAGAGACATCCGTACTTTTGTGTCTCACGAGCTCAAAAAGGTGGCCGGTCTTGGGGACAAAGAATTCGCAGTCCTTGCTGACAAAGCTGATGGACTATTCGAGTGGGCACGTCTTGCATGCGAATACATCCAAAAATCCTCTGGTTATTCACGCGCAATCGAACGCTTTAATGCTGTCGTGTCCCACGATCACGGAGAGCGGAAAAAATTGTTGTATGGCATGTATAGGTTCATTTTAGGAGGAAACATTGGGGAGGACAGCACGGGAATCGGGTATCAACGAGCGCTAGCAAGGTTTCATTCTGTGATGGGACAAATACTTGGCTCAGCCGAACCCCTTTCTTTAGAAGCCCTGAATACCATGCGGCGCCGTTTTCCAGACCAAAGTGATCGTTACGAGGTGGAACTCGTAGTCGCAGATATGGGCTCCCTGCTGAGCGGCACCACCAATCCATCTAGCCCCATCCGACCTCTTCACGCATCCTTCCACGAATTTCTGACAGACGAATCGGCCAGCAGAAAATTTTTTGTGGAGATGTCGAACTCGCAACGCAATCTTGCTTTTGCGTCACTTCGAGGGATGGCAGATGACCTTCGCTTCAACATGTGTAATTTAAAGTCTTCATACCTTCCAAATAGCAAAGACATCGGACTGCCGGATCGAGTCGCAACATGGATTCCCTCGCATCTATCCTATTCCTGTCGATTTTGGGCTACGCACGTACAAGCAACGGACTACAACATGGAACTCGCAAAGGAAATAAGATCATTTTTTGACAACGAGCAGGTACTCTTCTGGATTGAAACACTCGGCCTCCTGAAAGCACTCAACGTTGCAGTTGCCATGCCTCCAATCATTTCCAAGTGGTTGAAGGTGAGAACACGGTCATATGATGGTGTTGGGCGAAGTACTTACGGACGAACACAGGGTCAAACCGGATACAAAGATGTCTTGTCCACTGCAACGGATGTGCAGAGATTCGTGCAAGTTTTTGGTGGGATGATTTCGCACAGCACTCCGCATCTGTATGTATCGGCACTGCCATTTTCGCCCCTCAAGTCCACCATAGCTCCATGGTTTACGGAAAGATTTCCAAACACTCTTCGTCTGTTACGAGGACGTCTTGTGAACTGGCCTGTTATTCAGACCGTGATCAGTGGGCACACTGATTCGGTTTGGTCAGTCTCGTTCTCCCCCGATGGCACTCGCATCGTGTCTGGTTCACAAGATAAAACTGTCCGGCTGTGGGATGCGGCGACGGGGCTGCCATTGGGTGAGCCCTTCCAAGGGCACACTTCTTCGGTTTCGTCAGTCTCATTCTCCCCTGATGGCACTCGCATCGTGTCTGGTTCAAGGGATTCCACTGTCCGGCTGTTGAATGCAGCCACAGGGCAACAATTCCAGGAGCACACTGAGATCCACTCCCCTGCAGTCTCTTCGGATAGACGTCCCACCACACCTTGCAATCGCCCCATTTGTTTTGCATCAAGCTTGGACCATGCATTGCAGGACCCTGCTGAGCTGTTCAAGGGCACCTTTCATCACGATCTTAATTCAACCCCTGTCATGCTGGAAGATGATGCCTCGCCGGAAGATGATGGATGGATGGTAGGACCCGATCGTCGGCTGCTTTTCTGGGTACCACCCGCTTCCCGACAAGAACCATTTTATTATCCTGGGACTGTATTTGTGATGCCCAGTGGGCTAGAGATTGATTTGAGTCGCATGGCTCATGGAGAACAATGGTGGAAATGCCGAGATGCGTGAGTTCTTAGCCTTGATTGTTCCTCACAGTTGCTAAACCGATAGTTCTAGCCCTACTTGCAAATGATCCAATTGTAATACCGAGTCTACAGTTCTGTTCTATATTAGTTATATATCTGTTATCGAGCTTTGAATTTGAAGTTGTTCAAGTGAGATGACCCGCCGTAAACCATGCGGAGTATGTGTCCACATGCCACCGCTAGTTTGTCCGAGCGCGTACTAAGAACTATGAATCAAGCGATTCCATCACCTGAGAGGCGTTGTTGTGCCCTTGAATACCTGTCGTGCAGTCGATGATCAAAACCCCTTCAAAGCCTGGCTGACCATCGGCACTGAGATGACCTTCGAGTCTTCCTTGTTCAGAATGCTCTCAAATACAACGTCGATTCCTAGTGTTGTTATTCCGATACCAATTATCTCAAATCAAGTTTGACGGGTATTGGAAGTCCTCCAAACTCGCGGAGTCTCTTTGATGCTTCTCACCGAAACGGACTAGTAGATTATAATTTATCACATCGTGCATTTTGCAATCCGAATGATCCAAGGTCCATTGTAATGTCCCCTCATCGTTTGCAAGAATCCCCGCCCACCCTAGGCTTAGAACAACAAACTTACAGTGACGTCCACATTCCCAACCGCCGCATCCAATATACCGATCGCCACCTCCCGTAACTTACGCCAAGTCCCATGATCAGCTCGATAGCAGAATCTAGGTGTCGTGGCTGGGCAGCGGCCAGACTTGTCGATGCACGTAGCTTAGGCGCCGAACCCAGTGTTTCCTCTACCTGGGAACAACGAGCCACTGGTCCCAGCGCCTCTACTACCACTCGTTCGAGTAGGTTGTGGAGCACTGCTAGAAGAGCCCAAGATAGACGCGCCGGGGTCTCCCACTCCCGAGATACTGAAAGTGGCACAAGCTTTCAGTATCACTGCAGGCTTTTGGCGTAACAGTCAAGGGACGACAGTCTTGGCTAAGTTACAAGAGCACCGCAATAATCTTCGTATGTCTAGAGGAGCTATGTATATCCGCGTTAGGCCGGCGATGCATTGACGGGCACACAACCAGCCATGCCGTTGAATGATACATGTACAGTTTTTATGCTGCTTGCTGCATTAATTACAACATATCATCGCACTGTGGAAGTACAAATTACATGAGTTTGCTATCACATGCGAAGTATTAAAACGATTGTATGCCTACTAGAGACAAACATCACAAACTCGACATTACAAGCAGCTCGCGATCTCTTTCATGGTGAGTCTCTTATGCATGTTCATGCACCAACACTTCTCCAACAGGGCCCAAAGCGTGTCGTCCAAGCCTCGTTCTGCAACGACTGGGTCCGTGGGTCGAGACGGAGTTTCGCCCTGACAGACCTTAAGGATGACTTGAGGTGCGAGGTGAACCGACGCCCAAGGTTCTTTGTGAGTCATAAGCTGTGAAGGCTGTTCAAAATCTGGCTAATCAACCAAACGTGATGGAAGTACCTCGAGCACGGTCATACTGAAGGCATAGACATCGGACGCCATTGTACGTTTGCCTCCGCTCTTGCACAGCTCAGCGGGACACCATCTTAGAGACTCCTGGTTAAGAGTGCTGCCACTGCTGACGTCGAAATAGCTCATAATCTCCTCCTCGAGCTATATTGTTCGGGTAAGTCAGAGCGTAGTGATCGGTGTGAGGAAAGACATCACTCTTGTAAAACCGAAGTTGGAAAGCAGTGGCCTGCCATCCGGGCTAATGGCGATATTGAACTATGATGAAGTAAGGATCCTAGTTATTGGTGATTGTCGTCATGACTCACCCCTTTGATGTCACCGTGAACAACAGACATACTGTGCAATAATTTGATGCCCTCGGCAATGCCTTTCAACTACGAAATCAGGTCAAAACACTTTCTTCGATCAAAAGTAAGGTACGTACGATATATCGGTGGTCAACTTCGGGGTATTCATTGAGGTAGTCTGTTAAGGTCCCATTGGACATCCAGGGGCTTACGGTGTAACTGCTGTATAGTTAGGAACGAACATGAGTTCTCGAGGAAGGAAAGACCCACGGATATTCTCCGTCGCTCTGACAAAAACCGTATATTGTGAGGATGTGTTCTCCTTTGTCTGCTTCGAACACTCTTCTCCAAATCTCCGCCTCTACCTTGAACCTCTGCAAATTAATCGATTGAGCGTTCACGACGACGACAATATTGGGATAGTGTACCTTGAGTGTCTTGGGTGTAGCATAGACTGCGCGCAGGACTCTGATGGCAACCTTCTCCTCATTAAGGTAGCATCCTTCCCAGACATCGGTCCGACTCGTTCCATTCACAGCATAATTACTGGTACGCCTCACTTCCCCGCGTTTCAGGTTCATGTTCGGAAGTAAACTTCTGGAACTCTGGAGAAGATTGTACAAGTTACTTTCCAGACCACGCTGGACTGTTGCAGAGACGTGGCTCGGAAGATTCTGTCAATGAAGATTAGACGAGGGATTCAAGAGACTGGAGAATGTGGTACCAACCTCTTGCATCACTGTCAAGATCTGGTTTACGGCGGCGGTTTGTTGGAGTTGGTTATTCATGAGAATCTCTTGCTTGTTTCTGAGGTCCCCGAGATATTCGATCATATATTCGTTGTCGATCCTCTGGTTGTCTTCGAAGGCAGATTGCCATCTGTGGATCTCGAGGTGCGAGGTTATCTAATCAAATAAGTATACGAACTTATAGATAATAATTGAGGAACAAACACTTGACTTACCTGTAGCTTGTTTAAGCAATCAGATATCTCAAGATGACATTGTTGAATGACTCCGGCGAGTTCATCCTGTTTGACGAAAAGCTTGATTCGAGACATCAAGCACCATGGAGTCATTCTGTCGAGGATGCCCTGGATGGTGCTGGCTAGGTTATCAGCTACCTTCCAGACAACAACATCTGCGCGCTACCGACCTTTGTGCGCCTGAGCAAAGCCTGGTTTTATCATCTGGTAACATGGTTTCGCCTTCGTTCTGGATGATAGTCAGAAAACTGAGGCAGCGTTCCTCGAGTTGTCGCATGCCATTTCTGTCATAATAGTCATCGCGATCAGTGGAATGAACAGTATGACGAAATGATAGGTACTTGTTGGACTCTGCTTTAGCAAGCAGGTTGATGAGGGTGATTAGAGCACCGAATGCTGGACCGAGCCATGTACATGGAGTAGACTGTGTTGCCTGAGATAACGCTGAAGCGGGATTAATATGAAACCGGGAGGACGCGACACTCTCCATGATTGTTGGTCAATAAAACGCTTGAAGATCGGTCGTATAAGAGGGCGCGTCGAAAACTGGGCAGTGATTGTTGCACTTCCGACACATGCTGCTCGAGCTCTTTTATAGAGAAATTGTCGGGACTTGTTGACCCACCGACGACCACAGCCTGCCTAGCATTTGACTCGAGGCAGTGTCAATCAGTTGTTCCAGAGGAAGATATCTATAGAAGTTGTCTGTAGAAGGAACAAGGCCCTTTAGCCTATTGCGTCACCTGTGGGAGGCCATTGGCAGGAACACCGTGACGCGTTGGAGCTGAAGCTTTGAAGGACAACCTTGCAAGCTACAGTACATATATCAAACTCGAGCATCTCGCGAGGACTAATAGCTCTCATGCATCGATACCACGAGATAAAAAGCCAAAAGCGAAGATAACGACCCGAGCACAGCACACAGCAAGCGTAAACAGATGTGGTAACATTACTAGTGCGTAATACGTATGGTACGAGGTCAAAACGGCCGTGGCCCTACAAACCCACTACTGCCGTAGGAATCTGCACAGTGATCAGTAAAGCATAGTAATGGTCTGCGTGGAAGGAACTACCACGTTCCTTCTTACGAGTCGGTTAAGGGGAGGCTACTATCTATCCCCTTCCGCACGAAGTCTATCCCGTACGCGCATCAAGGCCTTTCCAAGTTCGTTGGCACCGTCACCTGAGGGGCCATGACCCCAGTACGTATCATTGGCATCGGCATACACCAAATCAGCAAGGCCCGTGCGCAAAAGCAAAGTCCGAAGGCTAGGATGTTGCTTGAATTTGATATGCAGCACCTCTTCCATCTGAAAATGCGAAAAGTTGATCCATCAGAATATCTGTCAATGAAAATAACCTCACAATCTTCAAGAATACCTGACCCCAGTCTGGTCGCACGTGGTCCTGAAAACTCGCTGACAACGGGTACATGTCACCGACATCGGTGCACGTTCGGATACGCTCCTGAAGGTTAGGGTGTTCCGTAAACTTCATCGCCTCGAGGAGGTGCATCGCAGTTGGGTACATTTTGTTTTTGTACAGCACTCGGTGTTGTGAGTGATTTACAAATCCGGATAGTTCACCTGTATGGTCAAACTTGACGGGCGGTCCGCGATCGGGAGCTGGCATGCCTTGCAGTGGGGCTCCACTTCCAGTGTATGCGTTTATCCCATGGGGCACAGCTGCAGTTGGTGGTATAACGAATGATGTCACTGTATTGGAACGATGATGACGACCGCCAGATTCGCTATCGCTCCCTGACGTGCTGAAAGCGCGAAAGAGTCCTTTTCGCGATTTACCCTTGCGCTTACTACTAGAGCCAAATAGGTTTCCTAGACGCGATATCGGACCTGCTGGTTGAGCCAGCATGTTTTCCATTTCTTCCATGTGTTCAACGTTCAAGGAGAGGGTTATGTCCTTTGGGAGTTCCTGTAAAACTTGACGATATGGGGTAGTGTTCCATATGTCTCTAGGAGGAGAGGGGAGGGGATTTCTCCGCGTTGCCATTCGTATGGGAGGGACAGTTGGTGGCCTAAATGGTACATCACTCAAATAAGGCTCGGGCATAGAAATAGGGTGATCAGCTGGTTGGTAGAAGTCGGTGAATCTTGGGCGAGATGACGAGTTAGCCGCACGTTGTGCATCAGGCATGACGGGGGGAGGCTCAGGCATGGAAATAGGGTGATCAGCTGGTTGATAGAAGTCGGTGAATCTTGGGCGAGATGACGAGTTAGCTGCACGCTGCGTATCAGGTATGACGGGGGCAGGCTCGGGCATGGAAATAGGATGATCAGCTGGTTGGTAGAAGTCGGTGAATCTTGGGCGGGATGATGAGTTAGTCGCACGCTGTGCGTCAGGCATGACAGGGGGAGGCTCGGGCATAGAAATAGGATGATCAGCTGGTTGATAGAAGTCGGTGAATCTTGGGCGAGACGACGAGTTAGCCGCACGCTGTGCATCAGGCATGACGGGGGGAGGCTCGGGCATGGAAATAGGATGATCAGCTGGTTGGTAGAAGTCGGTGAATCTTGGACGGGATGACGAGTTAGCCGCACGCTGTGCGTCAGCTATGACTGGGGGAGGAGGAACAACCGGATCTCCTCGTCGACCGGTCATATCGGGTCTGACGGGGCCTGGAGTTGCCCGATTGTCTACATGTGGCTCGGGCATGCGCGCAGTGGGTTGTGAGTGAGATGAGTAATGCGTGTCATTCATGACAGGAGGAGGAGGAAAAGCCGTATCTCGTTGGGGTTGCACGTTAGTCATAACAGGGGGTGGAGGGACAACGGGATCTCGTCGGCCAGTCATATTAGGCATCACGGGGCCTTGATTGTTTGTAGCCATAGAAGGCTCTGGCATGTGTACTTGCGGTACTGCAGATGGAACAACCGGAGCAGATGGAATAACTTGTGCAGGTGGCTGATGGGCTGCGTTTTGAAAAGCAGCGACCGGAACATATGGTTGCGGCATAACCACAGGCTGCTGCATAGGAACCATGGCTACTGGGTAATACCCACTAATTTGTGGATACGCAGATTGTACCTGTGGGTCTTTTCATCCGCCACTGTCAGGAAACAGCTACTCTCCCAGACTGTCACGTACAATACTGGAGCCCATAAGCTGCAGTCGGAAATCCATTGGGGTACTGCTGATACAGCTCTGGGTGTGCTTTCTCCTTGCCCTTCTTCGTCCTGACTGAGGACCAGCTTGATTGCATTCCGTTTGAGTTAACGGTTGGAACTGGAAAAGGATAGGGTCTATGCTTTGAGGGTCCAGCGCCCATATTGGTGGCGATGTCGCTGATACGTGATTATGTATGAACACGAGTCCGAAGGAATACCAGAAGCACCACCGCAAGCTGTAGATGTCAGGATAGATGGACCGTGGGCATGAGGAAGATACGAGGGCGAAATATTACTGGTGCAAGACTTGCACGAGCGGCAAGACAGCACACGTTGAAACGTTGAAGTGTTGTGATATTCGGTCGATCTGCAATTGCAAGGTATAATTGAAAGTATGTAGTACGTACACACGGTTGAGAAGTTCGATCAACTTTTAATTGTCAAGATTTGGACATATCCCTGCGTAACATAATTTTGGCGGGAACTACAATAAGTTTGCAATCGTAGCTAGGTCTGCGACGAATGCACAAGTAAACGATATCAGTCATAGCGAGAGCCTCTGCGTCGCGGTGGGCTCCTTGATCGCGAACCCGATGGTGACCGTTTGCCACCTCTGCCACCCCAGCCGCCTCCTCGGTGAGGTGGTGAATCGCGTCTTGGGGGCGGACGTCTCTCCGAATCTCTGTTGCGGTCAAAGTCACGATCTCTCCCAGCAAAGTCTGCACCCCTTCCACCGCCTCTTCCTCGTGGGCCACTGGGGGAGCAGGGTTAGAGTCTCCTCGCCAATGACCCCCACCTCGGCCAGCAGGGGCCACTGTTCCCCAGCCTGCATCACTTTGCCGTGCTGCTGGTGCGGATCTCCAGCCGTTTTGAACTGGAGCCTTGACAGTAGTCTCTGCCTGGGTGGCCGCGGCTACTGCAGCCGCAGCGGCTTTTGGAAGGATAATAGAGACGCAAAGATAGTCTCCTGGCACGAATCGAAGTTCATCGAGCGTCCTCTCCTCTTTCTCCCGCTCTGTCTGCTCTCTGGATTCGCCATCTATGTCGTTGAGCAGGCGTGCCGCGGGGCTGTCAATGGTACCCGGCTCGCCCAGAATATCGCGAGAATAGACCATACCAAGCTCTTTCTGTGCAAAGCGACCTCTATTTGCTGCATCTGCGTATATAGCGCGGAAAGAATAACGGGCTAGAGGGTGGCGAAGCTCTGGTATTTGGGGTGCAGCATTTCGGAGAGTCGTCAGTACTTCACGCAAGGTGGCATCTTTCCTAGCCATGGGGTCAAAGGAGAGTCGGAACAAATACATCTGCATGCTTACCAGGTGTAAATTTGTTGTTCATCCGTGGTTGGTAGAGTATTCTCCTCGAACAAGGACAGTCTGTGGAATGATCCAACCTTTACAAAAGTTCGGATGAGGAATGGGGCCGTCTAGTAGAAAAAAACAACTGAGGATTAACTGTATAAGCTAAGAAAATTTTAAAATCACCTTTTCTCTTGAGACAATAGGCTGTCCTGCTGGGGTCGTAGTCTCCATGTCGGCCATTTTATTATAATTTGAGACGTTGCAGATGGGCCTGCTACCGTACTACGTGCACGCTGCTTGCTTACATAGCAATTACCATTTTGAGCTCAAGACCAAACTTAGTTAAACCACGCCACCACTGGAAAGTTACACCCCATCATGACCTAGAACCCCGCAGATCCGCGGCGCAAGACTCGCGTGAATGACGCATTAGTTACAGCTGGAAGATTCATCTGCCACATCTTTCAAGTTGCAGGTCAGTACAAGATCAACAACGACTATACATAGCAACTTTCTTGTGACCCAACATGCACTTACTTTAATTAGTTAGGACCAGCACGCTCAAGTCCAGCGTTAGGTGGGAAGGAGATATGTATAGCAGGGCATAATCTCGTGGCAATCCCTGTCGCTGAGATAACGAAAAGAAGTTTCTGTCATATGTTTCAGCCTGCCGCCCGGATCTGCGGACACATGGCATATGCATTGTATCACTCCTAATCGGTTCACAAAGAGACGCTCAGGAAGTCGTCCACTAACTCGGAAGTTCATGTGATCACACAGGGCTGACCTCGGCATTTAAAGAGAGCGATAGAGCACACTTGTCTTTCACACCCTTCCATTACCAGCCATGGCTGGTGGTTATGAACTCCTGAAGACCGGAGGTGACACCAAAGTTCAGTCACCCAAGTCGTATCGCATCACACGTCGTGTCGCGATCGGGCTCATCGCATGTCTGGCGTTGGTAACGCTTTCTTTTCTGCACGTTCATCCTCCCTTATCAGTAGATCTGGGAGCACAAGATAACCATGACGAGGACTCCGTGAAGGCCTGTGCTTCACCCGCACCCCCTGCTGCCCGTCCCCCAGCCCCCATCAATCCATGGGCCTCTCTCACCATCAAGCAGGTCGTTCAGGTCCAGAAGTGGTTGGAGGACCCTGCCCGGGCCCTTAACCTGACGCGCGGGGCTATATCAAAGCCATCGGACAACCACATATTCATGATAGAAGCGTACTACCCACCTAAAGCCAGCGTCCTAAGTTACTTCTCATCTCTATCCTCATCGGACATCCCGCAAAAGTATGCGCGGGTCACAATCCACCATGGTTCTGCACCGGAGCCTGTCGTAAAGGATTATCTTGTTGGACCACTCCCTATTGGCTCATCCACTCGCATGGAGCATTTGACGGAGATATACCATCTCGACGCTATTCCGCACAATGCACGTGGCTTTGATACCCGTGACTGGACTGCTCCGGAGATTTTTGAGAAGATGGCGGCTCCCATAATGGAAGCATACGAGGTCATTTGTACCATCTTATTTCCGTACATCCTACTTACAAGGATGTTGTTTTCAGGAACTTCTGGGCGGCACGCCCCAGGATACTCTTACTACGGCTGGCAGTGGACCGTTCAGCTTTGATGGTTCATTCAGACGTCTGTGGCTTGGCTGGCGGCGCAACACGCCCGGCTTCTTCTTACATCCACTCAACTTATATCAGTACGTCGATCTTAGCGGTACCGATCCCTCGCAGTGGGACCAGTTAAAGGTATGTTCTCAGATATGATGTCACCGAGACTTCATGTGCTCAAGTTGGTCTTAGATCGTGTACAACCACCAAGTCTTTGACTCACCAGAATCTTTCATGGAAGCGTTTCACAATGGCAGCCTCAAACGCGTCCCTGTTATTGACCCCGACACCGATTTGTCGTACAGTACTCGTAAGCGTATCGGAGCCCAACGCGATCTCGACCATCTTCCTGGACCTCGTTCGGTGTCGTTTGCAGGTCTGAGGTTCCGAGTAGATCGTGATCTTCAGTACGTCAGCTGGATGGGCTGGGGCTTGTACCTTGGCTTCGACAGAGATATGGGCTTGAGCTTGTGGGACATCAGGTTCCGTGGTGAGCGGATTGTTTATGAGGTAAGGCGTACTCGATGTAACTATCCATTTATGCAGTATCCTGATCTCTGCACAGCTCAAACCTCAGGAAGCTCTTGCACAGTATGGTGAGTAATCAGATGCTGGTTTCTGCACTTCAGTTCGCCTGATAGTGTTTCTCTAGCGGGCAATGATCCATTCCAGGCAACGACTGCTTGGCTCGATCGCTACTTTGGCATGGGGCAATCCGTCCGTGATATGTTACCAGGCTATGATTGTCCCCATGAAGCCGTGTATCTGCCAGCGACCACGTACTCGACGGATGGATTAACCACACGACAGCGCGCAATTTGTATCTTCGAGCATGATAGCGAACGACCTCTTACGAGACATCTTGGTTACGAAGAAAATGAGTTCGGGGCGGTCAAAGGCTATGAGCTCGTGATCAGAAGTATTGCCACGGTCGGAAAGTGTGTAGATTTTGTCTTTCTGCGGGATGATGCTGAAAATCGAACCCTAGTTATGATTACTGTACGTGCAGTGTTTCGCTGTCTTCGTGATGTTGACTGGGTTCTGTATTGTTTCCTGTAGTGGTGAGTGATGAACCAAGTGCTATTTTCACCACTGACCCTATCGTTTATGCGTAGTTTGATTATATCTTCCATCTTGACGGAACCATCGAGGTCCGCCTCTCCGCTTCCGGCTATCTGCAAGCTGGTTTCTACGATGGAACACAAGGGCAATATGGCAATCGAATCTGGGAAACCAGCAGTTTGTATTTTTACCCATACCTTATATTGACCTAACAACACGTTATTAGTGGGCAGTCTGCACGACCACGTTATCAACTACAAGGTCAACAACCTCCCTGTGGTAAATTCATAACGTTGACAATTCATTGCAGGTTGACCTCGATGTGGCGGGTACAGCAAACTCGTTGTTGAAGACTACTCTGAGTCAAGAGGCAGTCACCCAGCCTTGGTTTGAGGATGACTGGGGAGATGAAGTTATTCAGCAAGTAGTCACACGAGAGTATATCGATGACGAGAACGATGCCTTGTTGAAATTCCCGACAAACTTCCAGGGCGCATTTGCACTCGTAAATCAAGAGGAGACCAACAAGTGGGGAACATCGAGAGGATACGCCATCCATCCAGGCTATTCTCCTATTCACAACGTACGTATGTTATTGAGGATGTTGTGACGAAGCCTGAATTCTGGATTGCAGACAGTCGTTGGTTCTAAGCGGCTCCTGAAGAATGCGAAACTGGGCGCGCTACAATCTGGCTGTCTCCCGTCGCAAGGAGACAGAACCGTCCTCGAGCAGCATGTGGAACTTCAATTTGCCGGTGGCCCTCCTGTCGACTTCCACAAGTTCTTTGATGGAGAGAATATCACACAAGAAGATCTAGTTGCCTGGGTGAACCTTGGCATGCATCATCTTGTTGGTGGCTTGCTTAATGAAGCATATCATGCAGCCTTCTTATTCTCATTTTTATAGCCCCAATCGGAAGACGCACCTAACACACGAACGAACACAGCGACGTCAAGGTTGGCTTTACTGACTTCTGCTATATGGAGTAAGAGCTGATCAACAGTCTATTAGCTTCTTCTTGACACCTCTCAACTACTTCGATCACGATGTATCTATTGAGTCGGACCAATGCTGTCCTCCTGAAGAACCCAGAAAAGCCTGGCGACTCCTTCACATATGACGACTATGGTGTTCAGCCTGCTCACTGCCTGCCGGAACACCCGTCACCCTTCGAGTACCATCCGGCGAAGATGTTCGACCTGGATGGAAGGCCTGCACCTGCTTCGTCAATCGAAAACATGCGCAAGGCCTCAGAGTTATATCATCGCATCAAACTTGAGTTGTAAAGCCTTATCGCAGATAGCGAGGTGGTGTAGTGATCAGGTAGCTAACAATGTGACTTCTTTTCAATATGTGTATCAATCTGTCCATGAAGCTATTAACAGAAGGAGGTTCAGTTCATGATCCGTCTTTCATCTTGGAACTAGCTCCGCAGCAGGTAGGCGCGTGATAGACTTATTTATGGTCTAGCATCGTGTTCAGTCTCACACGCATCTCTTCATCTGTCTGCCATCATGGCCAGAAGATATGAGCAGCTGAAAGCTGTATCCTTGGAGGAACCCAAGCATGAGTCAACGCGAGCGCCGAACAGGATCACCTCTCTTCGTCTTGGCCTTTCATTCATCCTCATCCTTGTACTGGCCTCGCTGA